AATTTTTAATTAAAAATATACTTTTTTTCTATATATAATTAATAAATAGAATTTTTTAATACTGTTAATAGAGTATTTTTATAATCAGTTAAAATAGTTAGATTAATTCTAAATTAACTATAGTTAATCTAGCTTACTATCTACTATATTAAATAAGAATTAATAATTTTAGTACTAAGTATAGTTAATCTAAATTAACTATCTAATTTTTAACTTAATTATAATTAGATATAAAAATTCTATTAACCTAGTTATAATCTAGTAGTTAGGTATAACTGACCCTATTAACCTAACCTAACCTGGCCAAACACCAGTCTAACTGCCATGTAGAGCCGGTCTGGATACAAGCACTTCATCGCCGGTGTCAACAACTATTCTCCTACCACCGGGACATTCGTCCTTCGGCCGATTTCCTTTGCCTTTTCCGTGATCCCTCGGGATGAGCACAACAGCCTGCCAGGCACTCTCATCATGTGGATTGGCGTCGAGGGAGGCAAAAACAACGGCAAACGACAGAGCAAACAGGACATGTTTACTTTCCGGCCAGACACCAATGCAAACCCCATTCCACAGGGATCCTCGGCCAGTATCATCTTCAGCCATGACTTGATAGTCAACAAGTTCTTCAGAGTACGTTCAGCCTATCTGGCAGTGATATCCAGACTAACAGACAATAGCCATCTCTGAGTGCTGGGTTTAGTAACCTGAAGCCCACCTCTACCAAAGGCACACCGGGAATGAACTTCACCGGAAATCTGATATCTGAAGAAGTGAAGATCGACGAGGTGAGGAGCGCAGGAAACACATTCAGCCATGATGCACTCTCCTTCTCCCCCAGTGAGCCAGCTGCAACCATCACCGTTCACCCGGATGTGGCAACCCCGAATGCGGATCCAGTCAAGATCTCATACACAAGCAAGGAATACAGCATGGATTGGGGAAAATTGAAAATTAATCTTGGCCCGGGGATTCCTATAGAATCAATGACCCCGGGCGACTATACTAGCAAGGGAACTGTCAAGCCTACCTTTAAGTGGAACGCCTATGGAAAATGGGAGGGTGGATCGTTAACCACTCATAATAATCTTCTTAATCTCAACTTCACCTCGGATAAACTGTGGACAGTCACTTATCGGGGATCGGGGGTCGACAACTGGTTCACGGGGGAAACAACCAGTGTCCCTGTTGATTTTACCAATAAATCAGTCCCTGCGCCTGCAATCAAGATGGAGATGAAGGCGTTGGACTACTTTCTGGCGACGAATCTGCTGTTCCCGGGCAAACAGGTGTTCAAGGCGCATCCTGTGGCTGATGGCGATACGACCAAGGGACTGGCTGTTCCAAGGGATTTGATCTTGACGGGGGAGGTGAAAACGGTATAGAATTAGATATATCGGATATACAGATTTTACATACTTCAGAGCTCTGCTCATACCACCTTATGTATATGGATGAATCTGGGTGTGATAAACGGGTGGGCTTTAGAAGAACTGGCTGGTCTCCGCTTGGGACATCACCAATATAAGTAGCCATATTTGATCGGGACTAAAGATATCAAATCCTTCCAGCTTATACTTAAGATAGGAGGATTTTATTTTAAGTATTTTAGGAATCAACTGATACTCAGATCTTCGAAGACTTTATTAAAAAGTTTCTTTACTATTGTAGAACATAGTCTGAGCTAAAATCCGTTTGTTTATAGATAATACCTCTATTTATTACTCTAGAACGATAGGGAAAATACATCTATAAACAGATATTAAATTGATTTATTTACTTCTATATTACCCCGAGCTGAATTAAATTAAGAAGTTCTTTGTTAAGCTTAAAATATTTATTAAATATTGCTGGTATATCTACACAGACAACTCTGAACAGGGTTTTAGTATAAGAGAGAGATTCAGGGCAATTCTTAACTACCTGTAAGAGATATTGCCAGGGCCCGATATTCCACAAGACAAAGGTTATGTAATTCGGGATTAACAATCCAGAATGCCCTGGGGTCACCTATATAGTATACCGCCGTTACATTATTATCTATTTGCAGAACTGTCAATTTCAAACTGCCCTACAAATGTAATGAACATAGATAAAAATAAACAGATTAAAGATTTGTAAATACAAGGCTTTAATCTATCTACAAATAAAGAGGTGAGGATATTTAAATATTGTTGGGTAGTCAAGGATTGCCCTGAATCCGTCCCTTATAATTATAGTAGCACCGGAAGTCAAGCCCATATAAGCAGATAATATTCAAAGACTTCTGATACATATTACAGCCAAGCGACGGCTACTCCATGCGAACTTCTAACAATACAATTTCCCTGGCCATCCTTTAATGATCCAGCCTCCTCCCCCAACCAAAACCTTCTTAGAGGAGGTTGTTGATGATGTCCATGAGCTTCTGGTTGTCCTCAGCGCTGAGGTTGACGTACTCAAGACAAGCAGAGCCACATGGGATGGGGGTTCCCTGCTCAGTAAACACGGTAGCGAGGTTCATGCACTCGGGGGCGACGTTCTCAATTCGCATGGCTAGTGATAATCAGTAATCCCGTTTTCAGTCTTCAGAGACGTAGGAGCACGTACAAGAAGTGGAGGTCTGAGTGACAGTCACGGTTCTGCCGACGTTGGCGTCGTGGCACATTTGGATATTGTAGTCAGGGACACCTGGCCAGGACTGGCGCTTGAATAGAGCCTCGCCGTTGAGCTCAGCACGCTTAACGTTGCCGTTAAGACCAATGTAGAGCAGGTTGCCGGCAAGAGGAGCAGCGAGGCCGGTAATGACTAGAGCGGCGACGGGAGGTGCAGGGCAGGTGGGAAGAAGAGAAAGGGCGGCAACGGATATGCCGGCGATGATAGACTTAGTGTGCATTTTGATGGTTTGGTTGGGTACAGAAGAGAGAGAGGAGGGTGTAGAAGATTGGAGTGATTGACTGATGGAGAAGATTGCCTTGCTTGTTCTGGGTGTCTGATAGCCGGGTGTTGAGGACCCCTTTATACCTTCGTTGTCGACTCGATCACTATGCTTCAATACAAAGATGCGTCATTTTCTGGAAAGGAGATTCGAATCTATGCATACCAACATGTATTCGCTCGACTACGTGTGGGACAAGGTGCTCGTTCTCGTCTCAATTATTCCGTGGGCGGCATATTAAGGGTGGGGTGAGTGTCTGTTTGATATTACAATTGAGGGACGAGACCACAACCGACAGGGAAGATATCGAAAGCGGACCTAACTATTCCAAATATGGGACCAGCTCCGACTGAGACTACACACAATCGACCGTGCATGCGTTCTGGGTGGATTGAGGGTACCTGATCTTGAACGGCCCCCATTCACAACTCGCTTGCAACCTGGTGCTGGGGTAATTATGACTGTAGCAATCACTGCTCCTATATTTCCTATTTCGGTATATTTGAATCTCTGGACCCCAAGCGAGCGGGTCACACAATTATCCTAGGAGCAAGAGAGGAAAGCTGCTCCAGCCAAGAAGAGGTTTAGTATCTATTTTGCAACGTCCGTTTTCTCTCTGTACTCCAAGTTTGTCCAGTTGTTGTACTATTGCCAATTACAGCCACGCCAGCAGAGTTCAGAGATGAAGTTAAGACGCAACTACTCCGAGGCACTGCCCATTATCAAGATCCTAGGTACTGCCCTCATAGCCTGGAAGATTACATGTGTTGTCACCGGCACCGCATATCCCCTCATGGTAGTCTCCTCAGGATCAATGGAGCCGGCCTTCTACCGAGGGGACCTCATATTCCTGTGGAATCGGCAGGAGAGGATTCACGCCGGTGATATTCCCGTGGTGTGGTTCGATGGTCGTCCACTACCGATGGTCCATCGAGCGATTCATGTCTCCCAACAGGAAGTGAGTGGGGTTTCGCTCTCAAAGTATGTCCTCCGCTGTTGCTTTTTGTGCAGGTCCAAAGTGTACTAACAAGGACCAGGCAACTCATCTTGACTAAAGGCGATAATAATGCTGTCGATGATACCATGCTTTACCCAGAGGGTCAGGAGTTTGTCCACCGCGAGAATGTAGTGGGCTTAATTCGTGGCTATGTTCCTTATGTTGGGTGGATTAGTCTTTGGCTCAAGGAGAGCCCATTGATCTTGTATATAATCACGTTTGTGTTTGTTGTTCTTGGCGTGGTATCATAGGTCGCTCGGCTACAGAGATACCAAGACTTTATTCGCCTCCATTTTCACTAATTCTGTTGTGAAATCTCAGGGGGATGGGCGCAGGGAGCTATCGTATCGGCTACAGGCTCATCGGGTGCCTAATTAGGAGGTAGATGTCATCGGTGGAAACATCAGGAATCAACGTATCTCAACAAATTGAGTCTATTGCATTCCTAGCTATATTGCTGTATAGCCCTCAGGGTGCTCAACTATCTAAGGGCCCACAAGCTGAAAGGCTCCAACTAATATTCCTAAATGCCAAGCCGGCGGCGGAATATACCTAGCGTTTCCATAGCAAATTCAGACACATTGAGACAAACTGTTTTGGATATCGAGTCTTATGACAAGGCCATCGGAATCTCTCCGTTCTCGGCGGGGACTGCTTCTCGGCCTAGTCTAAGCTGGCCCCACTGTTCTAGCCACCAACGTCAGGGTTTGCTGTTTGTTCCAGCGTTGGCTCTGTTGGCTGGGCCCATCATGCCCCCTTGTTGTATGATACCAATGACCCCAATTTCCTACCCTTGGCTCTGGTAGTGCTGTGGTAATCAGATTACTTCAAAGCCAAATAAGATGACCCTCCTCCACCCGTCGTAAGAGAGGGTATGTGTTTATTTCCCCCCAAGATCCCTTCCACTGAGCCCCAACTGATCCAATACTTCCTGCTCAGACCCGATCAAACCCTATGGCATTAACACCAACAACCCTCAAACAGCCAATCGCCATTCGGCCGGAACACATTGCGTCCTGTCCCACGACCATCCGGGTCAAGCAACACAGTAAGAGCTGGTCCGGAGGTGACTTCACCATCTCGACCTGTGAAGGTAAAGCAGGCTCCGTTACTAAATTATTCTCCGTCCACGGTGATTTCGGATCATTGAGCCAGCGACGGCATTTTCGAGATTCCTCTGGTCTGCCCCTTTTCGAACTCCATCGTAAAAAGTCCGGTGTGACATGGTTTGTTCACCTGCCTGGTGACAAAAGCGATGCCGAGCCTATTGCCACAATCGCGACAAAATGGAGTGCTTTCAAAGACAAGTTTGACGTCCACATGAGGAATGCCGCTGCAGGCGGTGAGGACACAGTCATCGAAGTCCGCGGACAGGATATATGGAAAGTGAAGACGCATGTCTATAGCAATGGGGCACTGGTGATGATAGCAAAGCTTACGGACTTACTCTCGGTATATGTGCCGGGGAAACGCCCTGAATGGGAGTTGACGGTTGCAAAAGGGTTGGACCTCTCGCTGGTAGGTCCACTTTATATAATATCCCATATGATGAGCCTAACAGTACGTTCGTAGGCGTCGATTATTGGCGTGCTCCTGGCCACCTTGCTTAAGTACAGCAGTATGCCGTCGTCGTATTCTCCCAAGAGCCAGAAAGATAACGTTGTATCGGTAAAAGAATAAAGAGAGCAAGGTGCCGTGATCGACAGTGAAGTATATAGTTTATTGAGATCACAAGAGATCCTTGATTGTCAGATACAGTTGGCAGCGCTGGTAAATGTACATCCGATCATTGTCATTACTTCTATAATCTCTCTTGTAACGCAAATAATCAGAAATGGAATCTCATTTCCTCTCTCGGCCCCTCTGTTGAATAGATCGAACACTAACCTAACTTCCTACTTGCTTTCAATGTAGTGGATTCAACACATAGATGTAAGATTCATGTATTGCAGGAGTCTAGAGAGGATCTAGTGCAGGCTTCAGATAAATAAACGTAATACAGTTAATGGCAGAGACAATATTAAAGCTGTTAACGTCTTTCAGGTTCAACATCCTCACAGCTGAAGGCCTTAGATACTCACTAACTACATACACTGTTTATGGTTCGTCACCTGACGAACTAGGAGAGGTCTGCAGAGACATGGAAAAAGGTCTTACCCATACTAGACTTACTATTGATGGGAAAGACAGTCCGAGAAACGAAAAAGGTGTCATACTGTCGATTCACCATTTGGGTTTGGCCGATGCCGTCCCGACTAATGCGACCTTACGATTTCGGAGTTGTCGTCCCGGCAAATCAAACCCAACTGCGATCATTTCTTGACGCTCTGAATGTTTTGAGACATCACAGTATTGAATACGCGAGCTATGCGAGCCCGCTCTAACAAGTGATAGGCAAGACTTGGAAATGGACCAATGAACAAAATGCCGCATCCTAAATACTATAAACACCCATAAACACGATCCCGAAGCTAGATCGATTGTGAATATTATTAAGTGAGATAGCATACCAGTATTAGTTTCCATAATCTATATTATTTGAGTCCCCCTGAATTTCTACTACTTGTAATGTTTTTTCTTACCTAAATTTCCACTGCCTTGGATTTCTATCGCCTGTGGCTCTCTGTACGTATAATTTATAGCACTTAGAAGATTTCAATTATCTTAATAGATAAACGTTGTCATATGTGTGTTCTGACACCTTCATGGCACTGAGTTCCTTCACGAGTCCGGCTTCGTGGTGGCGAAGTCAGGACTCAATGGAATTTCCTCAGCTAGTGACCCACTTAATTCCAATGGAGACCACTGGGGTCCAATACTCTGCCCTTTGACAAGGCTGTGGACGCTAGTGGGGCCACCAATTCATAAATCAATAGCTAGTGCCCGGACTAAGCGCATCCGACACTAGGTAACTTCCTTGTTCCCGCACTAGTCTTAGCGTTTGCCTACACTCCTTTATAATCTGGCCATCGTTCATTTACCATGTCTCTAACTAGATGGGTTCTAATTTGAGCCGGTGGATACAACTAGAAATTTCTGCTAGTACCTCACATACCTGCTACCTTGCCTCGTAGGCAATAGTTAAGAAAGTCCGGCAGGCTGTGGGCAACTCCTTGCGCAGCGATAGAGCCATAAATACCTCCACATTCTTCAACTTCCAAGGCGTACACGTTGGGGTCGCAATAAAGTATGGTTTCATTAAGAACCATGCAGTTCAGCTACGGCGTTAGCTTCGGGTAAATGGATGTAGGCCTGCAAGCAATACGCTACGACCCAGTGCGACAACATCTAATGTTGACCCACAACGCGAAGGATCTAGTTATTGGGAGCTTGTCTCAGGACTATATGAACCTGCAATAACGTTCATCTGAAAGTTGGGGGCCATAACTAGGCGCATAGTTGCATTATTCCGGACCATGCTGGCTGTGATGGCCATAGGCCCTGGTTAAAGAGGTACACGTTTTCGGCTCCATTGCAGGATACGAGGCAAATTTCGGCCAATTGGTAGGAACGGAAGGAAATTTAGTTAGTGGAACAAAGAGTTAACTGCTATCGCAGACTTCTACATCCTACTGCTTGACTTCTTTCACCTGAGTCTCCCCGATCAATTTTGCAAACACCTCATGCTGTTTCTGAAGTCCCTCATCCCCCCAGCGTTTTTCGCTTTCTCAAGCATATTATTCTATGTTGCCATCCACCTCCCCTATAGAGGTCGACTGTATCTCTCGCCACTGCTGTTTGGCAGCGCGATCCTCTCACTGCATACGAGCCCCTACCTAACATGGCTCACCGGTATGAACGTGCTCTGGGCACTCTTCGCCTGCGTCTGGATCCAACATGCAGCGGCCGTCCTCTACTTTGACCAACTGAGAGTGCCCCAGACAACATCTCCATGGCTCGCGACATACAAGATCTGGAACGATCCACAGCGTCGTATGAGCACCGGACTCCCACCACGACACAAGCCCTCCATTTCGTCCCACAGTCGACTATGTTTCACATTCTGCCAACTCGCCAAGATCACCCTCTGCTGGGCCCTTCAGCTCTTCATCATTGGCCCCCTAGTTCCCCTTTATTTCAATTTCACCGCGCAAGACTTCGCTCCCTCTCGTAAAGTCTTCCTCCGCCGCCTCCTACCCCTCCACGACAACCATCCCCCCATCACACTCCGCGAGATCGAAATCCGCCTCTTCCTCTCCATCTACTGGATCTGGATCGCCTACCTCATGCTCGACCTCTGCAACGCCCTCCTCTCCATCCTCTTCAGTGTCATACTTCGCCTCGACACCCCCAATGAATGGCAACCCCTCTTCGGCAGCCCCCTTCAAGCATACAGCATCCGCCGCTTCTGGACGAAGTTCTGGCACCGCCTCACAGTCTCCTGCTGCGCTTCCTCCGGAACACAGGTCACCCGCCGTCTCATGGGCATGACACCCGGATGCCAAACCGAGAAGATCTTCGTCGCATTCTGGACGTTCTTGCTCTCCGGGCTGTGCCATGTGATTGCCGACTGGCAGGCGGGCGAGCCCTGTCATCCGCACGACGATCTGCTCTTCTTCGTGGCCAACTTCATGGCTAGTGCTTTAGAGCTGCTTGTGGTGCGCAGGCTGGAGCGCGTGAAGGGATGTCGTGCGGATGATGATAAGGATATTTGGTCGGTATTGCTGAAGACGATCAATGCGGTTTCGGGGTATGTTTGGGTTTTAGGGTTCTTTTTCTGGATCACTCCCAAGTGGCAGTATCCTAAACTGTATACAGTTTTGACGCAAGTTCAGGGATACTAGGGTTGGTGGTAGTCAGTAGTCAGTAGCATTATTGATGAACGGGGTCGGTGTGAGTCGGGTGATTTCACCGATCTCTGCCGTCAACAGGCGCTATTGATAAAAGAAAAAAAAAGGAAAAGAGCAACATATTATCAAGTCAAACCGTCAACACTGTATACTTCTTCACACACCAAAAAAATACAAGAGTCGGGAATTCCCCAGTAAATGCTCCGAGTCGGACACTAACTGCGTTGTCTTTGACCTGGCAGCCCCCCAAGGTGAATACCAAATTAGGGCTTCGCACTTTGTGCCACCGCAATCAGTGCCCTAGGTGTGCGTAATTTCCCTCACTAAAGCTGCGATCATATCACAGAATAGGCAAGCACGTTTATCCGCCAATCAGAGTCACTTTCATTTGCGATTGACTTAAGATATATTCTTGCCCCATGTCGGTGGCGGCATGCTTTGTATATTACAACGATGCTTGGCTTCTTCCACTAGAATGCGATTGATTGGCTAGAAGCCATAAACCTTTCCACAAAATCGAAGTTCTGGACAATGTAAAATATTACCAAACTCTCTAATACCAAGACACTACATCTTAGCCTAAGTCAGTCAAATTAATCTATTTAAAAAAACTCTGCTGTAATATTTACTATCTATAATAATTTAAATACTTAATTTAGCTCTAAATATATTTATAATTTTTATAATATTTTAATATTTATTATTATTTTTTAAAAAAAATTATATCTTTAGATACTATAGCTCTTAAATTTAGAAATTTATAACAGTGAATAACTCAGCTCGCCGTCTCAGATAACAGTACCCCGCTGTAATCGAGGCGCCGGGGACCCGACAGCCCACAAAACTATATATATTAGAATTGCGCGGAGAATTTAGATCCTCAAGTGATTTGTTCTCTTTTATCTTATATACAATCTTTCTAGTAATCTTGACGCTAATGCGTGGTTTAATGCAAAACGCCAAGGTTTCAGTCAGAAATCTTTATTGTCCGAAACTTCGATTCAGTCCGCCGTAATTACGGCCCCATCGGTCACCTGCACTGACTACTAGTCGATAACAGAATAAATTCAAGGGAAACCCAAGCCCGCTGGGGGCGAGACACAGTATTTACCGAGTAGATCCTATGTGCTACAACCTCCCCACAACAGCTCAATCACGGTAAGTCCTCACGTCAACACTCAAGCCCATAACAAAACTCCACAAGGAAAATAATTCTTTAACTAATTCCATACTTTCAGTATAATCATTACCACCACTTCACTCTATAGGTTGGGTTTTTTCCGTGGCCCAAGCAGGAAGGCAAACATTTAGGGTTAATTCAGAAGAGAGTACCATGCTAGACTGGCTCCGCAAACTCTTCGGCGCCGACAACGCTGCCCTAGACCGGAGGGACCAGCAGCGTCGAAGTCGGAAGCGAAGCAAACAGATGCGCGCTCGTGAACAAGAACTGCGCAGACAGAACCAGAAGCAGGAGTTAAAAGGCGGGAAGCGCAGAACACCGTTCTTTTGGGGGTCGCCAGGTGTTACTACCCCTGTCCATCAGACAAGGATATTTGAATGATTGAAGGCGTTTACTCTTGTTTGCTGTTTTTTTCTTTTTAAAAAAAATCATTTTTTTTTTGGTTATGTATTTGTTATTGAATGTAATAAGTGTACTCGATTGTTCGAAAAGATATTACTCTCAGCGCCTGAGTCCAGCTTCACTGGAATGCACCACGATAACATCCAATCATACTCGGCTGCTATGGAAGAGGGCCTAGTCAACAAGACAGCGGCGGCACTCCAGGCCGGCACCACAGCAGGCCTTAGGCTGAGAGACCTGGTGCAGCAGGAAGTATTCCAAAAGCAATTTCCTGCGATACAGCGGCAGATCTCGAACCTCCAGACTGCGTTTATTACAGCTGAGAATGAGTTCACACAGGATGCACGCCGCCTCCTGCCCAAACTGCGAGACGGCAACACAGACGAGAACGCGATGATCACCGAACTTCGAGCGGCTGTCGCCCTCTTTGAGCAGCGTGCTAAGCTTGCAGAACGGTTTATCATCAACAAATGCAAAGAGGCTAATGTGCTTCGCACAACCGTCGCGACGCTGCTGGACTCCAACTTCGAGAATCACCTCGGTGGGATTAAGGCGCAGTCTTTGGTCGGCGGCGGAGTCCCCAGACTGCTGTTATCTTTCGGGGGTCGGTCGATTGGGCGTGCCAAGCACCCATTCCAAGCGAAAGTCGAGTCTCGAGCTTCCAAATTTGATACTAGTGATGCTAAAAAGGAGGGGAGCGAATCCGAAGAGGATTCGGACGATGAGGATGAAGAGTGGTTTGAAGACCAAGAAACCGTCACGAGGATACAGCAGTCTTGTGCGGACCTCCGTAAGCAGCGCTTGCTGACAGCTTCAGGCGTTACCGTCGCTTTTGGGGTGGCAGGTATTGACAAGGCGTATGTTATGAAAAACGAGAAGAAAAAAGCGACCAAAGTTGGCGAAATTGTGTTAGACAGCCAGGGAAAGCTTGTCCTGGTACCTGGAAGGCTCGCCAAACCCCCCACGGCTCCAACGCTGACCGTTCAAGGCCAAACTATCACTGTGGCTTGGCTTCAGGAGCGCGACGAAGCCGACGAAAAGGTGATCCCAACGACCGGTTTCACCATCAAGTACTGCCGTCGACTCAACCCCGACAAGGACGGCGTATTCCCCCGGGCAAGCGAGAACGAGGTCGCGGCCGAGGTCAGCTGCAACGCCTCCAACACCAAGGTAGTACTTGGCCCGCGGTCGGATGACTTCCTGTCGTGGGCCGCACGGGAAAGCTGCCATCAGTGGCTTCTGAGATGAGTGATTTTTTTAATCGGAACAAGGACACACTCTCGAAATCGAAGCCGGGAAGCACACCATGGGACCTGTACACTCCCGATAATGGCAACAGCAAGAAGACACTCTTTCTGGGTCTCACCCAAATAGCCCAGCGTGAATGCACAGATCAACGATTCCAAAACCAAGTTGCTGTCCGTATCGTTGACGTCGCACCTGAGTTCAAGCCCGAGATCAAAGCTGCACCCATTGAAGACTCAGATAATACTGTGGTGGCTGTTTTTGCAGGAACTAGTGGCCACGGCAAAAGCACCGAAATCAACGCCTTCATCTCATATCTGCTCGGTCAACATATTGACGACCCGGCACGCATCCTGGTCATCGACGACCGTGGAGCCAAACAGTCTGATTCAGTGACCCAGATTATGACTTGCTTCTGTATCTGACCACTCTCGTCTATTTTCCGGGGCAAGACCCTCCTTATGGTCGACACGCCCGGCTATGGCGACTCTCGGGGTATCGAGCGTGACCACTTCGTTACGGCAGCAATGTCCGAGTTCTTTGAGACAGTTAACCATGTTAGCGCTATTATCTTTATCTGCTGTGCCAATGAGGTGTGTACTATACTGCTTGAACTTGTGTCGACTTATGTTTTCTCACTCTTCGCCAAGGATATCCGCAGCTGTCTGTGCACTGTCTATACCTTCAGCGACACCGGGGCGCCACTTGCTCGGGGTGCCCTGAGCAAGCTCGGATGGCCAGTTGAAAACGGCGAGATCTCTGTCAATAATATTGCATTCAACATCAATTTGGATGGGGGGCAGAACGATGTGGTGATCCGCGAGGTTTGGCTCCAGCCGAACCCGAATAGGGACAGTGGTCATGGTCGGTCCATTCAGATCCTGGATCCCCGGGATCGGAGCATCGCGCCCCGAAAGCGTGATGGCAAAGGTAATGTCAGCGCTTCCCGTGTGCTTCCAGAGAATAATTGACCAAGCGGCGTACATAAGCGCACCGGTCGTGACACCCGCAGAGGCGGTAAACGTGCGAAGGTCAAACTGGATGGTTCGCTTGAGAGCGTTGAACGGCGCAGTTTCCGTTGTGAGCAGCGTTGCAGCAGCGTTCCGAAGGTACCCGGACCAGAAGTCTGCGGCAATGTTCTCATCCAATCTCTGGGAATGACGGACGAGGATGTTGAAGGGGGGTCTGACCACTAAGGGCTGATTGTGGTAGACAGCTGCTGCATCTTGGAAGAGGAATTTGGAGGACCAGAAGTCAAAGAGGGCTTGGTGCATGGTGACGATGAGGATCTCGCCGTTGATAATGGCGGCTCGGATCGGAGGTTGCCCGAGATCCATATCCTGGGATGTATTGTGCGATACATAGTCTTCGATCGAGATGTCGCATATCATCTGCCAGGGGAGCTGGAATTGCCGGTTCACGGCCTGCAGGAAGGCTGTGCCGTTCTCGAGGAAGCTCGTTCTATAGATGGGGTTCGCGTTGATGGCTTTTTGGAAAGACTGCTGCAGCCTGGGTATCTCGTATCCCTTAATGTTGAAGGCTCGGTGATACACGTATCCGCCGTTACTTCGGTGCGCGGAAATGATCCCCTCCTGGAAGGGGGTAGCGTGGTATGCGTCCTCGTATATTGTTGGGTCAACGTCTGGTCCGCCCTTGATGAGGCTATACGGGGCTGGCGGCTCTTGATCAGTTTGCGCTATCACCTCGTACTTGAGAGAGGCGGCTGCAGTGGCCAGGGAATCCGCTCGAAGAAGGTCTCCCAGTTCGGCGACATAATTAAACGGCAATAACTCGGAGACGACAAGCAGCGCCTTGAGTGAATCTCCCCCGAGGTTCAGGAAAGACTGGTTGGCTGTAGTCAGAGACTAAAGCTATTAAAATAGTGGTTTATTGGATTGGCTGACGACACGGCCTCTTGTAGATCATCAGGTCACCCGAATTAAGTGCTGGGCCTTATGTTTCCAGACCCCATACGTGGCCTGATCTCCCTGGGGATCCATAGCGTAGCGTATATCGGCTGTGGTCTGTAAAGCTCCACTGTCTGCGTACCTCTACTTCATCGGCATACCCGATAGCATCGGCAAGCTGCCGAGTACCACAACCACCTCAGGAGCTAACCGAACCAACGATTTCAAGGTCCCCTACCTCGGCCCATCCCGTCAAGATTCTCGGGTGGGACTCGCTGCTCTACTACGAGATTGTCCGTGCGCCTGTAGAGGCTCGAATTTATTTTGGGACAACACCAACTGTGCCAGCGAGGCCAGGCGGGGGCAATCCAAGTGTTTCGATTACCACGCATACTGATTAAGATATTTTTTATCTTTCCGGTTCATAGCAGGGTCGTGGCTTCTAAATCTTTATGCTCACCGCGATGTGGCGCATAGGCCTCATCACCACGACAAATTACAGTCTCCATAAAAAAATATATATCTCTCAAAACACAAGGGCAATATAGATTTGAAGGGACCCTAGACAAAATGAACAATAAAAATTCATAACAATATGCAAAAAAGCCCAAACATGGCTCTGTATTTTGTATTGTACGTTTTTACCTCGAAAGCTGCTGCTGTAAGGGGCTAGAGCCCATTAGCCTACTCGGGCCCTCAGCCCTCGTGTTTCATGTCCTGAGTAAACTTGAGAAATGCCATCCCCCAGATGGAATACATCCAGGAGTTCTCCTCGCCTGCCATATAATTAGTATATTGATTAGTACACTCTATCATGTGACCTCTTCCCCCCCTTCTTTCGCGATCGTCTCATCGCTCTTTTCTCTTCTCTTTCCTCCTCGACGATTCCTTTTGTATCCACCCTTGTTATTCGGTTATAGAGGTTTAGCCCTTGATAGCTGCAACGCAATGTTTCATACCCTTTATTAAAGCAACATGAATACCTTGACTAATCGAGGCCCATCATTGCTCTTCCTTAGTATCATTCAATCCCTTGCAGCTTTCAATATCTGCATTCACGTATGGACACCTGTATGTGGAAACCACATATGGTCAGTGGGGTTACTATCAGTCGATTATGGTGTCACTCCATAGCAGTATCTTCCACCTTTTGGTGAACTTTTGGACAAATAAATAGGTGCCCTATCATGAATAAACTAAGACGTGTCCCTCAAATAATAGGCAATAATTCCTCCTGTAATACAAGATAAGATGCGGCAGAATAGCTATGCTTTTTGGTTTTCATGCTGCGCTCCAAACATATAAGATCACAGCGACTTTTGTCCGAATAGTGACAACCACATGCATCATTTTATCTTATGTAACTGCATGTACGGCTTTTTCTAATTTTGCTCTGGGATTGCAGAAATTGTCGAAAGAACATAGCGTGTACAATGTGTCAGTATTTTTTTTTGTTGTGCTGAACTTTTCGGACATAGCTGAAGGCTAGCCTAGCTGGGGACGGGGATTCAGAATAGTGTCGCCAGTGTAAATATCTCATCAAGCCGAGTTCCAATTGGTCAGTCGGAAACAACCAACTACTATTTGATGTGCTAATGTATCGTTCGCCTGTATAGCAAAATCGAGAGCTGAGCACAGAATCTGCTGGGGTTTGACGATTGCAGTGGATGGAAGCGCCTCCTAAAAATCATCAGTTGTAGATCTGTAACTTTCGGGACAATTCCAAAACATATCTAACTTCTTTAGAACCTTGGTCTTTTTACTCCAAGATATCTCTGTATAATCTAAATTGCCTGAGACTCGAAAGCTTCATTTTTGATGTTTCCGTTGGGCAAAATCGGCGGCACGTGCAGGTATCCCTTCAACTATGTATAGCTCGCGAACACTGAGAAATTAGCTGCATGACGGGAATTAAGTGAGAACACAAGTTAACAGTTTTCTTGGGGCAAGGCTTCGCCTATAATTGCCGCCATCCCATCATCCCACCATCCCGACATCCCACCATCCCGACATCCCACCATCCCACCATCACATGATCCCATTGGTTGATCTGACGAGACGGAGAACTTAACTGCTCTTGGCCACAGAAGAAGGATTATTCACCTTAAGGCCTTGATTTGACGAAGAATTACATACATTTGCTAACTGCTTATTTTAATGTCAGTAGTCACTAGCCCCCACTGATTGCGGTATCCCATCACCCCCATCCCATTCCATCTCATACCACCGTTTCACTTCCATGACGTGGTTTACATTGCCCTGATGGGGCCGGGCTAGCCACGGGAGGCAATAAGCCCTAACTCTTCGGTCATCCCATCGGCATCCCACCCGCTATCCCATCTGCGCCGATCATCATGTCGTTCCCCACTCGTTCCCAACTTGACTGACATCTTGCCGTTCACTGTCAACTCGTGGGAGACTAGATTTTGGCGCTATACAGCCTTTCCATTTTCTCAAGCCAAAACTAAGAAAATCATAAGTTTATTTTCCCGCCATGAGTACCCGCGCGTCTTTTCAATGTCACTTCCCGGGTTGTGGATTAAGCTATCGACGGAAGGAACATGTCACCCGACATGCGCGACGACATTTTCAGTCGGACTCATTTGAATGTCCGTTTTGCGATCGACATTTTGCCCGGAAGTAAGTCTGTTCAGTTCACCAAACACGGAATTGGAATTGGAGGCTTCGAATATGGCCATTGCCACATGGATCGCATGTGTACTGAAAGGATGGACTTTGAAGGAATCTCGGCAGATGATGACCTGGATCATGAATGGTGCTAAGTACAGAATAGTGATACGCTCCGTCAGCATGTCCGCACCCATCACGAGGATAAAGAGCTTCAACCAGGTCGCACACTTCGAGCGTGCAATCACTGCTACTCGCGAAAGTCCAAATGTGACGGAAAGACTCCATGCGGAGCGTGTGTGCGGCGAGGGATTGATTGCTCCTTTGGGTGCTCGATTCGGGGCCGCCAAGTTCAACAACCCAGTCTCGCCGTTAGTCCAACCGCCAGACTTTTAGTTGATTCCACCCATTTGGCCCCCATACACAACTTGGACGCAATTGAAAAAAGCCCCTCTAGAGCGTTAATTTATATCCAGGTGTTCTTCGAGAAGTTTCACTCCACATGGCCATTTCTGCACCGCGCAACCTTCGATCCGGACCATGAGCCCGCTCTTCTCTGTCAATCCGTCATGATGATGGGGTTATGGTTGACCGGTCAAGAGGATGCCCGGATTGCAGCGACGGATCTGCACTCGAAACTCCTTGTGTCTATCCATCAACAGCGAGTGAGTTTGCCTTGGGACTTGATACTGCCACATCCCCCATTCAATCCCGCCACACCTCCGCTCAGATTATGAACACTCTTCACTCGTGCCTCGCGAACACGTACAAGCAGGCCTTCTGCAACTGCGAACCAGGCTCTAAATTAGCCTTAGAGATCTAGTTTGCAGATGCTTAACGGCGTGTTGAAGGGTCTGGGTTGGGGCGTGGGAGGAGGGGAATGTCGCGGTGGTAAGTCCTCGTATCTTCTTCCCTGCTTCCATATTCCGCCACTCACTAACCGTTGGCAGGATAAATGGGAAGCACCAAGCCAGCACAACGCAGAACCCCCCTCCCCCTGGCCCATGGCAACATATCAAGGAATCCTGCTCCAAATCATTTTCGCCCTCCTTAAAGATAATCAAGGTCTAAACCTGCAGCTAACTCACGAACTCCCCACCCTCCCCTTGCAGCTCCTAAAAGCCCTCGTCCGCACCTGCCTCAAGCGTAAAATGTTCTTCTACCCCTCGATGGTCGCCCAGTTCGAAAACACCCTGCCCGACGTTTACATTTGGGTGGGTGTTGAGGAAGTCAAGCGCTTCGCCCTTTCACTGTACAAAGTCTGTCGATCCTGCCGGGTCCCTGACACCGGTGCATCTTCGCAGGGCCGGAGTTTGCTCTCTCTAGCGAATTTGCAATTCGCGCTTCCCGATAGCGATGAACTCTGGCATGCGAGCTCGGACTTGGCCTCGCGGCTGGCGGAGGATCGGAGCGCGTATTGCGAGAGAAATTCAGGCGCGAGGTGGATTAGCCAGACGGCGAGAGTGCTACAGCCTGATGGGGGGTTTTGTTGGTTCTGATTTCTTGGTTCCGTTCTTGTTAAGGGGATATATATGACTCATTAGCAGCAGATGAAGTTAGCGAGTTGTATATTGAATCCTGTAGAATAGGGATTGGATCCCGCCACGCCCACTCTGCGCATGCCATCCCCTAAAAGGTCCCCCGACCAGACGTTTAAGTGGCTTAATAACCTGTCTGCTATTCTGGGGGCTGTTTCAGGATAGTTTATTTGGGGGGTCTGCGTAGGGTCATATCACCTGATTGAGCGATCATTTGACTAGATTCGTTTATCAATTCAGCCGATGAAAGCTTTTCATGAGGGCTATGATAGAGAAGAGGGTATGGCAGTATCCAGTCCGTCATTATACAGTATATGTATTGAACATAATTTTTATTCTGAGATCACCGAGGTGGATCACGCTTCGACAAGACATGAAATACACCAATGCAATATGCAACTGTTGATTGAATGGATCAAGCATATGTGTTACACCGAGATAGGCAGGCGGTTGTATTCTAGCTTACTGTTCAAAGATGGGACGGTGTTAGAAGGCAGACTATCTTAGTAGAGTAACTGAATATACAGTAATAGCTGCGTGGTTAGCAAGATCAGGAGACGGCCATCAGTAAATATCATTACTGGGAACTGAAAGTCACTAATTAATTGATAATGTAGCTAATTCAAGTAGTTAGTCGCTTTTCATATGTAGTTCTAGCACAACAATTAATCGATTTTTACTACATGACCAAAACCTACTGGAGGTGTCAGGAGGTGATGGAAAGGCCTCTAGTAGGCCAGCTGTTATGTGGGCAGACTAACTAGGCAGCTAGAGTATCCCCAGCCCGCCATTCCCCCCATTTGGCGACCGTGAAGCTTCCCGACGTCTAAAGCAAGCAATTTCCTATAACTCCAGAAGCATATTCTTTGCTTCTAGCAGGCGTATCTCTCTGTGTTTGTACACGTATCTTAAGGCGATATATGGAATAAAAGCTTCTTACATTACATCCTTTCATGCTTCTCTAACTTTTTCAAACTCTCCGACAGCTTCCCTGGGTGTAGTAGGTCTTCTCTATATAGTCTTTCTTACTACAATACAAATCCGTAGGCATTGCTTTTAAAGCTGGTTCTACCATAGAGTGTGAAACAGAAGTATCGGTTAGATATCGATATTCAGTGTGTTTAGCATGCTTTTGAAAAGGATATCGTTCTCCTCGCTTAGTGCTACAGTAGTAAATGTGTCAAACTGTGGACTGCCGAGGTTGTAGGCAGCAGAATAGTAGAGAATAATCCAGAAATAGTTTACTATTTTAAGCATATAGTGAAGGGTAGGTCCAAGTACACCCAACGCCTGTCTTGCGCCAAGGGGAAAGTAATCGAAGGGAAATGACTGTCGCTGGATGATATTCGAAACTCCTATGCGAAGCCTCCTATCTATGAACATACTGGCTCCAGGATCACCCCAACAAGATCATTGCGTGAATCCCAACGCATGATACATTACATTACACTCCTACCTTGCCTGCTTGACTCACTACCCGAGTAGTAGATTGCGCACATAGCAACCGCATTACAATATTTTTAAGTCTCGAGATTCTTGTTCTATCTTACAATATAAGCTTTAATACGGCCGCTTGCAAAATATCAAGTAGCAGGTATGAATTATAGTCTTTACAACTAGTCTATCTATATGCTCTCCTCTGCGTAGAAACTCCCAAAGTTATAAATGTTCTTGTATAGTGTATCATCCAACGGTGCACTTAAGACAATCATAATGGTAAACTTATACTTTTAATATATGTATTTAACCTCATCTTTAGTAATATCCTATATTGAGATCTCGTAGGCACTATAAGTATATAGCTTTGATTTAATATAAAGACTCTATAAGCACCAGCTCTTTAAGGCTAACTAGAATATATATAGAAGCTGTAATTATGGTAGCAGGTTACAAAACGCGTAGGAGATAGAAATAGTCTCTAGTTTAGCAACAATAAATATAGCCATGTTCCGAAACCTTTAAAAGCCTCTGTGCTCAGACACTGTAGAAATACTGACTGTAGGGATAGACAAAGACATCGAAACAGAACTTCGTAATCAAGAAGATTAATGATTCTTGACTAGATAGAGGTAGTCTAGTGGGCAAGCTGTTATATAGGCAGAATATCTCGGTGGCTAGAATTCCAGCAACTACCTATGAGGATCTTCTCATTGTTTGTTAGATATATATTTTCTATTTCTGAGGGTTCAATTTTGTTCCTTTTGACCCATTCCAATAATATTGCGGGTTGGGGATATTCGTCAGGCTATTGTCATTTTCTTCCTTAGTACCCTCTTTCTGTTCGTATTTCTCTCCATTTCTAATCTTAACTGTTCTGTACATGACTACAGATGTCCACCGCCAATCATCTAAATTGCAAGCCCAACCACATCCTCAAAGTACGCCGTAAGTACATCCCCATGCCTCTTGGGTGCAGCAACAGACTTCAATCGTTTATGTGCTTCGCAGTCATGATCATAGAAGTTCATATCGTCCATATTGCGAAAGGTCGTCTTGACGGCCAGCGTGTAGCCTTTCGTTCGCGCGTCAGGCAGTGTGCGACCCGCTTGGACTGACACAATGTAAGGCTCTGAGTTCTATCAGCAGTATAAAAGTTAATATTTGACTTGTAGGAGCGGTGGAGAGAAGAAGATGAGTAAGGTGTACCTTTTTTGCTTCTTGAGCAAGAGTGCGATATTCGGCGAGGAGAATGTCGACGTCGTCTGGTTTGGGAATGTTGAAGAGTGTGATGCGGTGGATGGTCATGACGAATAAATATGATTTTGGAAGGGGAAGCAGACGAGGATGAATGGGGTCGAATATGTTGTTACTTGGATTTAAAAGTGTACGATAAGTGTCTCGTAGATGGTAGCAAATGGGGAAAACAGAGTGTGATTCTATAAATGCATGGACCTGACAAGCATTAGGGGGGACACCCTCGCGGGTAGAACTAGACACGGTATCCAAAACGGAGTTAGGATATTCACGAGCCCTGTCTATCGTCTCCTTCGCTAGATAGACTGAAACACAACCTATGGCGACACGTTTTCATTCCCCTTCCGAAAGAAGCATCGTGATAGATACGGCTTCCTTAGCTTTCCACAGCTCATTCTGCTAAAATAGTGCCCAAGAGATTCCCTTCCAACACTGGATTCGACAATGTCTTGATTTGGAGGTTGCTGACCTTTGCGCCAACGGTAGCTTAAGTATATGAAGTGGAGACGCTAAATCAGTGCTTATCACCGTCCAGAACGCCAAGGACAGGAAGACAGCCTAATGTCCTGCCCCGATGGGATAGCGAAATAGCTGATCTGCTTTTTCCCGTTGGGATGAGGTGACCCGGGCGTTGGTCCGGGCGACACTGAAGGATTCTACCTCGATCTTGGTATTCCAGTAGGTATCCCATTCGGCATCCCAGTCGGCATCCCAGTCGGCATCCCAGTCGGCATCCCAGTCGGCATCCCAGTCGGCATCCCAGTCGGTATCCCATAGCATCCCAGAATGTGGATCTGAACTAGGTTGGGGTTGCACCGGCAAACAGGGGGATATGATCATAATTTTCTCCTGGAATAAGCGGGCCTGAGGAGAAAGGGTGGTTGGTTGATCTTCTGTCATCCTTTTTCATCCCATGGAGCCTTCATTAGTCACGACCCAGAATGATTTCAGATCTCTTACTTCGTTCAGTTGGAGTGATCTGACTGGATTTGCTGTTCCAATGTTTCTTTAGGATTAAAATAAATAACCGGTCAGGCCAGAATGTTTCGGTAAGTCAACATCAACTTAACTTTCCTTTACTAAAAAACTAAGAGTCTGTACATCAATACCCTCGATTAACTAGCACAGCACAGCACCTCCACCACAATGGCAGACAGTATGAAAGATGTCGAGAAACTCGGGGCCGCCGACGCCTTGACGGATTCACAAACCCCAAGCTCGAGCTCACAAATTAGTAAGGGTCGCGAATCATCAGTCGAGGAGCCGCAGAAGGAAGTGAGGACGATCACTGGCTTTAAGGTATGTATCCAACTCCAGCTGAACTACCCACACTACCATGGGGACGGTAGATGCTAACCTACCAACAATAGTGGATCCTAGTTGTAACTGCTATCCTGTCCAGCCATATGCTTTTTGCGCTTGACAATACCATTGTGGCTAACATTCAACCTGTATTTATTCCTGTTCGGTATATCTATCTCTAGTACATCTAACCATCATGAACTACAGGCTATTCTCAACCAGTTCCAAGAAGCCGACCAGATTTCCTGGCTTTCAGTGGGGTATGATTTTGGCTGTCCTACAAAATATTTTAGAAGATAGTTTAGCTAAGGCTTCGCAGATTCTCCCTTACCTCCTCCGCACTGGTGCTGCCTTGGTCTAAGGCCTACGCAACCTACAATGCCAAATGGCTCTATGTTGGTGTATGCTAAAGAATACCTGATTATAAAGCAGTATCAATGTTTAAGTATTGCTAACTCGAGTACTAGTGTGTTATTCTTTTCATGGCAGGCTCGGCTCTTTGTGGTGCTGCCCCAAACATGAACGGGATGATTGTCGGACGAGCTATGGCTGGCGCTGGAGTAAGCTTAAATGCCTGTATAAACGCATAGGCCTCTGGATATTAACTTAACCTAGGGAAGTGGTATGTACTTCGGCGTCTTGACCCAGCTGTCTGTGAATACAACCGTATCTGAACGTCCATTCTACATTGGTTTGACGTAAGTAACACGGCGAAATCTCAAGCTCTATATTGATACTCACGGTAATGTTTCTCGTCTAGTGCCGTTTCGTGGGGTATCGGAACTGTCACCGGCCCAGCGATTGGAGGAGCCTTCGCCGAAAGCACCGCGACTTGGCGTTGGGTATGGCTGCAAATCGCCCGCTTCAAGAAGTCCACCCATGCTAATACTGTTAGGCCTTCTACATCAACCTGGTTGTTGGAGCAGTGTTTTCCCCAGTCTACGCATTTCTTTTGCCCTCCTTCGAGCCCATGCCCAATGCAACCCCGAAAGAGAAAGCTAGGAATATCGACTGGGTCGGCATTGTCTTGTTTGTCGGTGCGTTGGCTACGTTAATTATGGCTATCGACTTTGGCGGAGTGGAATGGAGATGGGGCAGCGGTTCGTCCATTGCACTGTTCGTGGTGTCCGGCGTTCTGTTCGTTGTCTTTAGTGTTCAGCAGACTTTCTACATCCTCTGCAACGAGGAAAACAGACTGTTCCCGATCCATTTCCTTAAGAGGCGTTCACTACTACTTCTGTTTATCCTTAACAGTGAGTATAAACGTATAAAATACTCCAACCTCTTGGCGATGCTAATAAAGTTCTAGCCTGTGCCAGCAGTGGATTGTTTATTTCAGTGTACTATATTCCCCTGTTCTTCCAATTTACTCAGGTAAGATAGCAACCCTGGTTCCCAAGATATTATACTTATACCGTGCAGGGTGATACTGCAGTCCACTCCTCGCTGCGCATTCTACCCTTTGTAATGGTGCTTATCTTCGCCATCATTGCAAACGGCCACATGCTGTCCAAATTCGGTTATTACCTTCCATGGTACCTCCTTGGTTCTATTTTCGAACTCGTCGCCGCTGCATTAATGTGTAAGCTAAGATGCTCAATTATCGCAATACTCATCCCAACGCTGACCTCTTTAGACACTGTTAAAAAAGATACCTCTGCCAGCACTATCTACGGATACACCTCTCTTATGGCCCTTGGTGTTGGCGCATTTAATCAAGCAGGATATAGCGTTGTCCAGGCTAAAGTTAAGAAGACTGAGATCCCATGGGCCCTTGGCTTTATGATGGTTTGTAAGTAGTCCGCATTGTTTATTTAGTAAACAAGACTAACAAGAATAGCTCAACTGGGAGGCATCGTCTTAGCACTTGGTATGGCCGGCGCTATCTTCGTGAACAAAGCAACTACGGGCCTAATCAACCTGCTTCCGAACGCCGATACCACAGACATTAAGAACACAATTGGCGGAACTGCAAGTGGATTCTTCAGCACGTTGACTAAGTCAGAGCAGTCCGCGGCGTTAGATGTTATTGTCGATGCTATTGACTATGTGTAAGTTTTATTTGTAGTTTGCTAACCTTAAATGTCTATCGCTAACTTTTACCACAGTTATATCCTGCTTATTGTTGCCGGTGGCATAGGTGTTCTTCTCTCGGTGTTCTTGAAGGTTTGTTCGGCAGTGCGACATATTTTTATAATCGGCGCTGACACTGTAATTTAGCGCGAGAAACTCTTCATGGAGGTGGCTGCTGGTGGTGCTTAATCTATTGGATATATTAGTTGCATACGTCCTTGTAAAACCTTGGTGGCAAACGGAATCCAGGATATGTCAGTGAGAAGGAAAAGTTGAAGATATAATAATCGTGGAGGACCAGACACTAAGAAAGTTTTCCACGGGATTTACAACTTTCATGTATTGATTTATCGTTCCCATCTCGTAAAATTATAGGGTCGGGTTGATTTCTGTTTGATTATTTGGGGGCTCTGAAGTGATTGTATTCAGAAGTATATTCTGCCCAATCACTCTATAAGGAGTATTGGGTATATATATTCATATAAAGTCCCAATATAGACTAGCTTTATTCTAATACCCCCCCTCAGGCTCAAAACATCTCTTGACCCTGGAAATATAAAACTATTCCCAAGCATTAATTTTATCTATCTTGATCTCCTGAGTCGTTCTTGTACCCAGAGATATTAACTAGCCCAAGTTACTTCACAAACAGCTTGAACTTCTGCCTAGGAAGCGCCTTGGTGAGGCCATCTGCCAACATCTTGTTGGTGGGGTAATATTTAACTTGAATTCTTCCTAACTCTGCCTCTTGCCTTAGCCAATAATTATACTTGTCCACATGACGAAGCCGTGTTTGCAACTAATTAATCTCCTTATTAACTAGTTAAATTATCTATATCTTATTACATAGAATATACACATGTTGGTTACTGTCTAGATATAATTATAAATCCTTTAGAAGTCTTTTTATAAATATCCCTTATCTAGCTCCTTAAACCAATGCTACTAACTCTACTTTAGTTATAAATATTATCACAGTTACTTGGTTATTTACTCTCCATCCCACGGTGCCTCCAAATAGCTAAATAATATGTCCTTGTGAACTTTTTTATTCTTGTTATCTGCGAAGGATGCATTACTATATAGCCGCAGAGCTAAATTCCGAATCCTTTATAGATACTAAAGAACCTGATATGCTGCTTTATAGTGTTCTGGGCTTGGATTGGTAAGGATTGGTGGTGACAAAGACCATATCCAGACAAGTAACAACTGCAGTATATGTTAAGGGTCCAATCTTTTATTATATTAGTAACTACGCCTCACGGGAGATGAGGAATTTGAGCCAGGAGCCTTGCTTAGAAGTGTACTTCACGGTCGAAGACGAATTCCATGGATCTTTTGGGTATGGTTCTTGAAATGAGGCACGCTGGATGGGACAAAACCATCATTACTTATGCCATATAATCCACATCTAGACCTCGCCATGACCCTCAACCCGACCCTCAGTATCTGAATCCGATTTTATTCGACCTCCACCGCCTCCTTCTATCCCTGATGCCCTTCAGCATGTAGGCCCAGACCGAACAAAAGCATATATGCTCTATAAATTTAATACAAAGAGATAAAAAATAGTAAATTGAAGATTTGTAAATACAAGCCCAGATACTATCTATTGATAGAAAGAAAAACATATATAAGTATTGTTAGGTGGTTAAGAATTGCCCTGAACCTGTCCCTTATATAACCCAGCTATAACCTAGCGGTTAGGTATAACTGACCCCATTAACCTAACCCAACCTGGCCAAACACCAGTCTAATTTTAGAGATAATCTTTCTGGATTTCCAGGCTTATAATCTGATAAAAGGACCTGGGGGCTTAATTTGTTGATTAGATTGATTATATTGCTTGGTTCTATTAATATAACTGTGGGAAATTGTTTAGGAAGAACAACAGCGCTAGACCTAACTAGGCAGCGTCAACATATATTGAAATGTATTCACTATTGAATAGGTTGCCGATGCTAAGTACAAACTGTGGCCAAAGTAAAATGAAGTTAGGCTTCTGACTCTTTTTAAGAGTGGTGGCTGATATCGGAGTTTTGGTTGACAGGAGTACTAGGTATACCTAAACTATCTATTTGTACTCTCCTTTATAAGAATTGTCTTTAAAAAAAAGCAATATGTCTATCCTTGATACTTTCTATAATTGTCCTTGGCAGTACAAGGACGAGAAATACAATGTTACTTTGGGTTCAGACCAAGACCAGACCGCGGAACTTCCGATATTTCTGATAGATTTCGATTGTTAAGGAAGTTTATTGGATAAATTTCTGCTAGAGAATTTAGAAGGGCTGGACCCTTAACAGTATAACTATCCATACCTTTAAATACTTGGCAAAGATGTTCCTTGTCTTCTTCGGTATCACGTAAAGAAGTACCAGAAAGTGCCTGGCTGATCTGCTGCGGGCTCAGTGGTACAAAATTAAGAACCGTGCCCGATTTGTTGAAGTGTCTCAGCACCCTGTCATCACCCAAGTAAATAAAGTCTGTCGGATTTATACTTTCGAAGAAAAATACCAAATCTCTCCAGAATAGTTTCTCTATCTAGACTAGATATCAGAGGATATGCAATATAGTAAAATACGTCAAAGGGGCACTCACCGGTGCAGCTGCACATATAGTAGTAGCAGTGGCAAGAAGGGCAACAAAGATTTGTTTGATCGAGAGGCGCATTGTGATTGCGAACGTTCTAACCAAAGATTGCAACAAGGAAAGAAAATATAGATGAGTGCAATAGAGGAGAGGGAGGTATAATCTAGGGGTGCAGTTAGGGTACTTATAAGAAACAGGAAGACACGGTACGGACTGAAGCCATCCGGCTTTTGCTCCTCAGGGGCGTAATAGACAATAGGCGGAACAACAACCTCCGAGGTAACTCCAGGTGCGATCCCTACATTGCCTTCTACCCGAGCCAGTTCGATGCTACGAGGATTCCCTTCCCTTATGTAGGGTATCGGCGAAACACAGGATATTGGACAGGGGGTAATACTTGTCCGCGTCACCCGCTCCTGGCCCACTGGGGGTATTCCTGGTCTATACTTCGTTCTTTATGGCCAGTCAGCTACCTTAGCATGAATTAACAGCGGAAACTGATTGGTAATGGATAATATCTCATTGAGTTGCACTCTCTGATGTCTACAATACTGCGCCGATATAAGAAAATACCTCACTCTGTTGAATATAGTGTCAGAATTGCCGCACCGGGCAAGCATTCTCTACCTAGGACTGATATCATAATCCGACCGGATAATAACTCCGCATGGTTTCAGCTCACCACTTTCCATTTTCCTAATATTCTTCTGAATTATTTCCTTGTTCTCGTCATTATCTCTTTCGACCCGTGCTTTTTCCTCCGCCGTCATCGGCGGCGGTAATAACGATGGATCTGGCTTCCACCACTGCCCCTGGGACACTTTCGTTCCATCCGCTCCGCGAAACATGTCTTCTATTTCCTTATCAAATGTGGTCCGATCGAGAAAAGCTTTGACCAGTCGGGGTGGAAGGCCAATAGCGTCTATCACATCGCAGTCTGGTGTCAGAGTTCGGAGAACACCATCGGTGCCGATGACAAAGGGAACGTTGCCGTCAGAGCCGGAGTTTAAGTTGCTGATGATGTTGGATAATTCTTTTTGGTCAGGGTGGCTGTTGGGGTCGGCGCCATAGCGACTGGGGGCGGGCGGGGCTGGGCAAGTCATATCTTCTTTTAGTTTAGAAGATTGGGTCTTAATATTTCAAGGATTCTTGTAGGGTAGGTAAAATGGAGATGGTCAGGTTTGATTATAATATAGGATATGTTACTTGTTTATATAGGAAAGCAATGACAGGACTGTCATGTGATTTTTAAGTACCCTGAAATAACGTAAGGGAGAGAACGTGGAAACTCCTGCACATGATAAGTCTCAACTTATGAATTCTTTTTTTCAATCACGAAGTTTCAGCTGTCTTATGTGCCAAAACCTGCCAAAGCTCTTAACAAATTTCTGCTAATGTGTGAACTTGAAATGCATTCATTGGTTGGTTTTTGCAAATAATTGGTTGAATATGCTGTGCAACCGTTGGATATCCCTCGAGAAACGATAAATATATACCAGTGATATTCAACGGCATTAACAAGCAAGAATAAGAAGTAAAGTAAATCTCAGTATTACAGATCTGGAGAGAAAAGCTGTAATATTAGACTCGGTAAAAAAGATATAATTCTAATCTAATCTAATACCCAGTATATAGATTTGACAAACTATCAAGGAGGCTGAATTTGTTGATTAGATTGAATGATTATATTACTTGGTTCTATCAATATGACTGTGGGATATCGCTTAGTAAGAATAGCAGCGCTAGGCCTAACTAGGCAATGCCCACAAGATTTGAAACTTTTATAGAGTATTTCCAGATTAATCTGATCTCACTAAAAGATGAATAGAGTAGTTAGAAAATTAGAAAATAGAATAAGAATTTAAGAATATATTAGATAGTAATATTGCAGAGTAATATATACTGTTTGATACTATATATTATATTTTAGATCCTATTATACATTGAACACGCCTCGGAAAGCAGTGCAAGCATCCGTACTGCTTCCCGCGGCGATAAGTACACTTCACATCACTCCGCACTCAGTTTATATCCTCGTCCTTGGAAGTCCGCCTACAGCTTGTTTCATTTCTGTTTGAAGCGGCGCTGGGTTGGTGCATGCATAATTTTGAACCTGATTCCCAAGCTACTACTGCTACTGCGTTAGAGGAGATCGATGTGTGCAACTAGGACAAATGGGAGATAGAGGATATTGTGGCTTCACGCGTGCTCCATGACAAACTCCAGTGCCAGGTGCAATGGAAAGGCTGTGAGTCTGACGCGCCCGGTATACTGCGCACGGATTCAAGGTTCCTCCATACAAGGTCCGAATGTGCAATAAAACGTTCCCGGACTAACCTAGATCCCCGAAATAACTAAAGAGATAGATACAAAGCTGGGAGTTGAGACAGGAGTACCCGGATATTCCCGACAATAATTTACCTAGTTAGTATATGCTATCTCAAATATCACAGAACATCAGTCTCTTCTGCTGTTTGTGCCACGGACAAAGCTTGTTTGGAACATTAGCGCGGCTTCCCGTATTAATAAAAGAGAAAGCCCCAATCGATACGCAGGCGAGTGTAAACCAGACTAGGTTTAGCAATATTCCTTACTGATAATATATTATTAGAGGGTAATTAACAGTACTCTAAGCATAAGTTTCACCGCAGCTATACTTATTATTCCACTTACTGCCAGGGTGAATCCGCTGTACAGCCCATCCCCGACCCATAGTCGCTAAACTTCCGGATCCAAGAAGCGAAATAGTATGCTGATTTCCAAGACATTTCTCCCCTCTGTATTAGCCTATTGCAAAGATAGCTCGATTCAGTTGTACAGTTAACGCATCTTGTTAGGCCGTGAAATTACCTATACTAGCTTTCGTCGTGGAGAACGAGATCTTTTGCAAGCCTGCCAAAATCTTTTCCAAATAAGTTATGCTTCCAGTATTCCAGTAAACAGAAGTTCGAGGATTATCTTCTACAAGAGGAAACTCACACCATGCTAAGGAAGACTCATCGTCTCTGCAACTATACAGAGAGGCCCAACGATCCCACAAGGTGTCCGAAAGGATCAGTCTGACACCTCAGAGGTCCAGTCCGCCCAATGCAGTGACAACCTGTGATTACCACTTCCGGTATACCTAGCGGATAAGCTCCACTACGGCGGACTAAATCGAAGTTCCGGAATCATTTGCGCATTCCAACAACAGCATATATCAGATCGGTTCAATGCTTCAAAATGGCAGCTTCTTTGGCTAATAAGGTCTTTATAGGGACCTGTGCTGCGTCAGGAATAGGCTTAGCTACCGCAAAGCTCCTTCTTTCGCGGGGCATCGCTAGGCATCACCGACTAGACTTCAGCAGAATCCATTCTGGGTCCAAGGTCTGGACCCGTTATCCAACCCATTGCGGTTTAAAGTATGAATGGATTTTGTCGAAGTCTATTACCGACATCAACTCGAAGCCGCTGTAGCAACTCCACGAATCCCTGGATTCCACACTGGAAGCCCATGAGTCTTGTCAACGAATTGAGGTCACCGACCGGAATTCTGTTGAAGGGTTCCTTGACGCAACAAAGGCGCAGCTTGCATTTCTAGATGGCATGGCCAACATAGCAGGTAGTTGTGACCGACTGACGGGATCACCCTCAATCTCGCAGATCCCCAACGACGAATACGATTTCATCATGAACATCAAAGTGCATGGCTCTGTTGTTTCAAGCACATAACGCTCCATGTCCTATTATCTTCCCTTTTCGTTATCTCTATTGTTGTTATCGGCTAGCGGGTCTCTACTAACCTCCATGGGGCATTAAGGGGAATCTTGGGCCAGTCCATGGCCTTATCAAATCCAAGTCTGTGATTATTTGGGTCCAAAAAAAAAAAAAAAAAAAAAAACTCTAAAGACCAATGTTGCCGGCGTGCACACATAGCCATGGCTGGTACGTCGGGTGGAATGGACACTCATTGTTTCCCCATGCATTACTAGTTAGAAGACTACATCCAGCAGATGCATGTCTTTGGTAAGCGATACAAATCGCGGTCCATTCCTGGCCCTCTTGTCAAACTAATATATGAACTTCGACGCTGAAATATTCTCGTAACAATTTACGCAATTCCATAGCAATAACAGGACCCCAACGAGATCCCTACAGTACCTTGCCCGTTGCACAATAGATGCATGCACTGGCACCGAGGAGTCATTCTGCAAGCATGTAGCTATCCCTATTCGAGTTCATAGACGGAGTGACCTGGTCGCTGATGGGATCTCTGTCCCGTCTCCAGCGACCCAGGGACTTCAGCTATGTCGCTGGCCCTCGACCAGCGATCCTGGTGCGGCGACATTGAATCGTCTTCACGTTGCATCGGCTTTTGATCGTGGGGTAGGCCTGTCGGCTTTCCCATGAACGAGTCGGTTGCGCATGCTGATAGTGAATCCCTCTTTTGCTTTTCCAGGTCCGCCTTGATCACCAACCGGTCCACGAGGACCGCGTGGGCCCGTTTGAGGGTCCGTTTCACAAACGCCGTGGCCCAAATCTGCGACCGCATGTTGACATCTTCGCGCAGGTACAACCCTTCTCGGGGTGCATCGGGAATGCCCAACTCGACGGGCTCTCGCGGCTCGCCGGGCATATTTCCACAGACGGACCATTTCTCTCGGATGTCCAAGCCGGTTGGGGCATAAACATGCGTCTGGAGACCCCGCGGGAGATCGTAGAAGCACCCGGCATAGGACACATTTCCCTGGACTAGCCCGCCCGGTAGATACGAGATTCGGTCGGTCATCTCGTACCAAATACAATGAAACTCATCCGCCGGCGCAAACGGTGGCGGGCGACAGCGCTCATGGCGGATCACCAACGGGTTAAGTTGAATCATTTCCGAGTGATTATGGAGGGCTTCCACGACCGTCTCCCGTGTGATATACGATGGGAGCGGAGTGATGTTGGTGAAAACACTTCGTTTGTACATGCCGTCGACGCGGTGAGAAATCAGAGCAGATGGAAGTCCACACCCGACGACGATGGAGAGAGAGGGCTATGCATCTGCTGGTGAAGCTGTGCGGTGATGACGGAGCAAAGTTGATGTCTCTCGCCTCTCGTGACTTCCGAAACCTTAAATGTGGGGTGAAGTCAAAAGTGGCTGAGTCAATGTCGAGGTTTCTAATTGGTCCCCGGTGCCCTCGTATAAACGGGAAGGCGATGTGGAAAAAGGCAACGTTGGCAGGCTGAGACTGGCCGCCATTCTCTCGTTGTCTCTGTCGTGATTTGAAGTCAAGCTTCACAGCGTAGGGGTGGGGTCAGTCAGTCGATTACTGGACCAATGACACATGGACTCGGTATGAAACGGAGGATCTCCTGTTATGCAGGGTCGAAAGCTTGTCAACCGAGCCAGGATACATCCCATCGCAGCATGAGAAACCAGATATCGAGAAGTGACAACACACACACACACACACACACACATGCACGCACGCACGCACGCAATACCACTAAACTAGCGCGTGCCTCTTGTCCCCTGGTGTCAAACTTCGTTGCAACAGCTACGGGTCTCTACCGATCAACCTCGGATACCGCTATTTACCGTCGTTGGATGCTTCCGAAGATTGAGTTATTGAAGCTCAGGAACTGGTGTGGGTTAGGGTTACATCCGGTCCCACACGGGCAATATACGTTATCTCGCACATATGGTGGAGGAATCCACTCAGAGGATGACGCCATAGCTTAGTGCCAAGCCCTAAACTATCTTAGTCGTAGTGCTTAGCTATGAATGGCAAGCTTATCGGTCCTCTTCGTGGTGTGATAGGCCCTTCGCTATCTCTAGTTAATGAAGTCAACAGGTTGCCCTCATTTCGCGTGCCTGTAATTGGACGTGAGATACCTGCCCCGCCTTGGTTAATCTATCCGGAGTTACATCCGGGGCAACAAAGGCAGTCGAGCGGAAAGATGGGGGATTTTAAAAGAGGCCCAGGGGGACCGCTGATCCGTTCCCAACTCGGTCACCTTCTCTTCTTTTTTCTCTCCCTCTCTGTCTTGCTTCTGTTCTTTGCTGCGTCTATACGCTGTATGCTGTATGTTGTATCTTGCTACGGTAGAGGCAGATTTACAGAATGGGTAAGTGCTGGCGTGCAATCTTGACGACAACGAGTGGAATACTGTCTCGGGACCAGACTGATCACCCACATGCAGCTTCCCAGGGGCCATATGACGAGAAGGCCACCATTCCCGCTATAGAGGAAACGTCGCCTGCGGCTGGCGAGTACGATGAGAACGAGCCCACCGAGGAAGAGCTGGCGACTCTGCGACGTGTGCCGGGCAAGCTCCCACTGGTAGCCTATCTCATCTGTGCGGTCGAGTTCTCCGAGCGAGCTTCGTATTTGGGTGTTTCGGGCCTTATCTCCAACTTCATCAATCGTCCCCTCCCCGTGGGTGGCAATGGCTACGGTGCACCTCCGCGGGGTACGCAGCAGACCGCCGGCGCCTTGGGCATGGGCACGGTCAAGGCAAACGCCGTCAACCAGTCGTTTAGCATGTTGGCGTATGCCCTTCCAATGGTGTTCGGCTACCTGTCGGATGCGCATACGGGCCGCTTCAAGATGATCTTCTGGGGTGTCTTTGTTTTTGGTGTCGCTCATGTCCTGATGGTTGGGGCGACCGCACCAACTCTGCTGGCGAATGGAGGTGCGAAAGCGCCCTTCTTCATTTCCTTGTATATGTTGTCGGTCGGTGCCGGTACGTTCTACCTCTTTGGCGACGGTGATGCGCAGTATTAATGATCCCAGCCATGTTTAAGCCCAACGTCTCCCCCCTTTTGTTGGATCAGATGCCCACGACCAAGGCGAAGACGAAGCTGCTGCCGAACGGCGAGAAGGTTATCGTCGACCCCGAGGTCACGACCGAGCGTGCCATGCTCTGGTTCTATTTGCTGATCAATATTGGTGGCTTTATGCAAGTCGCTACCTCCTATGCTGAGAAGTACGTCGGGTGGTGGTTGGCTTTTATCTTGCCGCTGTTTCTGTATCTTCCGCTCCCAGTCCTCTTGGTATGTCCCCGGTCGACCATTCGATAACTGACCTGCTACCGTGGCTAATTCTGTGCTAGCTCTGGCTACGGAAACGTCTCGTTCTACACCCTCCTGGCGGCAGTGACCTGCTCAATGTCGTCCGAGTATTGGGCATCTGCCTCCGTCGTGGTGGTGTCTTTCGTATTGGACGCCATGGATTCTGGGACGCGGCCAAGCCGTCAGTAATCGCAGGAAAGGGCCAGAATATCAACACTGCTTGGAACGATCAATTTGTGGAGGATGTCCGCCGCACATTCCAGGCGACGGGGATCTTTTGCTTTTTCCCTATCCAGTATATCAATGACAACGGATTGGGTAACGCTGCAAGCTTTTTGTCGACCATGCTGACGACGAACGGCGTGCCTAACGACGTCATCAGTAACTTCAACGCGCTGAGTATCATCTGCTTTGCTCCCATCCTCAACTACATGCTGTACCCCTTGCTGCGTCGTCTCCATATTCGATATGGCCCTGTGGCGCGGATCACCACCGGACTTGCCTTGTCTTCGATTGGTGGCGTAGGCTACACTGTTCTTAACTACTACGCCTACAAGCTCGGACCCTGCGGCAAGTACGGATCTTCTGACACGTGCGTGGATGCCGACGGAGTTTCTTTGGTGGCTCCGATCAGCATTTGGGTATGTATTTCATGTTTCCATGGCCTCCTTGAGTCAATCGAAAGCAGAGAGCATACATGATAATTGATTGCTAACGAGAATATTAGTTTATGGCCATACCCTATGCCCTTGGCGGTATTTCTGAACTCTTTGTCAATGTCCCAGCGTACGGTATCGCCTACTCACGCGCCCCCAAGAACATGCGTGGCTTGGTCTCGGCCATCAACCTACTCAACACCGCCGTTGCGTATGCGATAGGGCTGGCCTGCTCCGCCGTTGTCAAGGATCCATATCTCACCTGGGTATTCGGCGGTCCTTCCATTGTCGGTGGCGTTCTCACTGTAATTTTCTACTTCATGTTCCGCCACATCGACCAGGAAGAATACATGCTGAGCGAGGATGCCGAGCCCACTCTTGTGCTTGAAGGTACCGGAAACACATTCACGGAGAATTCCTATAACAGAACGACCAACCCAACTCCTGCGATTGCTGAGAATGAAGAGTTTGGCATCTCACCGAAACAGTAATAACCAGGTAGCCCAAGTTCTGACTTGATCCTATGGATGTTCTTCAGAGGGGCCGGGCTAGAATAGTATTCGAGACAATTTCGAACGTTTTGATACATTGACAATAATGTTTCGGATTAGGGTCAATGAATTTGTAGGTTCGGAATAGAACTGCGCTGATATGTATATTACCATAATTTTGTATTCTACCAGGTATATATATACATAACGTCCTCTGCCGAGATAGGATCGAGTATTTCCACAAACACTTTATCACGTTTGATATACCATGTTTCACCTTACACGAAATTCAATACATACTCTCCTTAGAGACCCTCAGCGCTCCGCAATTCATCCCAGCATTTACTATATCACCAGTGCAACTGGACAAGTTGAATTCGAACACGACAGTTTTCCCCGCCTCTATCCAATGATTTCCGTGGCCTACTCGGGCAGAACAATATCACCCTCAGGATTACATACTACTAATCAACTCGGATGAGATCTGACAATCCAACAATATGTCAACCGAAATTTACCGGTAGACATTTCTGTATATTCTTTGTCAACGTCCATCGCACTGGATAGAGCAAATCCTCGCAGGAAGCGGAGACAGGGCGAAATGTGGAACGCCATTCGAGAGGCTTCGGTTAGATAACCCTGATAAGGTGATACCTGTACTTTCGACGATTCGGGATGCATCACCCAGCGCGTTGATAATGGATGGCAAGTTACTACTGTAAATACAATCGTTGCCGATAGCCCCATGGTGATAGTTCCTACTTATGTCGAATAGGTCAGATGTTTTGGTGCGCATCTGAAACTTTCTCGGTCGTTCAGAAGAGTCCTGGTGGACAACCAGGTCTTCACTCGTCTCCTATATCATGTACGCTGTTCGTGATGGATGGTACAGTATTGGTCCTTCATGATAGGGCTGTTACATTCGGAGCTATTGCTATGGCGCAGTATACGTTATATAGCAATGGGCTCATGGTTAGACTTTCGTGTTGCTTTGCTCGCGCAACTCTTGATTCTCGTACCTAGTAATCCTTTCCAGTATACCTCGTTCACCGCATTCGGTGACCACGAGGAAAGAGGACACCCTGAAAATAACGCACTCGGTTGATATTAAGAACCATTGAACTCTATATATCCCGGACTGTTCAGCGTGGCTGAGTCCGTTGCGAGGGATATTGATGATAAGGGAAAGCTCGCAAGTTCTGGAAGAAGCGAGGCTGCATAGCCACCTCCCACAGCCCCCATTAAGCCGAATTGTAAACCCGAAGTCCCCTCAAACAACTTGAAGAATGGCAATTGTCCTCCTGTCCACTATGGGCCATCACTCCTAAAATGCGACTCACTTTTATTAAATCGCTCTCTAAGAGCTGCTCTGTGTATTCAATCCCCTACATGTCGCCGGACAATAAGTCAGCCGAGAAATCACTATTGGCCCAACCTGCTGAGATGATTGAGATTCAAAAGACCAAAGGGCAGCCGCAAAATTTGTTATTAGCAAAAGTGACTATCGAGATACGTCGAACGACCTGAGCTTGCGTCCAGTACGAAGACCATTCACTTGATACGCCATGACGTGTCCAGCCAGATCCGTTGCTCTTGTCCGGACAGAAAGTGCAACACTCCGGAGCGGTGCAGTAACGGTGACAACTCCTCATGTTATGGGTGTACTGTACATGTGCCGAGCGGGTCAAGACGTAGGGAACGACTGCCACTGTGGAAAACTTCCAATCTTCTTGTGGTATGCCGCCAGATGTGAGTCAAGCCTTAGAGCCGTGACACAAAAGCGGTCTATCTTTATTTGTAAACATTATTATGCCTAACGCCCATATGCACATGCCAGTTATACCGAGGCAGTTACCCTCTTGGCCTCTATCAACACCACCAACATCATAGCGCACCATAGAGATGACCTTCTTATTTTGACCGAGTTGCGGGGAATGCTATCATCTTTTCAATATCACTCGATAAGATGTATCGAACTCTGCTACCACATCGCTAACCATGTGACAACTTTTGATGACTCCCAGCATCCCTCGTGGTTTACGCGATGGGTGGATATGTGTGCTACTCTCCAAAGTGTGAAAGGGCTTCAGGGCCTGGACCAATGGATAAACAACGAACATAGCTACAACAGAGGCAAGGTTATGACATCAGAGCAAGAGCAGCAGATCTTGGAGCCACTCAGGCAGTTGGCAAGGCTGAGACTTCGTGGCCCGCAACCAATTCTGCAAGCGATGTTTTGAGAAGGACGCCGCTCAATGTCACGCGGAGACTCGGGTTCGTTTGTTTGTGCAAAATAGTAGAAGCAAAGGCATGTGTCAGCAGGGACACCCATAGCTAGACAGGAGAGGACAGTTCCTCGAGGATGCCAGCCGAGGATGACCGTCAGAGAAGGAGCAGGGTCATGCGGCAGGCAAGGCAAACAGAGAGTTGGATTTGGTGGCGAATTGCTAGCTGCTAGAATATATCCGCAGATGGCTCTTTTATGTACCTGAGCTCTTACATGCCCATAAAATTATATTCCTGACACTAGCTGCCCGAGCAATGGTCACCTCTCGGTGTATGTAGAACGCACACGGGATATTGCTTTACCTTTCAGTTAAGCACACTATTCTTCAAATCCAGCGGCCCATATTTCCTTTTCCAAATCCCCGCAACAGTCGGTAATACCATGGTAGTGCTGATGGTGTGAAATCCATGAATAGTAATGTCCCGTCGTTACAAAGGATGAGTTCGGCAGATAGTTACTAAGTATGGCAGACCTTTGCCAAAGGTTGTATTAAATTAGACGCGTTTAGGTACGGCTCAAGTGAGAGTTGCTTACAAGATGCGCAAGGACCAACAGTTGTATCTACTCCTCGCTCTCTGGATTGTTAAAGACCGAATGACTGAGTGGTTGCGCAGTAGAGTGCATGCCATGATGAGCATCGACCCGCTCAGCTGAATAGTTAACCGAGTTGTCCCAACATCTCTGGCGTGGCGATCACCACAAATGGAAAACAACGAATATGAGTATCTTGTGGCACTAGGTAGCGTACATAGTATCGTCATTTCTCGGATCAACCCCCTATCTGGCTCCACTCACACTACAGCTGTGGTTGAGTATGTGGCATGCCATTAGATCAAAATGAATAACATGGTGATCGTGGAGATCTGTCCAGTGGATGGGGAAGCAAGCAACACTTCCTCTTAACTTTTACTCCCTTTATGACCTCCATGATCTCAAACTTGACTTGGACCCAAACCACTCATATACTAAGATGCCCCACAACCTGGTCCTATCTAGCACGCTCTTTTGATCGGTATCAATTAATCCTTCATAGAGACCTCATTCCTGCGTCGTTTCGCCTCATTTTCCCCCTGAAGCCTCCAGACAACTTTTATTAGTGACATTAGTAAGGAGCTATGAGTCGGTTGCATTGCCCCAGAGAGCGAATTCGCACATCTCTTTCAACAATAGCTACTCCATTACACCCAGCCCATTGCGCTCCATGAAAGTGTATCCTTCGCTGCTTGAGAAAGACGACCCAATGATGACTGGACGGGATGGTTTGAAGATTGAAAGCTTGTGGAACGCAAAGGTAACGTAATCCCTCTATATCCGGGTGAAGAAGAATAATTCATTTATCCTTCCATAATCATGTCCGTGGAGGAGTGCTTCCCCGAGTAGGATGGCAAGCCTACATAGATAAAATTCACCATAAAACCACCAAGCATACATCGGGATTGCTTTAATTATACAAATCCCTTTCACATGTCGTTGCTCATGACTTGGCAAAGTGTTAGTCAGTGTGTCTTCTACATGGTGAGTCATGGCAGTGTATCATTTCTCAAGTCGATCAATGGCTCTCTTGACTCATGCAGAGTCAACGTTCGTCCCAGGGGCTCAATGATTATTTGTCGTGAACAGAAACATAGGACAATATGTTGTGCGCAGAGGAAAGATGCCCTTCAAGTTGTCCTCCCACTAGATGATATTATAATACGTGCTTGGCAGTTCAGGATGTTTTGATACCTTGTTTTTGCCTATCGTTAAACAAAAGCGATGATCATTTGGCTCTCCTCCGCTATATATTTTGCGGATCTCGCCACCTTCGGACAGATCCACAGACGGACGAACGCAAGGCGGCTCCCACAAAAATGTGATAGAGGTGTACAGAATATCAACCACAATATTGTAACAGATAGATGTGCTAGGATTTTGATCGTGCTCAGCTATAGTCAAGATGAAACTATTATACATTAAGTCGGATGAATTGAACGGGAATGTTGCCGATCTTCCGCGTATGTAAACGCCAACTTTGCCAAGTCACACCTAAGGGATAGGACTGATACGACAATATCCAGTGGGGCTACATCACCGGAACCAATGTATTTGCTGCTAATAGTGGGGTTTAACAGAGAAACTGTCGCTGCCTAAGCTACGTGTGGCGTATATCAGATAAGATAGTCGGCGCCCCGGAGGGACTTCGACCACCGAGCCTTGGCGTTACAAAAGAAATCCTGCAAGGACCTAAGTTGGGAAAGCAAAATGTTCTAGACCCGACAATAAGCCAATGGCTCTTCGGAGGGACAGCAGTCAAATAAAATCGGTCCGTCGTGACGCTAGGGATATATTTAACCTGGACCAAGCATGGAGTTGGAGTACTGAACATGGATTGGAATCCCCCTCAGTGGGCTGGCTTTGGAGAGAATTCGTCATCGGCAAGAGGTAGAGGAAAGGCAAACAAGAGGAAAAAGGCATAACAAAACAAGTTTATTCATTTCTACTCAGTTCTGGGAGACGAACGCATGTATCATGTGACTGATCGCCCTGCAGTGGTCATTCAAGAACCATCTAATTCTGATGTGGGACAATGAACAAGCTGTTCGGCCTCAAGCAGTGCTTGTACACAACTTTCATTGCCCGTATGGACGGCGTGGTGAAGGGGAAGCCAGCCCGCCGCATTGGTAAGAGTGGGATCGGCCCCCCGCTGGAGCAGCTCGGCCACCATCGTGTAATTTCCATTCATTACTCCAACATGGAGAGCCGTAGCCCCTTCGCTGTTGATCGCATTGGGGTCCGCTCCATAGCTCAGTAGAAGACGCATCACCGAAAAGTTGCCCTGCGAGACTGCCATATGTAGCGGCGTGGTCCATCGTGGGTGTACCCGTGACGGAAATGGCGTGCTGCAATGTGGTGGGACTCGGCTTAATGGAAGAGCCTCTGAGTTCATTGGTTCACCAACTGTGGACGAGGTCAATGTGTAGGCTTCATGGGTCGAAGTATCAGATAGACTCTCTAGATTTGGAGCTCGTGGGACATTTGTCTCCTGCGGAATGGGATTATCACCCTCACCGCACGGCATATTACTTTCATCCAGGCGCACCGCGAGCGATGCTGAATTAAAGAAAGACTGCGAGGAGGTAGGATCTCTTAGATCATTGTACGTCCTCTGACTGGAACACGTCGAACTTGACAGTAGACCAGCGGAGGATGATGGTGAGATAGACGAGGAGTATGTCGGGAATGAGATCTCAGCGAGTGGAATTTGGCCATCTGGCCGTAGTAGGCTTTTCAAAGACGCATCGAATGGCGACATATCTGTGCCAGAAATGGAGGCCTCGAACGATAATGAGTCAGTTGACCTGAGGCTCGGCTGAGAATTTAGCGTGACTGTACGGTCTCTCGATGAGTAAGGTGACGTTTGTCTGGAAGAGACTGGACTGGGAGTCTCGAGGCCCAGATCTCTCAATCGCCTTCGCACATTATCTCCTGGTTCAGATTAGATGGGCGTTATAGAAGCAATTCGACGGTTGGCACATACGGTGACGTCTCTGTGCAATTCGGTTTTGCTCCCGGCGCTTTTTGAGGGCTAATATCTCTTCGTGAGGCGCACCCATGTTGGCTACAGCTGTGAACGAGAAGTCCGTGTCTGCTCTTCTAGGTGACTGTTTTAGGAGACATCCGGGATTATATAGATCAAGGCACCACCAAATCAGCAGTTGCAGCGCAGTTAACGGCAAGCGCCGAGAAGAATTTCTTACACATTTCTAAATGGAAAACACTGGCTGCCAAGCCTCAGTAACAAAGCATTACTGAAGGTAATATGGTATTCCTGAAGAAACCTAATATGAGAGGGAGTCGTATTCTCGTTATTACCCTCCAAAATGGCAATGGATCTCCAACAAGAGAGCGGCAAAAAGTACAATGGGAAGGTGAAAAGTACGGGCTGCAGAAACTTCGAAGAGACTTGAGCGGACCAATTGAATCCAGCTCGACAGCCACAGGAAGACCGCCCTCGTATCATGACCTTGGCTCAGTGGCACCTCGTATTAAGCTGCAGCTCTTCAACGGGATGTCTCACGGAGCCTTTCCGGGAGGAACCGCGCCCCTCTGCTTGTTCACTGCTTAGCCAAGGTAACAAATAGTCTTGTCAAAACTGCAATGGTGCTTGTGTGAAGGTGTCTGACTAAGGCTGGCTGAATAGCTTTTAACGGGAACTGGAAACGCAGGGCAGCACCAGGTCAACACCAACATATATAGACAGCGTGACCGTGGCGCCATACGTAGTTATCCCCTCGGTGCACCTTTGCCTCCGACACTAGAACCCCTGTCCGTGCAAATGCGTGAAGGACATCTCTTGTTCGGGGGTGGAGCACAAACCTCAGACTACTTTGCCGATGTCCCCACTAACTACCTCGGACTCCGTTCAAACACGCCCTTCCGACAGCCGAGACAAACCGAAGACCCAGACTTACTGCCGTCTTGCTTGCTTGAGCAGGGTAGCAAAGGTGTGAAGGTGCGAGGCATGGTCTTTGCAAAATACATAGTCAATGCAACACATGTTCAGCCTGATATAGAAACTACAGGGCTTACACTCGGTCGTTTATGATGTTGCTCATCAAGTTAGGAAAGCAAATTCCTCTGTTTGACGAAGAACATGCTATGAATTGTCAAGGTGAAAGTCATCTCCGGGGTGGAGAGAGACTCGCAATTGACAGCGTGATTGAACAAACATCCGTTTCAGCCGATCATCGTCCCTACACAAGCAATAGCCATTGACGCCATGGACCACGCCAAGAAGACTTATCTGATGATCGACCTCCTGCACGTCATGCCCCCATGCCCGTGCAACACAATCCACAGTCAAGACTATCATCTGACGCCACCGATGATCAAGCATGAATATGAATTCTGAGAGAAGAATGATATGGTCATTAGGAGGTATATTTCGCTCTGGACCAATCGCTCAGCAACGTCGGAGCGAAGATCAGTGCCGCATCACCCTGAACCTGGATACCCCATCTCGTATTCTTGCATCTGATCCTTGAACGTTACATCTACAAAGCAACTGGCAACAAGCTCGGTGTCTCGGTGCACGGTCATCATCAGTCGTACTAACACGGTGAAACTATCGGCTTGCAAGTCCCCATTGATTTGGGTTGTCAGAGGCCTGCACGGATGACTCCACCAAACATTGAAAAGGGTCGCACTGGCATCGTTAAGGAAAGCCGGCGTGCAAACAGGACGATTCATCTGTTATCACTACCAATTTAAAGCCTTTACCCGCGAGATTGTGTCGACCCTAGACACTGCAATTATTTTCCCTAAGCTTACAGGCCTATTGAAGTTATGCGCTCCCATCAGGAAGTTCAAACCTCTTTGAACTATTGGCCCGCCCAAGGCCCTGTCCAAAGGGAGCTGATACTCGGCACGGTTGGTGCATATCGCCGACCCATTGATAGTCGACCCGTGTCGATCCAGGATGTGCGTGGCCAAGAGGGAATATTCGCCCTGGACATCCATGGTTTTCAGTTCATCAAGCATGTCAGCCAGCATGTCGCGTCCTTTGAGGAAGCTTCCGTGAAGAAGCATATGTACCCCGAAGCAGAGAATATTCTGAAGAACATGTAAGCATGGCCTTCTTGTCGTTGTCCATTGCCCCTTCCCCATTTCATGTGCAGCTTTTCCTATATAACCACAATACTCCGACTCACCTCGAACGTATAGAACCGGTGCGACCCGTGCCCACGTGTTTTCGCACATCGCCCGCACTGCTCCCTACGAAAAGGTAGAAGCAATGGCTGACTCGGCTGACCCGGATACGAAAGCGACAAGTGTAATGGTACCCGCGCGGCATGTCCATGTGGATCAGTCAGAGTCCGGGGCTTTCGAAGTCCTGAAGGACAACGTGACGGCGCTGGAAGCGGAGCGGTTGTTAAAGACTCGATGGGCCATCGTCAATATATGGCGCCCGCTGAAAGTGGTTCCCCGGGACCCGTTGGCTGTATCGGATGCCCGTTCCTTCCAAGATGAGGATCTCCTTGAAATCTATGGAAGAGTTCCTGGTAAGCAAGACAATAAAGACTATGATGCGGCGACAAAGGGTCGTGGTTTCGGTATGCTTTATGGCAAGTATGCACCCGGCCAGAAATGGTATTACATGTCGGATATGAAGCCTGATGAAGTGCTATTGATCAAATGTTACGATTCGAGAAAGGATGGCCGGACAGCTAGAAGAACGCCTCATACAGCCTTCGTGGATCCGAGAACCCGGCATGTGAAAGAAGCCCGTGAGAGCGTGGAATTGAGATGTTTAGTCTTCTTTGAAGACCAGCCCCTAGCCTGATGGAACATGGCCTCTCGCACTGCGGATGACGAAGATCAAGTGGCTGAAGGATGGCTGATGGTACTTCAAACGCTTCCCATTTGTGAGGTCGCAACCTATGTTGCCTTTCTGATGAATTCAGGTAGAAGGAATATGATTACAGTTTATCGAGGCCGCGTTTACATGGCATTCCATTGTGTCCTCTTCGTTTCATAAATGTACGGATAGGTAGCAAAACATCACAACGCCAGGAATAGATAATGCCCCGCTGAAATCTGAGGCGTTTATATATACTCCCACTTGTCATCGTAATGGAGACCTCACTTTTCTCATCTACGCTGCCATGGACTAGGCCGCGAGACGGCAGAGGCTTTCGAACGTATATGAGAGGATAGTCTTCGCCTACCTCCCCAATTCTCTTTCCTTCACTACCTAGTGGGTATTGTGACGTGAGTCATTCTGTAAATATGCGATTCTCCTTCTCCAAACAGAGTATATTTAATCTAGAAAAAGAGAATTATCACTAGAGTTCATCATAACATGTACTCTATTGGAGGATACTATTTCCTTGAAGGCACCAGTCCACGAGCGACCCAGTCCTCAGCATGTCGACGTAGATCGTCCAGCCCAATGCCAGATTTTAGTTTTCCACAATCCGCTAGCGCCTGTCTGGTATTTGTCACATCGTAAGTGGCCATGTCTTCGTAAAGCTCCCATCGCGTCAGATGCTTCCGCACTGGCTCCTGCAGCACCGGTAACATAGGCAACAATGGATTGGTAAGCAGGTCCTTGTCCTTCGATAGGATCTCCAACCAATCTTTGTACTCCACCGGCTTCAGGTCATACCCTAGGTCCTTCAGCATGTCCCACGAGGTTTCAATGTCCGTGTCCTCCTCGGGCGTTTGTGGCACCAGGTGAAAAGTCCGCCCGAAGTTGTTGGGGTTCGAGGTGATATGCAGGAGCGCCGTCGTGATAAAATCAACAGGAATCATGATCTTGCTTTGGTTCGGGAGAATGGGACGACACCCCAACTTGATAGAGCCGATAAACACCCGGCACATGAAGTCATCACAGTTCCCCTTGCCGCGAACACTGTCCCCCATGATAAAGCCCGGCCGGAATACAATCGCCGGCAGGCCCTTGGCGATCATGGAGTGAATCAATTGCTCCGAGACCCACTTGCTCTGTGTGTAGCCGATATCATAGGGCAGCCAACCCTGGAACTCACCGAGGTCGACGTCCTCTAGGATGTTGTTTGCACCTGTGAAGTGCGACACTGGTCCTGTGACGGCGGCTGTCGATGTATAATGAAGAGCCTTGGTGCGTCCAGTCGTCGCAAGCTTGATGCAGCTCAAAGTTCCATAAACATTAGTGTTACGATGCTTCTCGTACGGCTGGACGTAGTTCACATGTGCGCCGATGTGGAAGATCACGCTACTCCAAAGGGCTAATTCATGGAATTCAGTTTCGGACAGTCCGAACAAATCCTTGCCCAGGTCTCCTGCAATAGCTGTTACCTTATCCAGATTGTGCCCCCATCCCAGCCCGTATTTGTCCAGGGCTCCGAGAAGTCGTGTCCGGGCAGAATGCGCGTCCGAAGCACGAACCAGGCACTGGACGCTTTTGACATCCGGGCGGTCGATCAACTCACGCAGGAGATACGTTCCAAGGAACCCGGTTGCTCCGGTCAAGAACACCCTACCTTCCGAGGGGCTTCGCCAATCCGGAGCGTCTTTGGACAGAACAGGGATGTCCTTCGCTAACTGAGAGTCGGCGATGAAGATGCCGAGCCGGGAGTGGTCCACTTTGCTTCTAGCATGACCAGCATCAATCACGCTGGCGAGGCCAAGAAGGGTGGGACAGTCGTAGATTTGCTGCATAGTCAACGTCAGGCCGAAGCGCCGACGCACGTGGACCAGCAACGCGGCGGCCTGAAGTGAGCTCCCTCCCAGATGAAAGAAATTGCTATCGTTGTCAATATTGCTAATGCCGAGCACGGATGTCCACAGTGTGCGCAACCATCTTAAACTGTCTCCGGCATCTTTGGCGTTGGAGGATATAAGAACCTGCTGCTCGGCCTTCTTCGTTTCTTCCATGTGCTTGTTCATGACCGCCACACGGTCGATCTTGCCATGGACCGTCAAGGGTAGGGATGTGACAGCCTCCAACCGAGGCATCATGTATGCTGGTAGCCGCCGCCGCAGATACTCGTCCAGCTGCTCTAGAGAAAATTCACCATGATTCTTGGGAATGACAAAGGCCACAATATATGTCTCTTTTCCTGGACGATGGACGGGTAACACAAGTGCACCCTGGACCATCTCGCTCTTCAGGAGTGCCCCCTCGATCTCCGCTGGTTCGATGCGGAATCCACGGATCTTCACCATGTTGTCCGCACGAGCCACAAACTCGATGGCGCCGGTGTCAAGCATGCGAACTAGATCCCCTGATCGGTAGAGGCGAACGTGTGAGCCGTCCTTCGATAAATGGGATACTGCTACGAAGCTCTTGGCATTTGCCTCTGGGCGCCCCAGGTAACCGCGGGCAACTGCATCACCACCGATATAGAGTTCACCGACAATGCCTGGCTTGACAGGTTGGAGGTTATCATCGAGGATGTATACAGTGGTATTGTCCAATGGCTTCCCGATAGGCGTCTGGCCCCGGCGAACCTCCTCCAAAGTCGTGAGGTGGTACGTTGTGATAATCGTGCACTCGGTTGGACCGTAGGCGTGGACAAGCTTCTTCGGGGGACCATTCTCCAATATCACTTGCATGACACTGGGATTCGCTGCCTCACCGCCAGTGAGCACATAATCCAGGTCCTCAAACGCATTAGGAATAGCGGACACAACATGGTTCAACAGTGCAGTGGTGACCAAGATGGAGGTGATGCGGTATTTGCGTATGCTGTCATGGAGGGCGACAGGGTCGATCACGACGTTCTTTGGAAGAAGAACAATTGCGGCCCCTCGAGCAAGAGTGGTCCATATCTCAAACAGGGCGGCATCAAAACTGGGCGCGGAAATTTGAGCGACGCGATCCGTGCTTTTGAACTCAACACACTGCGTGTTGAAGGCCATTCGCGTGATCCCCTTCGACATGATCTCCACCGGTTTGGGCAGGCCTGTTGTCCCTGACGTGTGCAGGATATGAGTCCGGTGATCGCAACCGGTGTCGATAGCAGCGACCCTGTCATCATGGTATCCATTTTGGTGCACGTTGGCGTACCTGGAATCCACCAGTATGGTCTGAAACTCCGCAAAGCGAGCCTTCTCGCTCTGAACAGTGAGGACAATGCGTGTTTTCAACGCACGTAGAAGGTCATTAATGCGCTGGTCGGGGAATGACAGATCCATGGGTACACAAGATCCTCCCAAGCGCAGCACAGCCGCTTGGGCTACGACATGTGCAATGCCCATCGGCACGAGAATACCAATTGGCTCCTCATTTTCAATGTTCTCCCGAGCTAGAATTGAGGCCAGATGATTGATACGGGTGTCGAGCTCTCGATATGTCATGGATTGGTCTCCATCCACTACCGCAGTAGCATTGGGAGAAGTGCCAACATGATGCCGGTAGCATGCCTCAAGGCCAAGTGACGAGATATTCGAAAAGGTCGACATTGTGAGGGCGGGTTGTTGGAGAGCAGAGTCAAACAGAAGATACGATCAGGTCGAATGATTGTGATGGACTTAGCTATATACCATTCCTTGGGCTTTTGACCTGAATATATACTTACTACAACTTTACTTTGGCCTCATTTGTCTGGTATTCCTGAATCGCTTTCCTTCCCTCCACAAACCTCTCGGCTACCCTCAGCATTCGTTCTTCACCAAATCCTGTTGTGGGTCCTCAGCCCTATCCATCGTACACAGTTCGAGCCAATCTCATTACTCCCCTGGCAAGCTAACAACCAGGATTCACTGTAAAAGGATCTCGCGTTTTGTAACTTTATTTAAGAGTCACGTCATGTCATGTCATGTCATGTCAGCAAGCCTATTTTCGGATGAGGCTTTTCTCAGGCTAGGCATCCATATGCGCCAATACCACTACAGTCCATAACCACCCAATTATGTCCTATCCCAGCTCTACATGCACTCGGATGTCCATATGATACTACTATATAGACTCAAGAGACCACGAACTGTCGGCTTTGCACTTCATGGGTTAGGGGAGATATCACTATACCAAGGCCCTATATTGTACTGCAACCATGCTAGCCATGCCAGACTTGGGCTTTCCCTTCCTGGATGGGTTCACGAGGCCGGGAATCTTATACTTCTTTCTCGTTGGTATCTTAGCTGTGGCCAGTCTCTGCATCGCAACACTGCTCTTCCCCAGATCGTTAATTGCTACTTCTAGAGTCATCTCTTGGGTCTTCAACGTATGTAACACCACCCTATGCCTACTCTACAGATGGCTCAACTGATACGGTTGAGGCATAGATTTATTTGCAGTTAAGGAATCCGATTCAGCATACAGAGACCGGTCGGACCATTCCAGGGCCGTCTTATGTGTGGCCGAATGGGCAAGGCGATGTAGAGAAGTACGTACAGGGGAGAACTCGGAGTGAAGAGTGGCAAAGGAAATACGGCGACGTCTACCGCATTTGGGCGGGAATGACCCCTGAAGTGTTCGTATGCCTTCGTGCCATCCGGGTCGAAATGACCATTCGACTGACAGACAACTAGGGTATTGACAAGACCCGACCAACTTCATGGCATCTTCAAAGATTCAGACAAACATACGAAAGCCACGAACAGTGATTCCGGCTACTTCATGAGCCGTATCCTAGGTCAGTGCTTGGGGCTCATGGCGGGTCAGCGTTGGAAGCTTTTGAAGGGGATCGCGGCACCCCCCTTCATGCACCCAACAGCTGTCAGATCCATTGGTCGAATTCAAGAACATGTTCAAGCTCATTTCCATGATCTCGAGACAAACGGAAATCTCCGGGAAGGCCGGGTACACCCCGTTCAAGACCTGAAGATGCTTCCGTTTTTTATCGTGGCGGAGGCAAACTATGGCTCCCTTACGCCAGGCATGAAATCCGAGCTCGATGCCCTCGCACCGGCCCGGGAGAATCTTATGAAATTCGTTCTTTTCGGTGGCCTCGCCCGGTTTAATTTCTCCCGCTTCTTCCCCACAGAAGCCAACCGTCAGTTGCGACAATTTCGCTCTCAGTGGCGGGACTTCAATCGCGCCGCATACGAGCGTGCCCGGGAGAAACACCCGTCGGCGATGGTTGTTCAAATGTACGATGCCGTCCACAAGGGTTTTCTCACGGAGGAGCAGGTAGCCCAAACGATGGACGAGACTCTGTATGCCAACCTCGACGTGACAACCGGCGGTCTGTCCTGGAATCTAGTCTTCTTAGCTGCCAATCCGGCCTGCCAAGCACGGCTGTACGAAGAAGTATCCACCTTGACACCTCCCGAGGAAGAAGGGTATATCTCTCGTAATGGAACCTTTCTTGCAGCATGTGTGTTAGAGTCCTCCCGGCTCCGTCCAGCTCTACCGTTTACCATCCCACAATCCGCCCCCACAGATCGTGTGGTAGGTGGGTATCGCATCCCTGCTGGAACCAACTATGTAGTCGATACATGGGGATTGAACGTGCGCAATGAATTCTGGGCACCCGATAATGACACATATCGACCGGAGAGGTTCCTAACCAGTTCGAACACGGATCTACGGTACCACTTCTGGCGGTTTGGATTTGGCCCTCGCCAGTGTATTGGACGCTACACCGCAGACGTGGTGATACGGGCCATCCTTCTGTACTTGGTCAAGCATTATGAATTGCAGATGCTGGAGGAAGGGAATTGGACCCAGGACCCTGAATGTTGGATCACGCATCCAGATTTACAGGTGAAGTGCGTCCGACGGATATGACGAGTGTGGTGATTCTTCAAGACATTGCTTCTATCCCGTATGTACAGCCCGTAGACTACGAGTGAGACAGAAAATGTACCTTGCTACCCAGAGTGGAATCATGACTGGGATTGAGGATGAGATTTCCGCGTAGGGTGACATCGATCAAGGAGTTTCCATTATGTAATTTATAGCCAGAAAACGGCCTTGGATGATCCTGCACTGCATGTTAATCTATCACTCTCGTATCTGATAACCCTAAAGCCGGTGTTCCTGCACGTCGGTGCCTTGGCATGCCCGAGCCACCGAGCAGGACCACTACTACGTTCAGCAATTTTCCGTTGCCCCCGCGGCATCTCTTATTTTTGTACATACTTTCCCTTCAGGAATATGGAGCGATCATGCACCCAGTGTCATCAACGCAAAGTCCGCTGTAGCAAGACGCTACCGTGCACGGCTTGCGTGCGGCTCGGTGCTTCGTGTCGCTACCCCGCCACCGACGCCAACTCTCATCGGCCTCGGAGGGTCCAAAAGGTCACCATTACCGATCGGATTGCGCAGCTAGAACGGAGTCTGGCGGTTTTGACAAACAGTGCTGGTCCCCTACAGGGCTCGGACACTCCGAACGCCCGAGTTACATCTGCGTCCTTGCTGCCCGAACCCGCGCAGTCTCCCAATCGCCCCCAGGAGCTTCTTGTTCCGGATGGTGCCTCGACTCGCTACATCAATGAGACATTCCTGTCACAAATCCTGGACAGGGAAAAGGCGCTGTACAAGGTGATAGGTACCCCACAGGATACGGATGAAGTCACCTCCGGTTTGCGACCGGAAGGCCTTTTGGCAAGTTCCAGACACCCTGTGAATTCCAGTAACGAGTTGGACCTTTCGCGCTGGCAGTCCGCACAGCTATGGCAGATATATCGCAACAATGTGGACCCTGTAGTCAAGATCCTTCATCTACCAACAGTGGAGCCGCTGGTATATTCGACCATGAATGGCGACGGATCGGACGACCGTAGGGCTCTGCTGTTTGCTATTTACTTTGCTGCCGTGACCAGCCTGTCGGAGGTTGACGCGGCGAACCTCCTTGGTCGCGATAGGCGATCCTGCTTACTGGATTTCCAAGCCCGCATTGAGAAGGTTCTGATTGATGCGGCCTGTCTGGACGCGCCATCCATGTTGTCGTTGCAGGCCCTGGCCATCTACATCGTGAGGTTCGCCTTTCCCATCACTGCCCGATCGTGCTGACTTCTGTTACGAGACTTGCCTCCGTGCACACCGTACAAGTCGATCTGGGTGGATCATCAACGGGGCCCTCATCCGTGCTGCCCAGTCCATAGGTCTCCACCGTGACGGGACGCATTTCAACCTCTCTCCTTTTGACGCCGAAGTCCGCCGGCGCCTTTGGTGGCAGATTCTAGTGCTGGACTATCGGGCTGCCGAGGACCACGGTCTCGCGGTACATGGCTTTGGCGGTCGATCGGATACTCATCTTCCCCTGCACGTCAATGACAGTGACCTATCGCCCGAGCTTCGAATCCTACCGGCGCCACGCGGGAGATGGACTGAAATGAGCCTCTTTCTCCTCACATCGGAAATAGCCATCGCATTCCAAAAGGTATACCACAGTACCGTGGGTCATACAGACAATGTCCAGCGTCTCCAAACTGTGCAGGAACTGACAAGCTACCTGCAAACTACATACCTGTGCCATTGCGATACGAACATCCCCATCCAGAAGGCTGCCTGGTTGTCCACGCGCTCTCTCCTTTCCAAGTTTGAGTTTTTCGTTTACCAACTGGGCCTTAATAATGAACACTCGCAGGAGGAAGTTTCCTCGACGGCAGAGCAAACACTGATATCAGCATGTTCCTGCTTAGAGCAAAGTATGGAGCTCCAAACAGACGACCTTCTACGTGGGTACCGCTGGTTATTCGCGAGCTACAATCAGTTCCATTGCTTGATGTATGTTCTATGGCACTTGTGCGCGCAACCCACTGGGCCCCACGTTGCCCGCGTATGGAATATTGTCGATCTCGTCTTCAATGTAACTGAAAGCGACACAACCCGCCCTAATCCAGGACCGACGTGGAAGGTGCTACAGCACCTACGGGAAAGGGCAGCACAGCGGAGAGGTACCGTCACGGTGCCTTCGCCGACACAGGACAATGGCCAGTCTGATAGACGTGCCTTAGAGTCACGGACGGCTGAACAGCATTCGCGGCAGAGCTTGGACGGTTCAGCAGATGGATTCGGGGATCTCTTGGCTCCTCCGCTAGATCCAAGTTCGTTGACGGAGTGGATTAATCTTTCGGAGAATTTGGGCATGTATCACTTTGAGCCATAGATTTAATATGCCTCTAACTGCTGGTTTCAACGACAATTTCACTGAGTTCATACTTTGGTCTATATTTTGCATTTGAAGTAGTAGGACTCGACATCAATACCCTTCCCAACACACCGTAAGGGGATATTTTTATCAATGTATGGTTAGTATAGATATAGCAGCTGCCACCTCCTAGAGATTAAGCATCCGTAGAGTGGTCGACAGAGAAATTGCCAGAATCATCTGAGCTTCTACCCTCTCGACTTCATAGGTGAACCTCCGGTAGTACTATGGAAACTTATTTCACAATGGCACAAATATGACCACGCATAGGTAACGTACACAGGAGGTCCTATCATCCCTGATGCCCAGTGGGCCAGCCGTAGATGAACCCTACTGAAAATCGCCACTTGGACTCTCGAAGCGTCGGCTCGATGTCCCTCTGTCGCCGAGCCGAGCTGAACGCCAAGGAATCCCGAAGCCGAGATGACTTCAATGCCATGACCACGATAAACAATACGCCCAAAGGTCATCCCTATATATTTACTTGTATAACTGGAGTATCATGAATGGGCATATCATCCATCCACCTGGTTAACACACATTGCCCAACTAACATGGATCTAAGCCGTGCCGATTCCCAAGATCGCGAAGCCCTTCCGCCACGGGGTGACGAGGGGGGCATATCAACATCGCTGGATAGGGAGAAATCTTTGTCACCTGGAGACCAGCCCGATGCACCTCCTGATGGGGGGTTGACTGCGTGGTTGGTGGTGGTAGGTGCGTGGTGCACATCATTCTGCAGCTTTGGATGGGTCAATAGTGAGTGTCTATCCACGGTCGTGAAATATCTTAAAAAGTAGACTAACTGTATACCAGGTGTCGGGATATTTCAGAATTATTATGAATCTCACCTGCTGAAGCAGCTCTCTTCCAGCACCATCTCCTGGATTCCATCCTTGCAAATCTTCTTCATGTTTGCCATGGTATGTCACCACGTCTTGAAGCCGTGTAGGTCTTGTAGACTGCATATTTACCAATCACCCAAGGGCCCTATTGTTGGAAAGCTGTACGACACATTCGGTGCTCGATATCTGATTATTGGAGGGACATTTTTCCATGTCTTCGGTCTAATGATGGCGTCAATATCAAACCAATACTACCAACTCTTGCTGTCGCAAGGAATCTGCAGCGCCATCGGCGCGGCCGCTATATTTCAACCAGGTAATATCCTTTCCCCTGGGTCGATTCTCTGTGGAAACTCACCAAAGTAGCCCTAAGCGCCGTAAGCGCCTGGTTTAATCGCAAAAGGGGCATCGCTTTTGCGACTCTCTCGACAGGCTCCAGCGTGGGTGGGGTGATATTCCCCATCATGGTCGACCGCCTCATCGCCAAAGTTGGCTTTGGCTGGAGCATGCGAATTTCCGCGTTCATGATCTTGTTCCTGCTCGGGATCGCCATCGTCACTGTCAAGGCACGGCGTCCCGCACAGCAAGGGCCAAAACCTTCTAGTGTGCAGTTGCTCCAACCATTCAAGGAGCCCGTGTTCATCATTACCCTCCTGGGATACATGCTACTTACCTATGGCGTCTTTATCCCGATCAACTATATCATTGTCCAGGCGGTCGCAAGCGGTATGAGTGCAGATCTCGCGTCATACTTGGTTCCCATGTTGAACGCGGCCAGCCTCTTTGGCCGCCTCGGAGCTGGATTCATGTCCGATCGATACGGGAGGTACAACATCTTCATAGTCATGTGTATCGTTGCCGGCGTGCTAGTACTCGCTCTTTGGATCCCTGCTACCTCCAATGCGCCTATCATTGTGTTTGCAACCCTCTTTGGGTTTGCATCTGGAGCGTATGTTAGTCTTTCGCCCGCGCTGATCGCTCAGATCTCACCGTTAAAGGAGGTTGGATATCGAACTGGTCTGCTATTCTTGTTTGCGTCGGTCGGTGGGCTGACGACAAGTCCAATTGCCGGAGCTATCCTGCAACACGCTGGTGGAGACTATACTCATATGAAGATCTTCTCAGGTGTGATGCTACTTGGAGGCACGGCATTTATCATGACCGCGCGGTTAGTGGGGACGGGTCTGAAATTGGTGGTAAAATATTAGATTAGCCTCGAACTGTGAATGAGGCTGTTAAAATTCAAAAGAACCCTCTAGTTTAAACTGTATCCTGACCCACATTTTCTGCTTGGAAAGCTTCCTTCCTCCAGCAGTTCCAGGCGCTTCCCCCCTCCCCGACGCGTTCTTTTGCTCAGTCTTCTCTGTTATTGGCGCTTGTGTTAATAGACAACTTGGTCATCCAACCTCCATACCATAATCCTATGTTTGCACGAAAATGCTATAGCTACATACAAAAAAGCACATACAGGCACGGATAATGTTGTGATACCGTTGCCAAAAGGTAGACGAGGACAGGGATGGGTGAATTAAGCGTATCATATCGACGAGCGTGGGGTTACTTGGGGCCATGCGATGTCGAAGCCACCTACTCTCTATCACACTACTATTTGATAGTCGTCATCCACGAACATCCTCCCACATGGTACAAGTCGTGCAATCTCTTTGCGATCAGAACTCCGTGGTACAGCCTAAGAGCGTGGCCTCACTCGCGACAAGAGTCCGCATCCAGAGTAAAATCGCCGGTCCGACTGGCACTAACTTTGGAGACATCATAAATCTTGATCAACTGATAGAAAAGGGGTAGAATACAAAGTTTCTTCAGGCGCATCCTGCCAAACGAATAGTTTCAAGCCCTTGCCGCGCACCTCGAAGCTTGTAGGAATTTACGGAGTAACGCGGCCCAAGCAAATATCGCCATGGGGATCCCCTTGCTCGCGTGGCGAAGAAGGATCAACCGTTTCCACAAAACTAACTTCCTAGAATGAAGAATCTTTGCAATTTTACTAACATCTATCAATAGCCAAACTACTTGAGTCACATACTTTGTCAACAGAGTGGACTAGTAATCTCTGGAGACCATCGTATGATTTGTTTTTCTCAAATGAGAAAGAGGAAAGAAAGAAACTCAAACGAACAGAAAAAGGAAAGGAAAAAAAAGAAAAAGAAATTAAAAAAAAAAAAAGTAAATTAAGGACAGTTGGAACACGTCAAGGTCAAGCAAGGGTTCTCTTCCTGGCGCCTCCCGAGATTGGCGAATGGCGTCTGATGCGTCAGGTTGCGAAAGAAGTCCGGTCGCAAATCAGCACAGTCCACTGCCATTACCTCCCACTTAATACTTTGCTATTTTATTCCATTGATATTCTGCGCTTGTATTCTACGTTCTTGCCTGCAGACAGTTGATTGGAAACGCTCGCAGATGAAGAAAATCATGACAATCATGGGTTCAGGATGATGGAAAATGAACTCTGTAGCCAATAGTCATTCATAGCGCTTCCTGCATGGCACCGACGAGGCAACCAAAAAGTACCAGAGGTGACCCACCAGGTTTCTTGTGAAGTATCAGAAGATAATCTCGCCATGTAACCTTTCTAATGTAATTCATCTGCAACTAGGGCTTAGCTGTGACAGCTGACCCCCGTGTCTGCGCTCCCGATTGGCCTGGGCGGCCGGACTGGTACGGGCCGTCGTTAAAATGGCTCCACCAAGGTCAAAACTTAACTTGGATGGACGATCCGTGCATCAATGCAGACTGGACGAGTCAGACAAATGGTCAGGATAGAATGGCGTCTGCATAGCTTCCCTCTCCCGAAAAATACGCCTAGTTCTTCTGTACGTAAGAAGCATGATAGGATAGTGGCACTGGTAAAGTGCAGAATTCATTTATGCTTTTGACACACCCCCTCCGAATGTCAGGTCAATCGATTGCACCAATTGAACTAGGGCCTGAAACGTATGTCCGTCGGCCGCTGGAAGTGGCTCAGGGGTTATTTCGGCCATAGGCAACACTAGTGAACTTTACCCCGGAGGATCACAGGAAGCCAGTGATCTTCACTGCTGATCTCCGTGGCTCGACACAGCAGAAAGACACAACAGTCTGCCTCTAAATAACATTCCTTTTGCCTACCCTGATTCGATTCTGATGTTTGGAATCCCGAGCGATCGGTTTCTTCTGGATGGCGTGTTTCGATCTTCGTGACCATCAAGCATGGCTTCCACCTTCCCCGGCGGAATCTTCGATAGTTTAGGCAAATTCTATGTATCCGTGGCCATCGTGTGGACGGTCGCCCTTCTCGTCGGCTCGGTCTTCCTCGTCGTCAATCGCCAGGAGCAGTGCATTCGCATTCGGAACCTACCTCTCGCCCTGAGCGCGGTATCATGTCTTCATATCTACTGGATTCTTTGCATGTTGGCTTACACGATGGCCGGTGATTACCCCTGCGGTGTGGAGTACTGGATCATGAGTGTTTACCTGCCGCTGGGAATCGCTCTGTTCCAAGCCAACAGCATGCAACTTCTGAGCGTCTCCGGTATTCAAGAGAAGATGCTCCATAACGCACACCAACCGCAGAGAGCCAGCTACAGCACTGGTTCGAAATATCCCAGTCAATACTGGCGTCAATGGAAGCAAATGAACTTGGTCCACCGAACGGAAGTGGCCATTGCCGTGGGAATGGGAGTCCAAGTAAGTTAATCGCACGTCTCCCTTGCTCGTCAAGGCTCATCTGAACCATCTCAACTTTAGTTATGCCTGTCGCTCTCTATCTATCTCGCCTCTCGAAAGTTCCACGGCTTTGGCAGCTTCTCCCAACAAGGCAGCCTTGCGGAGTGTCGGCGAGGTCCTGAATGGCAAGACTCCCTGTCGGATTGTAGCGTGGTCTACGTCTTCTAACAAATCTCTAGGATTCCCTCGATTCTGTGGCAGTTGTTCTGGTCTTGGATATTTGCACCGTGCGTTCTTTGGAAGATCCGCAACATTCGTGATATACATCACTGGAGGCTTCAAATCACACTCTGCGTTATCGCCGCGTGAGTGCTGGACAACCAATTATGGCACCCTTCCCACCCCTTGATGCTGACGTCTTCGCAGTTTACCGGGTTCGCCGCTGTGGTTCATAGCCCTGAATTTGACTTCCGAGGCTTGGGCAACCGTTAATCGGTACTGGGTACCAGCCCTTTGGTACGGAAGCTCCATTTATGAATGCAAGCAGCCCAAACTGACAAGATTTGCAGGTTTGCTCCGGGTATTATGGCGATGGAGGGCGTTACAATCTTCTTTCCATGCTACGAGCTTATCGTTTCCCGAAAGCAGCGAGATCGCATTCTCGGAGAGATTCGAGCCTGGAACGAGAAGAAGAGTACTGATAGCGAGTCGGATTCGGGGACGTCGAGATCGCAGGCTGGCTCCAGCCGCATGCCTGAGCTGTACTCTATCAAGGCATTGGAGAAATGTCTATCGGAGGACTCCCATGCCCTGCTCCATTTCGCTGCGGCCAAGGAATTCAGCGGCGAGAACATCATCTTCTTGAATTACGTGCGCGACTGGAAGGCCACCTGGGCCAGGATCAATGCCTCGAATCCCGAATACGATTGGAACCGCGATCCTCAATATCACCGGCTTCATTTCTTCAAGATTGCGGTGGAGATCTATAGCGCCTGCGTCAATTTGAAAATGGCGGAATTCCCGATCAATGTCGAATCGCGGATCTACTCGGATTTAACGAAAATGTTTGGGGAGGCAGTGCAAAGTTCCGGTCGGCGTATGTCAAGAGGCGCCGCAACACACATGGAAGAAGACACTCGGGCTCTGTGTCTGGATGAAAATCCGTACGTGAGCCAGAGCATCATGCATATCAAATCCCGGGTTCCCGACTCAGTTGTGGTTCCCCCAGACTTTGGGATTTCTGCTTTTGATGAGGCCCAGAAGTCCATCCTCGCTCTGGTGTTCACTAATACCTGGCCTAAATTTATTGATTCTTCGAGCGACGATTTGTCCATCAAATTTTGAGTAAATATACAGCAGTTCCGGCATGGTTTCTGGTTTGGGGTTCTGGTTCGGGGGTCTATGGTAATTTACTATTAGGTACAAATGAGGATTTCTTTGCACACTCAAAGTAGACACAATAGGGATTACATCGCTCTTCCTCTTCCGCGACTAGCCTAAGTATCACGAGTCAAAGATGGGCCCAAAGGCGGGCACCCCACTGGCCTCGAGTTCAAATACGACCTTTTTCGTGAGCACCGGGTTGCTAATGACGCAGACAGCTTCCGCATCGAATTCCCGGATGAGCTCCCGCGCCATTGGGACCATATCCACTCGCCCGCTGCTGTTGGTATCGATGATCAGCGGGTTAGGGTCCAGCTGACGCACGAGGTTGAGGACGTCTGAGCCATACGTGCGGCTCGGGTTGCGTGTCTGCCAGAGGACTCGCAGCGGTGGGCGATCCTTCTCACTCAACCAGGAGAGACATGGCCCTATTCCAGACCCTGTAGTGATAATGACCACCCTGCGGAAAACTCTCATCACATGGATAAAGCCATACATCAGTGTTCCACGTTTCCAGAGGTAGGTTGGCTGCTGATCAATGCATCGCGTTGTCCAGTCACCTGCCTTCGATACTATGCACGAAAAGCTTTTGCCATCGGGATCTGGAAAGGTTGCAAAGCTATGCCAAGTCCGTAGTGGATGCTTGGAGAGAGCTATTACTTTACCAAATGCCGTGGATGTATGATCCAGGTGGAGTCGGGCCGCATGCGGTGATAGATATTCGGGCCACACTTTCACTCGACGAAGCAGTAGCCAAGGATGGACAATCGTCGCAACGATAACGAGGACGATCCAGAATGCGGGGAGCTTGATCAAGTATTGTCCAAGACTCACACCTTCTGCATGACGGGCCTGGTCCGCAAAAACCACCAGCAGCGTCAGGAAAAGTGCGACCGCCAGCCATGCACCGAATCGGTGCGTCAGCTCGAAATAATCATGGAGCTTGGTCCGGAATGTGGGGTGGGCAACCACGATGATCGCCATCAAATCCGCGAGTAATACATAGGCGAGGACCACCACCGGCAGGGACACAGTCCCCGAACCTGGAAACATCCAATATTCCCGCGATATTAAAGCCACGAGGCCCACATACCACAAGAAAGATGCCACACCACATCCACTGTGGACGCCGCCGTAATGATACGCCTTTGCGGCCATCTTGCGCAGCATGAGGGGGGTCGACTGTGGGATGCGACATATGCTCACAAAGATGGCATTTACCACCAGGGGATGTCGCGCGAGACCGCAGATCAGTAAATTGACGGCGGCTGCGTTGACAAATGCGAGGAGCTTCTCTCGACTCTGCACCATCACGACCACGAATGCGACCGCATTGGCGCAGTATATTAGGGTAAACAAGCGGCGGTAGATGGTGAGAAGCAGATACCGTACTGAAGCAAAACACTTCCTTGGGGGCTGCTGGGCCTCAAGGTCCACATTGGCGGAATACCGTTTCCAATCCCCTGTGGTGTCATTGCTGAGATATGTATCAACGGATGTCGCAATACTCGGCTTGCTAGAATGGGTGGGAGACATTGTGTTCCAAGATGATGTAGCCTATGTATGGTGTTGCAGTTGAGGGCCGCGGGCGTGTGAAAACCCAAGTATATACAAGATCAGAGACATATGTGCATACATGAATCAAAAAAAAAAAAAAAAAAAAAAAAAAAAAAAAAAAAAAAAAAAAAAAAAAAAAAAAAAAAAAAAAAAAAAGAAACATGAGAACGACAACACTTAAATAAGATCAGTGCTGCTATCGGGGCTTACGGGTGACGTCTGACATGCTTATTAGCAAAGAAAATACCCCTCATTTTTTGATACTCGTAAGATGCCGTTAGCAGGTTAACGGTTGTGGGTCACCTAATCAGCAATTGTATTAGTTGCGCAGATAGCAGATGCCAGTCGCATGGCTGTGGTCGAAAGAGCGAGCCATTTCGTGACCTCACAGGGGCCAGTATAGGGAAACAAAGAGGCCACGCAGGCAGTCGAACCGGGGGCTTCTCCATCTAATCTGACATGGGCGAATGGCATGGTCGAACGACTCATGCGTATGCAATGCAACCAGCTAGCCATGGACTAAGACCCGTCCTGACCCCAGTACCGCTCTGGCCGTTGGGATTCCGGTGCACCTTAATAAAAATTTGCAGCTCAACACAAATTGCGTTTCCCATTCTTGTCTATCGACGTTAGCACGCAATTAGCTCTACCCGGGCAGTAGAAACAGGAGATTCATTCTTACCGCTAGATTGATGAGGATCCCCGTGCACCCGTAGGTCTACCTGTCTGAACTTTCCATCGACCGCAAGCAGCGTGGAAGCGTAGGGATCGACATGCTACTAGTCCTGTTCGCTGATAAGGCATCGGCTTGGCATCTAGAAGACTTTGCTAGGGTTCTAACCGTGCCAATAAGAACGTGCGGACCCCTCACTAGCCAATTGTGTTAATTTTCGTTCGTTTGCTGTCTTCTCATCCATGAACCTCTAGCTGTGACTCGGACCGCTCCAGATCCATCCTGACCTGAAGTCAATTGATGATCATGGTGGATTTAGCGGATATGGCCGGAGTCTATACAAAAATATATATCCGCGGTGGTGTATGCTGATCTACCCGATGGTGCTAAATTTCTACCTACGGCAGATATGAGGGGAGGTTCAAGTTGTCATGTTGAATAATGAGGCTGCGTATAACTAGTATACATATATATAAACTTAAAAAAGCATTATGGCACACCGAGTCATGAAATGTACGCCACATGGAGTCTGCCTCTCATTAACTCCCGGAAGTGTGACATTGACAGGCACGAGCTGACAGGACGAGGCAGCCGAGGCAACGGGCTGAGGCAGAAGTTTATTCCGGCCCCCGAAATGAAGTTGGCCCTATCCAAGGGTGTGCAAAATAACACTTGGTCAGCCCTCGACACCACCGGCAAGGAATGTCCTGCAGGTTCGTGCTTGTATGGCATGATCTGTCTGTCCAGGATTCAACTTCCCATGATAATACTTCATCAATTATTCCCCTTGTTCTCATGCACGAGTGGTATTGATAACGTAAGCACGGACTACGACAGTCTAGTCGCGGCCAGCCAAGCTGCCAGCCAGCCTCGTCCAACGCTTTTTATGCCTTGAGGGCTGATGGCCCCCAGCCCTGCTAACCCAGATGCGGCGGGTGAGCGAGTCAGAATCTAAAAATAAAAAACCGTAAACCCAATTAACCGAGCCCAAGTTCATCTCGAACATCCGATATGAGGGGGTGTCGAGCAGAGGATAAAAATACATGGGGATATGATCTTAGAGGCTTCGTCCGTGGTATCGCCATGACACAAAATGTATGTGATGTGCAACATTGCCTTGTGCATGTTCAGGAGTTAATGCCTCTAGGTTTCGCTGGTTCAAGACGCCTTTTCGCGCCAAGAGAGCGTAACAAGCTAAGACGACGCATGCTGTACATGGCGTGGCTCCTGTTTACCCAAAAGAGGCAGTCCTTAGGACAGGGTCAGATCCCGCTTTCCTAAGAAAGCGAACAAAGACAGGTTAGATTTCAAATGACATAATTCAATTGTGGATTGTGCGTCTGTTTTTGTGTGTGTAGGTGTCGATCATCTGGAACGAGATTTTAGGGTCGGTGGATTCCGTCCAGCTGTCCTATGGATGCCTCAGGTATACATAACCACCCGTCGGAAGGTGCGGGCATGCCTTCCGTTCGGCACCAAGACCGAACGTAATCAGTGAACTATGTCGTTGCCATAACTGATAGCACCACCGTCGCTGCCTACGCGAACAGCCCCGTCCATGGAAGCCTTAAAGCAGGTTTACTCGACAGCACTGGCGGATCGGTTACCAGAATCCGAACCTCTGGCTTCGTGGGGAAACCCCATTAGGCGGGTCCATCTCCCCTCTACGTGTGCAGCCCGGTATATCTGGTCACTGAATACCCACTAATCATGAAGTATAATTGAATCGGCATTTGCATTATATCAATACCGTCCCTTAGTATTCCGGCGAGGTATAACCCCTTGACATACGTATGTAGCTGGGTAACCATATACTGATCATACGGGTCCCAAGCTGTGTTTAGCCTAAAACTATACTCGAAAAAGGGGATGCGAGGAAGGCATCACAGCTACTAACGCTATGTACCAATAGCTGGGAGGTAGTGAAGACTCGGCAAACGTGAGTTTGAGGCGCGTGATGGACATGATCCCGGGATGCATGTCAAAGTGGAGCCAAAAACGAGCCGAAGTGTTGGAGGGATCGAACAGTAAATCCAAACAAGGAAAACATATCTATTAAGGTTAATGCATGTTGGTGATCTCTTACATTTGGACAGCCGAGCAAACCCGGCATGCCTCTTGTCATGAGGTATGATTTCATTTTCTCTATGAAAGATTTGACATTAATGTACTGCGTTAATCCGGTCTCCCTCCTGTGGTCATTGGTATTACAGCTGCTCATGGTACGATCGTCTCTGTCTGGTGACTAACGAGCGAATCTGGCGGCGGAAGCCTTCATTATATGAGTAAGTAAGGGCATTCGCAAGACCAATAAACTGCGTAGATGCCTGAAGAATCTGCAGCCACCTCATCTTATGACCAAGGGATTCGAGCAACCGATTGAGCAGCCCGGGGATCCACAGAAGTACATAAAAAGCTGGGTAGCCATTCAGCAACATCACCCGGCGAACTTCGGCATATCGGATTTTCTTATCTCGTTGTTCCGTAGAATCCCCTCTCCTTCCTGGGGTGTCAGCGTACCTGAGGCGGCGCTCATTGGAGGTCGTGTCGTATTTACTCGGCAGGCTTTTCACTAGAGCGCCGTATTAGGAATACATCATGAAAGTGATTCTTTCAGCTTACCTGCGGAGAAAGGGACCTGCGATGGGAGATGATCCCTTGACGGAGACTCGCCTACCCCACCTGTGCTGGATTGATTATTAAACACGTCGCTACTCTGGACAGTGATTGTGGTGTCCAGCCTTATAGATGACAGCTCTACGGGATCTCCTTCTGTGGACCTGGATTTATCACGGCCAGATGTTGTATCACCGTTCGGGAACAGGCTCAAATGCTCGTAGCGGCGCTTGACAACGACGAAGACCACAATATACGTCACGGCGGTAATGAACACAATAGCTATTCGCCATCCATGTCCGAGGGCGTACCGTAAGCCTAGATATTGCGGCTCGATCCAACACCAATTGCCGCTCACGGGCCCAACGATACCCAAACAGAGTGCCGTGGTACCTGCTATGAGTAAATAATGTGTGCCAAACCGGCGAAACTGAAAGAGTACACATGTAATAAGGGGACAAAGGAAGGGGCACTCACTCGTGACTAAGGGGGTAATCCATATGGAAATGCACAACATCACCTTGGCTCTCCAGCTCAAGGTTGATACTATGGTTGGCCGTTGGACAATCCACAATGCGACCATGGCTATGGCCAGAATCGAAAAGTCAATGGCCTGTGTAACACTCGATGAGAAAGGAGGACCACTATTGAGGGCGCTGGTGAAACGTACTTGGACGGAGAATTGGCCAATCCAACCATTCAGCTGGCAGCCAGGTCCGGGTTTGATGTCATGGCGCCGGCTGACGACTAGGAAGCCTGAAACGGTATTGTTTGTGGCATTGAGGAAATCTATTCGATAGTGCAACTCGTGTGTTAGCCCAATCATCAGTCGTAGCATTATGAATCATCGTGTACTGTACCGGCGATTGTCAGATTCAGAATTAGCCAATGCCGAAAATGGTTTTTGGGTGAAATGGTGAAGATAGCGAGAACAAAAGCCGACGCAAGAGCAGAGAGGAGACTCCCAACAACCGTCGGGACCGATACAGCTAGGTCAACAGCCATGAGATACTGAGGCACCGTCAGAGGGCCTCATTTCGTGCCTTCCCTGAAGCATGCATAGGTCTGAAAGGGAATCACATCGACTGAGAGGGTGTCAACTATCTGCTTAAATCGAACGAAACGAAAGCTTCCTTGCGTGTTAACGCTGTTCGCTTCTATTACATAACGTGGCCCACTGACCCAAGTGTTGAACTCACAGAGGCAACTGGCCCCTTAGCCAATATTTTAAGTAAGTGACTACTGTTACAGGGTGTAACAAGATTGCTGGTGGGTGGGTGTGTTCGTATATCTTTTCCGCCTAGAAAATGGCGCCGGTTGAAGAGAGCCTTCGATAGCCTATAGGAGCGGACAGGGCGGCGATCTCTTACCTTAATAGAGCTGATGGCCCCACTAACGGTTCGAATCTTGAGAATCTTTAGACGATATGAGCATCAGTTGTGCGTGGCAGGATCTCGCCACAAACTTTATTTTCTATTTACCATCCCTCCAACTAATCCGCCATAGTCTCCTACTTCATGCTGGTATCGTAGTTCGGCCGGGAAAGAGAAAGTCTGGAACGGCAAAGCAGGATCGATAGACTAGCGTATTTCGGAATATAACACAAGGTCTATCAACGTCCGACAAGTCCTCTCATGCCTAGGAAACTGACAAGTGCCCCCTTCGGGTAGTTGAAAAAGGCTACATTCGTAAAGTATTCAAAGCACACCGATGAACACAGGAGTCGAGTATACATCCATTGAGCTTTACTTGCTTGACGGAGAATAGGGGTGTAGAGTTACCAGGGTGCAGTTTCTTGGCCCGTGCCACGAGGAACGATCAGGCTGCGCGTGGAGCCGAGGGAAATATTTTACGGGTCTCAGACTCTCAGGGGCTTCAGAGTTTGTTAGTGCCCGTCTCAGAACACATTGAGAATAAGCTTTAGCAAGAGCCTGCTGGTGACCTTAACCCTGGCAGTTGAAACTCGTCCGGGGAATTCAAGAATGCCGTTGTGGGTGCAATTGTTTCAACACTACTGTGGTGAATGATGCGCAGGAACAAGACATCCGATTGAAGCCTCGAGACTCTATACAGGCAGTTGCTATGTGAGCTGGAGTCCTTTCGTTTGATGACAGCACTTCAGAATCATAGGCATAAAATCAGCGCAATGTGAACCATGGTGCAGGTTAGGGTTAGAAGGTAGCTTTACGAACGGCGACCCAAGGGCAAGACGCCCCACAACTCTATTTGGCCACCATCTTTATGGAAAATCTGAGATGGTCAGCGATTTATTCCTTGACTGGAGACCAAATTGGCATAATCTCTGTTGCAAGCCGAACAGGAGCCTCGATTTTCTAGAAAACTTGCTTTTTATTAGAAGATCGGCAGTACGATGGATTAACACCCAAGCCGAAGATGAAACCCAACTGAGACAAAAAGGGTCTTGGTGGGGGAACAGTGGAAACCTGCCAATCGCCTAACCGAACCACTAAACTAGCGAAGGATAAATCTACGGGTAACTAAGAGTCGAGAGGGAAGAGTAAAGGAGAGGGAAAGGCTAGAAGTCTGGGACTCAACGTTGGCTACCAAACCACGTGGTCTAGAATAGCCCCAACCCACTTAATCTTCCGACCGTCGACACCGACTCAAGAATTCTCTACAAAAACCCGAATACATGGAACAGGGTTGGTCTTGCAATGTTAAGTATTCCGTTCTCTGACCCGCATTAATGTTCACTGTTGGAACCGGGTCAGCAATTACGCCGAAATCCGACCGTCCTTTCGCCGTTGCCCTTGGGTTTATCTTTACACAACTCGACGCTATGATTGATGAAGGACCCACTAATGATGCTGTCTCGCCGGGGAAACTGGGCCACGAGGGTTCTTGAAAAGCGGAAATAAACTCAGTTAAATCCAAAACCCATAGGCGTCGGACGGAAAATATTGTGCCGTAGTATATAGCTACTCTTCCTAACGGCAACGGCTGCTCAGGGGACGTTGCCAAAGCCTAAGATGCCGGGGATCCAGGATTTAATGAAGTTGCGACTAGGTCTAGCATCATGGTGAACTAACAATACAACCATGGCGATATAAGAAATAACTTAAAACATGTTAGAATGATGTGTGTCTAGAAAAGTAGCACATGGTTGGCAACTGTGACGCCTGCGGTGGTTCAATAAGGGCCCTCGCCCTTCCGATACGTCAGGAGTGCTATCAGTCTGTCATGTACATTATAGAGAGTGTGGCAAAGACGGTAAGCTGAACTCGTCGCATGCAATGTAGCAAGAGTATTCAAGCCTCAACATATTTTCTAGAATTCTAGATATATATCATTCCGGTAAGTCCAAAGTGTGCTCACGAGTTTTCACTCCGGCCGAGAACCATGTTATATTTATATGATGTCATGATATCGGAATGGAAACGGCGTAGACTGTCCAGCGTTTACGGAATATATATGGAGAATGATAGATACATTCTGATCGCAGTGAGACAAGGCCGTACCCAAGAGATGAATTGCCGGCGGATGCGGCTCTTTCATAGTACCGAAATGATGAAGGAGTCTTAAGCATGATACATAATACATACGCCCATCATGACTTGAGTGGAGAGCAGAGGACCGTTGGGGGCAGTCCAATGTGGAGGATGCTGCTGTCTGCTCTTCTTTATTTGTGCATGAAGGCTTTCCGCCCCCAAAGGAGTGGATCTGATCATCATGTTTAGAGGCTTGGAGGTGATCGACGCGCCAATAAGCATGACCTATAGATGGCTGATCCCATACAGAAACCGCCCTTGGACTGCCGATTACGAGGCTGAATGGATAAATTTTGGAATGCTGTCTCCATGCCATGCATTCTTTGCATTCCCAACCCCTCCAACACCAATGTTGACACAAGGTGCCCAACTCACAACGGTGTGCCTGGTTGCCACGCAATTGATCCTTCCTATGTTACCTGTATAGGGCAGAGAGATGCTGAGATCATAACCTTGCCCCATTGTCCGACAACTAGCTAGCGTTAGTCATGGTTCAGAATCTAAATGTCACTCCGGACGCACAAATCCAGCCTCTATTCCTGCAGGCTTTTAATTATGCCGACAAAACCAATACCCTGAGGCTAGAGGACTGGCTCTCGATCCTGACGCTCTGTTTGTCTCCCTTGATTGCCCATGTTCTTTCGGGTGTTCCGACCGTGGTACGACGATGCCCGAGTCCCCCGACGTGGCTCGACACGCTTTGCCTATACAATCCCACCACCATCCTATGGCGATACCTCGCCATTGTGGAACGCCGAGTGAGATACCGACATCATTGGGATGCAGCGGACATGGCAGCCACTAATGCGCTCTTTTGGACGTCACACGGCTTCGATGGCTCCGAAGACATGATGAGGCAGAGCCGAAGCTTCTGCGCGCGCATCCCACGTCATCACCGCACGGAAATCTGGTCAATAGATTCTATTAAGACTGTCATCATCACTCTACAGGGTATCCAAGCCCTCGTCGTTCTGGTTCGCGGTGTGCTAGCGTTAGCCAATATTGGCAATCAACCGTACAACGCAACCATCTCTATGAGCACTATTTTTTACCCTCTTGCTGTTATCGGTCTCCTTCGGCTGTTCGCTGCCCCCTGGTTGACCGAGGATTATGCCTACCAGGAGCACGAAACGTATGAGAGTAACAGGACTTTGGCGCAGCATATCACGCATCCTCCTTCTTCGGATGGCGCTTCCTATGCTGCTGTTCCTACCGGCCCTGACACCAAAAATGCGACGTCCTCAAATGCATCACTGCTACCCAGGAGCTCGATGGCTGTCTGTGATCAGTCGCCCGATGTTTATACTCGTCCTAAGGGACTCCATCTTCCCACTCTGGCGGTTGTTGTGATCGTGCGTTGCTGCTATCTTGGCCTCTTATGTGTCATCCTGGCTATATCTGTGTGCTATATGATCCCGTACAATGGGGCGAGTGAGATGCTGACGCACGCAACGTCCTCAGCCGTTCTTTGGCTTCTTATTTTCATGTATATTGTGTTCAATCTGGTTTCTATCATTCTCTTCGTCATTTACCTCATCCAGCGCGGCCGGGACACAACGACCGTCATCCCATGCCTTCGTACATGGTGGTACCGGGCTTATACGCTGGTCTTCATTGCAGCCGCCGTTGCGTTGATCGTTCTTTCTGGGGTCTACACGCGGCGAACATCATGCGGGCAGCTGACCGTTTTCCCACCCTTGTTTGATCAGCAGGTATGCAATGGTACGCCCATGCAGGTAGACAAGGGTACGGGACCGTTCGGGATAGTCACTCAAGCGCCAGGTCTCACGCCAGAGACTTGGATCTTACCATTGGAGGGATGGTGCTCTGGGACCTTGACGGGTGAGATTTTCCCAGTCGTCTCTGTTTCATGATGTGTTTGTAAAGATCTTGTAGAATGCTGGCTGGACGGGACTCCAGTATATACGAATATGTGTAATGTCATGACTAAGAATAAAAAACACAGAACATTGACTTCTAATCGCAACTCCTGCGACGTATATACTAATGTTCTATCTGTTTGTATATATACTCTGCTAAATCGTAGCTATAGAAGTAATATCAACTGGTAGCTGTGCTTCGCAGAGCTGCTCAATGACCCTGGCACTGGTTCAATTCAATTAGCTCATACCAAGTGCTATAAATCACAGACACTCGGTGCATGAACAGTCCTGCAGTCTATTCCCGGTTACAGTGATCACACCTAGTTAAGCTTGCTTCCAGTAATGTTGGGCTTGAACCCAGGAGATATGGGATATGCTGGAAACTCCCAGCGAACACTCCTTCTCAGTAACTGGTACTCCAATCCCTTATCACCTGCATTCATATACATAAACTTTGTATAGGGCACCGTGGCATAATATGAAAAGGACATACCGGCTGGGACAAACGCCACATCACCATGCAATAAATGCACCAACTCATAACCCTGTACCTGGAAAGCAAGCTGGCCCTCCTCCATTTGGAGGGCAAAGTGATGCGGCAATATCGCCGTTGAGACGGGCTCATTACTCAGCTTACTGGACATGATAATGGTTCCCATAGTAAAGTTCCCTTCTGTTTGAGCGGGGGTTGCGAGCGGCTGGATAACCTTGTACCCAATGTCAGTGTTGAGATACTTAGGCCCGTAATCTTTGGCAACGAAGTATGGAGTTGTTGGATCGTCGGGTGGGGTGTTGGGCCCATCATGCCAGGACTGCTTGGTTTCACCAGCCGTACCATTCACAAAGTCGCGCCTCGGGACATACTCTTCCTCTGGTGCTGCGTATAGATCCAAGGAGACGAGGCGGTCGTATTCCTGAGGCGTCATCGGTCCGAAGGGGGAAGGATCATCTAGAATGGGAACGTAAGGTGAGCTGACACCGCGGGTGTCGTGGTCACCTTGGCTGAAGACATTGAAGAGTTTCTCAAAACCGCCAGGGTGGAAGACATGCGTAAGTTGCGAGTCAGGATCGACCAACTGGAATGTGTGGATGGAGCCCGGGGGGATATTGCCGTAATCACCTGGTGTAGCAACGCGCGCCTCGTGGCTGGAATTGGTGGCATTTTTCTGTCCCCAGAGCTGACAACGGCCACGGGTACAGTAGAGATGCTCATGTGTCAAGCCATGAGTGTGTGGCCGAGCTGATAGCCAGCCTGAAGCTTTTCCGTTATGTTGCAGCAGGGAAAAGGCACCGTCAGACGAGTTGGCGGTGATGGAGAAGCGGATCGTTTGGGACGAGGTAAGTTTGATGGCATCACCCTTGTATTTCGGAAGGACATATGGACGCACAAAATCGGGCGCCGTATCGACGATGATGCTGCTATTAGAGGGAGGGCCTTCTGTCGCAGCAAAAGGGGTGAGCAAGATAATGGATAGCATCCATCCGAAGAATGGGCTCTTCATCTCTGCTAGTATTACAGGATGTGCAGCATATAATGAGATAATGAGTATACAGTGGATAGTGAGAGAGGATGACCACGGTGGCATGGTCAGGAGGGGTATTTTATAGGGAATATGTGAGCTACAGTGATCACGACTACAGTGATATGTGGGTTTCGTGATTACAGGACACACAGGCCCGCTCGATGTACAAATGATTTCCTGTATTGCTCCTTGGCACAACTTGAAACTATCATCATCCGATGGAGGCAGATTGGGGAATCTTTACGACAAGCAAGCATATTCACTTAGCCACGCCTCTATTCTATTTGCTTCAGGTTCGTTGTACAGCAAGATACTCCTGTGAGTGTCATAACCCACTTTTCGAAGTTGGCACTGCGCCATTAAGGCGTTGATCAACTCAATTGTAGCTCGTACCATACATCCATGAACCTACTGAGAGATGGTGGTCTAAGGAAGTGAGATACAACGATCAGCTCACCACTCAGGTCATGTAGAGTGCTTAGCAATAGTTTACAGTCAGTAGGAATTAATTCCGCTCCAGACCTTCAATTAGGTATCCGCATAGTAGAATTATTTAGCTTCAAACCCTGCATACGTCAAAACATGTGGATCATCTTTACATACGTTAATCTGATTATCAATCGCGAGCTAGGCTAGGTGGCAAAATACGCGGGAAATAGAGGGCCAAGAAAGAAGGATAGCCAAGAAGTTATCTCAAATTCTAGAACAATTCTTTTTTTTTCCCGCCGGATCCTTTCATATCCTAGTATCCTAAATCATCCCATCTGTGGAGCCAGGACTGGAAATCGTTTCTAGAACCTGGCCTAGTTCTAGAGAACTTTTCAAGCCGGATATTAACCCAGCAATGATGTCCAACACTTCTGGTTAGGTGACAAGGCTTGCCACTATTACCACACCCCAGGAATCTTCATATGCGCCCCTCGCGTATGCCCTGTGTAAGGCAGCAATTAAAATCCACGCGCTGCTGAATTAAACCTTGTGGTGTGCCAAATACCATGGTTGTACTGCCCCTTCTAGACCACGGATCCGTTGGCAGTTTGGCTACAACTTTAGAGCCCCTGATGCGCATCTTTCTATCTCTATTCTCCTGGCATTCAGAGATCCACATGTGTCATGAATCAGTGAATCACTGGTACAAACTAGTCTGAAGAATGGCTACATCGCATTTGCAACTAATTTATAGATTTCCTTCTGCATTTTGGTCAACGGGGGAAGTTTTCAACGCTTCCAGCTGAATCTACTCAACGTAGGTTGAACATACTATTGTAGTCCCGCAGACTCCCTTCGTATGATCCAATTTCGGAGACAGTTTTGACACCAATCGTGTAAGCAAAGAACCTTGATATTCCGACTCTAACCATTGTAATATCTAATCTGTCTAATAATCTATCTCTCCACTGTACGACATGGTACCGTATATGTCGGGACACAAACGATATAAAACCAAAAGCCAGTATAAACATTCCCGATGCCTAGTTCAGCACCGAAGGTTGGGCCTCAAGCAACGAGACGTAACATCTATAAGCCCTTACGCCTGGATTACTTTAGCAATTTCAGCACCTGGTGCGTGATATCGACCAAGGGAAACTGGGTTCGGTTGCCTGCCAAAGTCCCGGGCACTTTCTCATCAAGGAAGAATTCGGTGACGGAGTACAAACTGCCGCCAATCTCGACATTGTCGACCGAAAATCCGTTCTGAGAGACATATAGGTTGGGGACTGTTCCCACCATCTCCGCACTAGTCCATAGTCCATCAGCTGAGCGGAGCACAACAGTTCCGTCCGTGGAGTCAGAAACCAACAATACTGTGCCGTTGAATTGCTTTGGGAGGAGGATTCCATCCAAGCTATTACCGATCCTAGTCGCATTGCTGCCCTTCAGAGGAACATGGATTTTGTGTCCCACTTTCTCAGTCATGTTGAAACGGTACAGCTGTCCATCCGAGCTATCAGTACTAAGCAGTATGTCACCGCTGGTAGCAAGTCCTGAGAGGCCCGCTACTGTTTGGTTGGGCTGAGGTTGCAAGTACCAAGGAATGACAGTTGAGCCATTGGGACCGACCTTCACGATGCTCGTCGGGAAACTACCGACGACAAAGGTATTGCCGTGAGTGTCATGAGCAGCGTCTTGGTAGCCGCCGTACACACCATTCGTTACTTCAGTGAGATTCTTTCTCCAAAGGACCTGACCATGGCCTGGATCAACCTTCACCAAGAAGTTATCGCCTGATATGTCCTGGCCTTGAGTGTCAAAGGCAGCACCAGCATCCACGATGACCGAGAGTAGGCCTTGAGGATCCACCACAACACCACTCATGTGAAGCATTGGGTCTCCAGAGAGTCCCGGCAGATATATAGTATCTACTATTTCTTTCTTGTAGGGATCGTAAACAGCGACAGTGCTATTGTAGAGGGCACTGAAGATAGAAGCATCCAGGATCAGTTCATGCCCAGCGGTAAAATAATGTCTCTTACAGGAATACGTACCTTAGGTAGACTAGACAGTCATTCTCATTGAAGTCGGCATGCTCCGGGTATAATTGGTAGGCATTGACAGTGATGTTGCCAGTGAGAGACGGGCATCCAGACTTGGCAGCATCTGCGGCATGGTTAGCTTCTTCGTCGGAAAGAAAGGCATACATTCCTGTGTGGAAGTTTCCAAAGCAGGTACATCACAGTACTGTTGCGGAGAGCACTTCATCTTCTTTTGAACTTACCAGAGGATAGCGTAGAAACTTTAGGAGTGTCATGAACGCTGGGGCCATGATTCCCAATGTTGCCCAACACATCCGTACTTGGACTATGATTTATACCTGGGTTGTATATCGGCGTATTGTTGTAAGAGCGCAATCGTCCACTTCGGAAAGCGGACGCCGGTATTCTGGCGTGTGCGGGAGCAATATTGCACCCAAGTAGGAGCATCGAAAAGATGAATGCTTGAAGTGATTCATTCATGGTGGAGCTTGATTTGGGCGAATGAATGAAGTATTGTCTTGACAGTTGGTCATGCGTATAGGAAATTGTCCAAACCACACCTGAGAAGTTCCAGCCTTATATATGTCCATTGCTAGAGGTAAATTGCAATGAGTCTATGGACCCAGTGCAGCGATTCTAATTCTAGACTATTCTCAACGTTGAGCATGCAACACGCCAAGCAAGGAGCTTAACCCAGGGTGTGATCGTGGACACTAGCTACGCATCAAGACCCTGGATCTAGAAGCTTGGAATCCCCTTTTTACATTTTTTTGCGCCCATATGCCATTAAGCAATTTACATACCCATGGCAATGCTTAGGCAGCGATAGCTAAAAACAACGTTTGGAATCTCGCCGCACCCTATGTACACCTGGTGTCGCCCTTTTTGAGTGTAAATCACTATCTCTACTCTCGGTCTCTAAATCATGGGTTGCCGAAGATCATCATTCTGCCCTATCTAGCTCTACTGTCTTGAACCTCTAGCGGTGCTGGTTGTGCATCGTCCATTGCATTTTACCCTAGAATGAATCTAGTCTCGTTAAAGTGATCAAAATTGATAGGAGAACACAGCCACCCTCAGCTAGGCTCGTTGTTCTTAGAGTAATATAGACTTTTGGCGTGAAGGTTGCCCTGTTTAGCGGCTCATGGCTAGTTTTCCAGACTCGGTATTCTTGACGTTCATAGCAAAGTTAGACCCCATGTGGATCTTGTCAACCTAGAATGCTTTTTTTGAAACAGAGTGTGGCTGAGGTTGCATTAGGGATCCACAGTATCCTCAGATCCATATATTTTTCCATTCCGGAGTATATTTTCAAATTTTGCTTACAGAGCATTCGCGGAACCAGACCGCACTTGAGGTCCCACTCAATAAGGCTCCGGTTAGGGTCAACATTGAGAGAAACGGTTCACTCAATCTTATCCAATCGTTTTCTGCAACGTTTTACGCTATTTTAAGTTTGGGAGGAAGTGATGTTATGTCTTGACGCATCTATCCTCTACCAATGACACGCTGTCACAGTAACACATAGGACCGAATGTCCGACTCAACTATTCACACGAGGGATATATATGACAGCAATTTGTGGCTCCCATTTTCAGGGAAGCAGGTCACTGGAAGAGACATCAGTCTGAATACTACATCACCTCGCTATCATTACAGATGAAAGGTGTGCTGTAACGAGTGTTGCTATGCCGTTATAACTTCGGGATATGCAGGGCAGCACGCCTGTCAATTAGGTACAGATCAGCATAACCACTGAGCAGAGTATAGATGTACTACCTCACCGTTTGGGCGCTTTGGTAGTACAAATATCATCATGGCACTAGGGTCAACTCGCATTAATATGATCTCCAACTCCTGGTAGTTTTAGGCCAAAAAGCCACCGGTTGATAAAGCTTCGGTTTTCCACCTTCGCCACGAGGGTCAATGTTATGAACTCCATTGGATGGCCAATGGTCTTGGAGTAGGCTTTGGGTAGGCATCGCAGAGCTGGAGTCTATCAATCTTAATAGTAGGGTGACACACGGGCCATCTTCTGACAGGTCTACGCCTTGGACGCTTCAAAGGCCACAAAGCAGCGGTTCACCGGGCGTCAAACTTCCTCTAAGTACAAACTTTCGAGTGCCCCGTTCAACAGCAGCACCCTCTTACTCAGTATATATAGACAACAACTATAATCTGAACTCCGTTATTTAGGATAGTCCATCTCCCGGCTACAGCATTTTTCACATCATTTATCTTCGCACCCGCCTTATCATCTCGTTTTGCCTCCTATGAGCTCTTCAACCAGCATCAATTATCCCACCATGAAGACCAGTCTTATCTCCATAGTAGTCCTTGCCGCAGTCATCACTGCGGCTGTTGAATCCGGAGGTCACTATAATACAAGCGATCTTCCCGAGATCGTGGTTACGCCTCCGAGTAATGCCAATAGGCCTAGTGGCAACACCATCGGGCCGAATAATGATAACCTACTGGGGCAAAATCGGATACTCTACGGTGTAGGTCATGAGAACAATGCGATTATAAACCCCGCAGCTAATGTGCGAAAGATATGCGATATTAGGACGCGCAAGTCGACTTGCAAAAGGAAAGTTAGGGACCAATGGGTTAGCATCAAGTGTCGTAATAAGGTGAGAGGGCTCTCCAGGCTATTTCCTGCCAGACATATGTGTTAACCCAGAAAGTGCACGGAGGGGTCCTGTCGCTTTGACTCGTCGCAGCGTGATGAGCCTGCGGAGTGCAGCATTCCCAAACAAGGATGATGCTTTCCCGGCCATTCCAAAGTATAAAAGGGAGAACCATTGACGAAGACACTGACGTAGATCTTAAGGAGAAAGAAGGTTTTATCATGGAATCTCTGACATACTCAAGTTTCAGGCTATGATGGTGTGACCTAGGCATGTTTCATCATTGTCAAGGCTGGCCGTTGTATCCAACCGTTGATAATCCCCAGAGGACTTGCAAGGCGTCTGTGTGTCATTGGCATAGGCATGTACTTTATACCAAATGTCTCAAAAAGGACGGTGGTCCTCAAAGCTATGATATCTACCGATATCACTTCCACTATTGTAGCCGTGGTAACAAGCTAAGGGTTCTAATTTTCGTAGTTTTTCGAAATGCTCTTACATATAGCAACGCCAAATAGGAGGAGAAGAGCGTATTCAGAGTGTCCATCGCCTAACTGTCCCTATGTAGTGAAATTAGTTCTCAATATACTAATTCCGACGGTAATACGCAAATCCTTATGCTTATATTCTTCTCAATATAAAGATGTCACCATTCTCGCAACCGCACCTCAATAACATCCGCTGCAATCAATGCCCTATGGCCCACAAGTCAACCATTTCTACCAGACATCTGATAATATCGCTTCGCGGTCGCGCGTCGAATACGCTTTCCATACATGATCATGCCCAACAATGTCATTGTGACTCCCAGGCTGATAAACCCACAGGCGACAAACATCTTCGTCAAGCCGCTTTGTTCCATCCAAGGGCTGATGGCAAATGGTATGCCAATGCTAAAAGCATTGCGAAGGAAGGCCACACCCGTGAACGCATCGCCTGTTATCTGATCACTTGTTTAGCATGAATCAGCAGTGAGGGACACGTCAAGCTGCGGCTTACCTCCATATAACTATCGATAACTAAAGTTAGACATGCATCACTGATGCTGCCGAGGCCGAACCCAAAGAGTGCTCCTCCGATACTGGGTAAGATCCAGTGCATACCCTGCAAGATGTCAGTCCACCGCTAGGTATAGAGCACAACGATTTGATAGAAAGGAAAACGCGGGACAGATCCATCCGCGATCAATCGTCAAGAAATAAGGAAGGGAGGTCGCCTTTGCGAGACATACCCTGTCAATGGTTACTCCAAACATAATGAGACCGCCGCACAAAGCCACTGCCGGGAGGTGTAGAATATACAGGCGCATCTCTGGCTCGTAGTATCCGGAATTTCGTCGAGAAAAGTACTTAATCGACCAGTCCCCAAGGAAGCCACCGTAAAACGAGCCGATCAAGTTGCCGATGAAGGGTCCAACACTCATATAACCGATTTGCTCGGGGGTGAACTCATATGGAGGAAGGGGGAATACAAGAGCGAGCACACTCGACAGGATTGTAAGCCATATCACTCCGCATGCATATTGCAGACCACAGCAGAGGACCGCCGGAAATGTAAAAAGGATCTTGATGGGGCGATAGAAATAAGGCCAGATGGGCTCCGGTGTATAGGTTACCAATGACAGTCTCTGAGTCCATGTCTTCATAGGGATCGTGTGATCTAATGGAGGGCCACTGACGCTTTGCTCCTCAGCTCTCGTAGCGCTTTTGATAAGTGATTTGTTGCTAGGCTCGTCACCAGAAATTTGATGCACTCCATTCACAGGCCTAGCGGGGGGTGTGACACCTTCGATCGTCGGAGTATACTTTGACTCCTCGTAAAAGACGAGAAAAAGTACAAAGATAACCGCATTGAAGATGCCCATGGTACGGTAGGACCATCGCCAACCCTGTCTTGTCGCCTGAGCCCCAGCGGCCATAGGGGTGAGAAAGCTCTAACACGATTTTAGTAGGGTGTGTACGGAAGTTGATGAATGGAGCCTTACTCCAACCATCATCATAGTCATGTACAACGCATTCATTCCGCCCCGGTGATGCACAAAGAAGAGGTCTGCAATCTGATGATATGAGTTGTAAGCCCATCGTTCCTGGGAAGAGGCTACTGGGAAGCTCACAGTGATCTGAGCAATAGCCTCATTCGTTGCTCCAGCGAGGCCCTGTAGGAGGTTGGTGATATATAGCTCCGCGAGGGTTTTAATCTCTGCTCCCCAGAAGGAGGTAACCAGCATGAGTGCCGTGGAGATTAAGTACACTGGTCGTCGGCCAAACTTCTTCGCAAAGGGAATGAAAAATACACATCCCATTGCGAGTCCAACGAAGTTAACCGACATAGCATTGTTTAACTGTGCGTAAGTAACGTCTAAGTCGACCACCATCAACTGCCAGAATATCTGTTGGATGGAGAGTCTATTCAACGAACTCTGTTAGTTTCTTCATTCATGGCAAATGAGACATTAGGGGACCACAGACGCTGTGAAAATAAGACAGGTTACTGCTAGTACGAGGGTGAAATTGCATGCCTTGCGTGCAGTGCTCCAATTCTGGATTCCCCATCAATAGGCGGCGTTCCTGTCGGGGAGGCCAGACTTACCAATGGCTCGTTAGGGTCGCTGGATGGAAATGGACTCAGAACAATACCTCGTCGCCCCTGAGTCTCATCTCTATCATTATCTACATGTATGTCAGAGGATTTCTCGTCGAAGTAGAAAGGACCTTTTTACCTTTGATAAGAAGAACAGTTCCCGGGGGAGCATCATGATTGGTTAAAGCAGTTCCGGACACGTCGCCGTCTGCCATCAATATCTGCTGCTGAATAGACGTAGTATACACTGGAAACTGAAGGTTTGTGCTGTTCGATCTCAGATTACTTCAAGGACTGGCATTCATAATAAACAATCTGCCCATGGATATTCTGGTCTCCTATCTGGCCCCGTTGCCACTAGGATATGACTGATAAGAGCTTGATGCCACAAACGCAAGCATTGAAATGCGGGGAGGCCAATAGAGATCGGCAACTGATAAAGCCCCCGACGTAACCCGGGTCTAGGCAAAGGTTAAATGAACTTATTTCATGTAGAAAAGGCTGGGAAGCCGAAGTTGGGTCGACCTGCCTAAAGCGGAATCGCTTCAGAGATATCTCTCGAGTCGATCATCCACGGCTCTTCTTCCATTTGTTCATTACGCCGAGCTCGCAGGTTTGGAGATAAATAGCTGTAATATGCGCCTCGATACAGGTCTGCGCAGTATTTCGGCATCTACGGTTGATATGAAAGCCGTACTCGAGTGTTAAAGGGCTCTCTGCATATAGCAATATCGGTTCCAGAGAACGGCAACATTCCATGTGCACCAGCTATCAATTTTATACTTGGATATAGGATCACATGGCCCGCCAATCCTCTTTAGCACTATTCGAAACACAGGACGGTAACACATTCTCATTCGACCGGAGAGCATAATGGCCAACACGGTATACTCACAGCTCTCCTTTCTAGACCCTTCGTCCGTATCGGCGGTCGCTCAGACGGTAACCCTTTCGTTCGTCGGAGATCCCTTGATCCGATGGCTGCGTCCTAGAGCAGCCCCCTGGTCAACACAACAGCATGAAACGAACAAATGGCAATATCGTCGCGTACAGCAAGCAATATTAGAAGGCATCGTGCTCCGATCTGCACCAGCAACACAGTTGGCACAGGAGATTCCGATAGGAAGCCAGCAAAAGAATATCCCAGGGTCTATCCGCGGAATGAATGACGGGAATGAGGGACCTGAAGCAGGAACAGTGGCTTTCGTATTTCCCCCAAAGAGTCGACACACATGGACATTGAGCAAAATGGTCCTTGCAGTGAAACTGTGGTTCCTGAGCTGGTTGGACCCAGTCTCAGACCACGGGGCTGATGAAAAGGTATGCGGTTATCGCTCCACCCTATTCAACAGATTGAGGATGTTTTCCTAAGCCTTTGCAGCGCGTCGAAATCCTGCTCGGCGCACATGACACGGCGCTGAAGATGATAACAAACCGATACAATATCCAAGACGCTTGGTATTTAGAAGTCATAGCAGTTCATCCCTCCCTTCAGGGGCGAGGGTTAGGCAAAGTTATGATGGAGCGCATCCTGGATTACGTTGGCCATGCGCCAATCGTTCTGGAATGTACAGCTGAGCGGAATGTAGGGTTTTATACCACATTTGGGTTTGAGGTTGTCAAGAAAGTCGAATTGGCTGACAATGGTGGAGCTGTCAGTTGCTGGTTCATGCTACGGCGAGCGACGCAGAAGGAAGACATTGGTTCATAGTAGTTACCAGTTTCATAGCTGCTCAGTTATAGAAGCCCAATTTCCATTCCACGAACCAAAGCGAGCTCATGCGCGTTTGCCATGTTATGGTGGTGTACCCACCATTCCTCAAGGACCTCTAATAATAGCTCAAAATCTCTCTCAAATCCATATGGATGGTCATATGTGGATAGGCAACATCGAAGCACATCTTTAAATTCCGGTTGTGCATTGACGATGTCCGCCTGTAGCCCTGCGATAAAGGCAGGATATTTAATCGCGTTGATAATCAACGACCCAGCATCCTCTGTCTCAGTAAACGCTCTGCGAAGGGCGTCCAGATGGCTCACAATACGGGAGACAATCACAGTAGTGGTCGGCAGGATTATGGGCCGACTGCTTGCCCCATTCGTTTCCACGGTGGTTCCTGTCAGTGTTCCACTGAGTTGGGGAACCAACAGTAAGTGACCGTCTCTGATAGCCAACATCCCGGCTAGTCGATACGCTTCCCACAGCTGGTGCTGGGACAGACTACCTGGACTACCCGGCCAGTTCCAAAAGTCCTCCTCGGTAGACCCATGGCCAATACACGAGATAATATCTAGCAAAGACCTCGGCAGGCCACTGACCACCTCCACTTCATCCCCGAGGGGATGCTGCAAGGACACTCGGTCGCGACAATGCTGTCGCCAGAAGCCGAGAGAGGTACTTCGACCCACGGTAAATGTTGGTAAATCCATGACTCCCATCACTTCTAATAAGTGCGCGCGGAATTCCGTTCGCTCGCCGAGACCATAGAGTCCATGTGCCTGCAGGATACCGTACATTCCGTGCAGGTGCATCGTCCATGGCATGGCATGCATAAGCTATAGCATAAGCCTGCTGTTAGCGCGGCATGGATATACAAGTTGATTCAACGCACCCCAATGCTGCAGAGCAGCAGTCCCGCCGTGAAGGTGCCATCCTCCAAATATGCCACGTTGCTTGATAGTTCTGTGCGGAACAAATTCAAGGCTAAGTCGAAATGTTCATAAAAGTGAGGCTTCGCATTTGGCTTGAGGGAAGCCTGTAGCGCCACACAGATTGCGTACAAGGAGCTTGACTGTTGACACAAGATCGGTAGTCTCGATTCGAGGAGATTTCGCTCATCGTTGACCGAGGTTGAATGAAGGATATTGATTCCATACGAAAGAAATTCTTCAAACAATCGATCTTGTTCGTTCGATCGTACATCGGCAGTCCGTTCGGCTACTGTTTCTACCTTAGTCTTGTGTTCCGACGAACGAGAATAGTGGCCGGTGCATGTCCAATTACCTGCGCTACCTCCCTGGGGACGATAAGAACCTGCCTCGGCCTTACCATTGCCGCCGTTGTCACGCTTTCGGCGCCTTTCTCGACTCAGATCGCGTCGCCTGCCTTTGACTCGAGGAGGAATGGAAGCCTCCACTGGCTCTTCGGCGCCAGTAAATCGGCCACGCGACGCAATGCCGGTTCCCCACCGTAGCCTTATCTCATACCCTTCGCAGGAGACCCCACGGCTACTGCACACCTTGCATATTGGTCGGGTCCGGTCGCATTTCCTCCTGACTCGTTTACAGGTCCAGCATCCGTCGTGAGACCGATGGCGTGGGGTCGACATTCCGAACAAGGAAGTTAAACTGATCAGGATCAGTTCGATAAAGAGCTCCGGACTTAAAGCCGCACAGTCAAGGGGGTGCGGGCGAGACCAGTATTGTGGGGCGGACGATTTATCGTCAACGGTGGAGTTTTTATCAGGCCAAGTGGAGTTCATGCGATTCTTTTCCGCCCCGCGTCCACCTTCCATATATGGTCTAGAGCCTGAGGCCTCTACGTTCCCATATCCACCAGGTTGAACACTGGAATGACTGGGTATGGAGTGGCAGTAAGTATGACTTGGATAGTTCCTCGAGGTGACTGATGTTGTTATACTAGTCGTAGCTAGATTCACAATCCCAAATAAATAGTGTACGGTATCCATTGAGTTAGTAGTACATCACCTTTCAGCCAGATATATATCTGTCTTTGACCCTAAGGAGTAGTAAGTATTACTACTCAGAACTCATGTCGTTCCAATCGCCTGTCTCCAAATGTTCCACTGTTCTTCCCTCCCTCGGAAGGCTGGAAGGCTTCCAATATGCCAATGGTGTGCAACAGTACTGTGGCATACCTTACGCGTCTCTTGAGAAACGGTGGACTCGATCGCATTTAACGACACAGTGGCCCAACAACTACCACGATGGAACAAAGCTCGGGTATGACCATCGCGCAAGCTCTGATAGGACTCAATGGCTGATTATACACGCAATATAGAGCCGACTGTCCCCGACCGAGGATTGAAGGAGATGACTCGGATGATCTCGTACCAGTTCCTCCAACAGCCCATTTTGGAGAACCTCGAACGGACGAGTTGTCGGGACTCGTGATGAACATCGTCTTGCCTTGCGCCCCCGGGTCAAAGAAGTTTCCCGTCATGGTGTACGTTCATGGAGGTTCACTACTGTACGGTGGTGCTAACCTGCCCATCTTTGATGGCGTCAATCTCGTTTCTCATAGCATGGAAATCGGGATGCCTATCGTCTGCGTCAACTTCAACTATCGGGTCGGATTAGGTGGCTTTCTTGCCAGTGCAGCAATCCAGGAAGAGCTCCAACGGGATGGCCATCAAGGCTGTGGGAACTTTGGATTTACCGATCAACAAGTGGCATTTGAGTGGGTTCAACATTATATCGGCGATCTCGGTGGCAACCCTGACCGGGTGACTGCCGTCGGAGAGTCAGCAGGTGGCATCTCCATTAGCAACCAAATGGTAGCAGCGCATCCTCCTCCATTCCACCGTGCGGTCTGCATGTCTGGACTCTCAGTCTCGATTCCAGCGTGGACAATGGAGCAACACGAGGAGTTGTTCCGGGCCGTCTGCCGTCATTTCAACATAGATCCATCACAACCAGACGTTTTGGACTGTCTACGGCGTATACCCCAGCAGGAACTAGCCAATGAAACTCCCATCATACAAGGTGTTCTGTCGGGCACAGGGAACCCATGCCTCGATGGTTGGTTCTATGGCCGGGACCCGCGCGAGATACATGAGCCACCGCAGTGGGTTGAAGCTTTGATGTTAGGAGACACCTACCATGAAGGGGTTATCTTCCACTTGAACCTACTGAACGACAGTTTCACGAGTATTCGAGAGACACTAAATCAACATATGCCCCTGGATGAGACAGATACGGTCTTGGCAGAGTATGAGATACAGCCTGACTTACCACAGGATGTCCTTCTCAGCCGGGTAGAACACATGTGCGGTGATGTAGTCTTCAAAATCCCCAACTACGCGACGGCGCTTGCTAGCCTCCGTTTGGCCGAGGAGAAGGCTATGTTCGAATATCACTTTGACCAGCGTTCTCGGCTGAAAAACGCACTCGAGGGAACCGCGTACCATGCTCATGAACTTCTTTATCTGTTTGGGAACCTGGACAATGAGCTCTCGACGGAAGAGCGCGCAATGGCGCGTGACTTTGCTGGAGCTTGGATCAAATTCACTTACGGTTATTCACCGTGGGAAGGTTCGGAGCGACATTGGAAAGTATGGGGTCCTGAGTCAGTCCACGCAGTAAAGAATGAAGAGGAGGACGAGGAAGTTCGGTCATACTCGCGTATGAAAAGGCTACTGGCGATGGATTATGGAGAGACGTGGAAACGGTGGCTGAATGGAGTAGACGCCTTGGTGAACAAGCGTATGAACATGGGCAAGAATTATCAATCATAATGTTTGAATTATTGTTGCCAACCGAGACACAATTAGTCTGAGCAGAGATGTTGTTATATTACTGTTCTATCCCATCGGAAGTCGAGCCACGACTTATAGTATTTATGTATGGTGATATTCACTTCTATAATAGAATATCAAGTGCAATAGTCATTTGATATACTGTGGGAATAGAGGGTAGTTAAATTGAGAAGTGATCGATCCAATCTGTATTTGACCGGCTAACATTCGATGCACCAGCGTTACAAATTTGAGGCCCTGTCGCCAACAATTTGTGTCAACCCTGCTTTCTTCAGTCTCTCTTCCGTAAGCAGCATCTGCTCTGGGAACCAAGATGGATAGTCAGGCTTCAACTGGTGCTCTCGATCGCTGGCCAACACCATCTGTGCCACAGCCGTCCCACTTAACCAGGCCTGCACCATACCTTCTCCGCTAAATCCACAGCAGACCCACTGAGCCCCGTCAGCCTTTGTCGTTTCTGCAGCATGGCTCACAGACGATGGTAGCTGTCCGACCCACGGAAGGCCATCGCTACTGAATCCCATATTTCCCGTCCACATATGTTCCACACAAGAGCCTGCAACGTGACCCCAATTCTCATGGCCGAAGACCGCACTTAACACACCGGACAGATGAATATTGCAAGGCAGGCTCAGTTCAGAGTCGGTTGCGATACCCAGATCGGCAAGCCCGCCGTTTCGACCTTGAGCAAAGCCACCACCAAGCATCATCTTTCCACTAGACTCGCCTACAGGGGGCAATTGTGTCAGGTAATCGAAACCGTGGTCGTAGTTAAAGAGCCACGAATGCTCTGTTGCTTGACAAATGAATTTAGAGCCCGGGTTTTGGGCGGACATCTGTCCTCGAACAGGGTAAACGTGACCTCTTAGTTCAGGGGCAAGGTGTCCCACATGAGCGTTGGTACAGTGGATAACATTCCGAGCGCGCAGGGTTCCTCTTGGCGTCTGTACGGCATACCGTAAAGATGAGGTGGCGTCAGTCGAGACTTGGACCACCGGTGTGTTGGTCTCGATTAGAAAGTTTCCTGGGTATTTTCGTCGCAGTTCTTCTAGCACACCGGTGACCAGTTTGTAAGGCCACAGGGCTCCAGCTGGTCCGGCAACAACGCCAATAGCATGGGGAAGGCACCATTCCTGAAAGTGTATCGTCAACCTTCAAGCACTCTTTCAATAGTACAAGGCTGTAACAAACCTTGGGGATCTCGCTCTTCTCAAGTAATTTCCATTGGGTTGACTCTGTAGGCATGCACTTCTTGAACCGTTTGATGCGTTGCACTGCGTCACGCCACCTTTCTTCATCGAAGTACACACTGAGAAACTCCACTTTTCTCGCCTGCGTTTCCTTTGTTAATCCATACTTGTCCACAACCGCCAGTATCTCCTCCAGATGGGCCAGCCGGAACCGCGTCAGTGCCTTAGCCGCTTCCAGTCCATGGTGTGCTTCCCAATCGGGAAACTCTTCAACCGTCTCCAGAATATGGCCTCCATTGCGGCCCGTTGCGCCAGTGCAAGTGTCTCGTGCTTCAAGCATTACAACTGCAGGTCTCCCCTTATTGATCTTACCTAGTCGATCAGATTCCTCCAGCAGGGTGCGTGCAACCGAAGCACCTGTGATACCAGACCCAATGATCACAACATCAGCCTCTTGAGGCAGGTCAGGCGATTGCATGTTGGCCAGCTGCGGGTGCGGATCCTTGAACCAAAAGGAAGAGGTGCTCTCACGGAGTGGTCCTGGTATTCCTGGATCGGCGAGAACACGGTGGAGGGCATCTTGCCTGTCCTTAATGGGAATGCCAGGGTCGGCGAGGAGAGCCTGTACGAATGCCATGATAGAAACCTTAGAAATAGTGACCCCGGAAAAGGATGCAGAATATCAAGCACGACCCAGAGAAGAGGTGAAGTGTTACTGATTACAAGGTTATAGAGGCAAGCCGCAGTATATCACACAGAACATGATGATTTATTTCATCTCATGTTCCCTGTCTTCACGCCTATTGTCGGACAATCCGCGGCGGTTCGCCAGCACCACGGCAGTGTATCGGCATCTCATTCTAGGCTAATGATATCGGCCGAGGCCCTTCACCTTCAGCTATCTGGCGTCAACCTGCCTTTCTGGACGTGTTATGACTCCAAGTGGGGGTGGAGAGACCAGCTCCCGTCGATCATTGCCGCCACATAGCGCGGGCGTCGACCTTCCGCTTATAGCCAATGAAGATCTCGTATGCCTTGATATCGGCATCAGGCAATGTGCCAGCCATCCGCTTCATTCCAGGCACCCCCTACCAGTCTATAAAATAGCAGATTAAGAGCAGGCGTTGTGAATGCAAAATCACCCATTTCGATCGATCTCTAAATCAAGGACGCTGCCCAGAACGGCCAACATGACTTTGTCGAAGCCCACGGACTCCCCGGGCAATGACTTTTACCCCAATAGCCCACCCATGCGACGACCTAGGCTGTCATTTATTTATCGTCTGGAGTGCGACATTGATCCCCAGGAAATTGACGTCGGGGCGCCTCACGGGGCTGGAGTGATCCGGAGCGTTGCGAATATTGCCGGCGGGACCTTTAGAGGGCCGTCGATATCAGGGACGGTCCTTCCGGGAGGAGCAGACTGGGCAACGGTCATTGAAGGGACCCACGTAAGCTTCTCATTCCCCAGGATCCACCCAGTAAAACTAATACGATTCTTTAGTCCATGACCCTCGATGCACATTATACGGTCAAAACCGACGATGACTGTTATCTCTACATCCGGGCGCACGGTCTCTACCGTCCTGGTCCAGGCACCGAGTATGCGAAACAGGTCGAGAAAGACCCAACCCTTCGGCCTCCTCCCACTGTGACCCAAGATGACGTGGAATTCTTCTCACACCTGCGAATTGAAACAGGCCCAGGGAAGTACAACTGGTTGAACGGCTTAGTGTGTGTTGGAGTTATGAGCTGCGAGAACGATCGCATCCTGATCGATGCCTATTACTTGACCAATTTCGAAGATTCTCAGCCAGAGGACGTGATAGCACGGAGGAATGCCTGTTAATCAATACATCACTATGTTATCAAGAAATTGCCTCCATATCTCCTCAGATAAGCCCGTAATCGATAAACCGAGGTATAATCATCCCAATGGGGAAGGTAGACGCGCTTCGGCCGGCAAAGGATTGTGCTCCGGAGTAGTGTAGATGTTCTCCTCATGCGGAGCAACTTGGCGCTAAGGCCATTCGGCTATATAGATTGTCTTGATCCGGACCTTGTATCTTCACATCACTGACACTGGCTAACAGAGATGGGCGAAATTCCTGCGACAAAGTGCAACTGGGAGACCAGGGTGGCGGAGAAGCGCGAACAACTGGAGCTACAAATTCCCCAAGACTGGCGTCTGAATGCCACATTTCTATCCACGCTCCCATCAAATGGCCACCTCGTAGAAGCGGACATCCCACGTCATAGTGGACTTCTCTCCGACGAAGAGTTGGATATCACTGAACATTACACTGCGGCACAGTTGCTGCAGAAGCTTGCCTGGGGTGAGGTGACCTCGCTCGCAGTGACCACGGCTTTCTGCAAACGGGCAGCCATAGCCCAGCAATTGGTAGGCGCAATCGACCCGGTCAATGTCTTGTAGGACGACCCGTGATACTGATGGCTGCCTCCAGACGTCATGTCTGACAGAACATTTCTTCGACAGAGCGCTCGAGCGTGCACAATACCTGGATGATTATCTGAAGCGAGAGAAACGGGTTATGGGCCCCTTGCACGGCTTACCAATCAGTCTCAAAGATAGCTTCTGCATCAAGGGGATTCAAAGTACGGTGGGATATGTCTCATTCTTGGAGAACCCACCGGCGGAGACAAACTCTGCTCTGGTGGATCTCTTACTCGACTTAGGTGCAGTCCTTTATGTTAAGACCAATATTCCGCAGACGATGATGGTAGGTGCCCTTTCGAGGTCTTGGATTATCTTATCTGACACTTTATGCTTAGACAGGCGATTCAGAGAATAACATCTACGGTCGCACATTGAACCCACACAATACAAGCCTGACGGCCGGAGGCTCCTCCGGTGGTGAAGGAGCTCTCGTGGCCTTCCGGGGCTCAATCCTCGGCGTTGGAACTGATATCGCAGGGTCTATCCGAATTCCGTCGCTGTGCTGCGGTGTTTATGGGTTTAAACCCACCGCAGACCGTATTCCATTCGGCGGACAGGTGTCAGGGGCAATCGAAGGCGTGCCCGGCATAAAGCCCGCGGCAGGGCCACTGGCTCAGTCATTAGATGACATTGAGTTGTTCATGTCAACTATCCTCAAAGCTGAGCCCTGGCGATATGACGTGAGTACAATTGGGTCGCCTTGGGTGACGACATTGAAATTGCCCTCGTTATTAACCATCGGAGTCCTCGGCGAGGACCCTGAATTCCCAATCCATCCTCCAGTGCGCCGAGCAATGGAGTCGGCAATCACTGCACTAGCTAAAAAAGGACATAGAATAGTGCGGCTGGCACATGTGCCTTCACGAGGCGTTGCATACGCGAGTCGTCTAGCTTTTCAATATTTCACTTATGGACCACACGTCGATCATATCGTCGCCAGTGGAGAGCCATTAGTGACATCAGTCGCGAAATTAGCCAATCCCATGTTCACTGGGCCATTTCCTGTAGATCAGGAACTGGGGATCTTTGAGAAAATTGACGGACTCCATAACGCGAAAAAGGCTTACGCTGAAGAATGGTGCAGGACATGGGTCCAACACGACATAGATGTTCTGTTAACACCTGGAGCCCAGAATACAGCCACGCCCCATGATACATATGGGTGGCCGCCGTACACGGTCATCTGGAACCTTCTGGATGTAAGTTCGCAACTGTGTACGCTGAGATCTGTCTCTCTCTAACGGCTTGCAGTACCCTGCGTGCATTTTGCCGTACAGCAAAGCTTCGAAGTCGCTTGATCCAGACCCTATGCCAATACATGACGGAGTTCAGCCGAGCTGTAGGTTCCCACCCCAGAGACCAGCGGATGATGATATGTTAACTCATTCTAGATGAACCTGACTCCGTCGATGGAGCTCCATGTGCTCTTCAAATCGTAACGCCTCGCCACCAAGATGAGAAATGCCTTCTCTTTTCCCGATTGATCGACAAAGACATTCGGTAACTAAATAGTTTTTTAGAAGATGTCACAGGTGATCAGGTGTTAGAACGTGAATTTAGAATACAATGGTGTCAACCCACAAACCATAACATTGGAAGGATACCGGATAATTGCAGTGTGGACATATCAAGACGGAAGCCGCAGTTCTCTATCATTGGGTGTATTTATCTCAGTGGACTGTTTTGATTATATCTTTATCTGAAAAACGGAAACCAAATCTTGAGTGCGAAATTTGCATCACATAAGGTGGTTCTACGGCCAGAAAGCCTTTCGTATGAGTTGGCTAAGCCCAGTCCCGAAGGGATACTCTGTGGGTGATTGGGAAGCCGTCAATTGTCCCGTCGTGCCTCGTCTTGCCGCACATATTCATCATCATCAGCCTTTACAGAGGCAACACTAATATAGGTCATCTTCAGCGCCTTATAAGGCCCGATGGAATGTCGTGCAGGGACAGGTAGAGTCGCTATCTGGGGTCCCGGACCCTGGTACCTGGATGGCATGGGTAAGAGCCGCTGGTCTACTCTACAGAGACGACCGCACATCGCACAGGTATACCCTGAAAATACCGTAGCTATCCCATTCGGAATTTCCTCATGTTAGCATGATAACACTCCCCATAGCACGTAGTTTGTCATCCCTGTCACTCCTTATGTTAGTTTGACATGTGGCAGAAAACAGATTATGCATGATAGCCGCAGCTCGGCACGAGTCTGCCCTTCCTCAAAATGCGTCACATGTACGAGAAGCCTCGATGGAGGTTATGCCCTTTGGATAGCGTTGCTCCTCTCCTGGTAGGTGGCGGTCCAGGCCGAATTTGAGAGTGATTCTGGAAGCCTTCACCCGGTGACTGCATTCATGCCATCGCTGGTTTCCTTCTTGGGGCTGTTTATATCATTAAAGAGCTTTGTATTGGTGAGCTCCCCGAGAAACCACTTCTTCCGTGTGGTTTTAGATGTCCTCTGGGATTGGTTCGAGGCCGGTGTGGTCATTCCAGGTGACTTTGAACTCCCACGCACAGATTTCCTCGTGGGCACTGTAGTTCTTTTCACTCCCTGTGACAAGGTCTGATCACCAGAATCCATGTTAACCGTGGGTAGGACAAACAGCCGATAAGCTGCAGCACATGCCAAGTAAAACTCGAGTAATCTGGAGATATCGAGCGTGTGGTTCCACAACGAGCATACCGTGAGATAGACACCCTTTCCAAGTAACAGAACCAAAATCAGCTGAACACTCGACGCAGAATCCCACGTACGAGAAACAAATTCTATGGAGTCACTCATCCAGACAAGCTCCGTTTCATAGCAAGGGAAGCGACCATAACAGGTCTGTAACAACAAGCAACCCCAGGCAAAAGGCACTTTTATTCGACAATCATACTCGAACATATCTTGGGCGGTGGGCTCGATGAACGTCTGCCATCCTTCGCGGAGGCACGCCTGGCAAGCATTGCTGCTGCAATGGTGTTTGTTACATTCAAGGTCCGTGCAGTGAAAATGGCGTGAATAACCATCAAGAAGCACATTTAGCCGGTCAACCCAGAACGGCCTAAGGTTCCCATCGTCATTATACGGGTCCTTCTCTATAAGCCATCGCGACCAAGAATCCAGAATATCCTGCCCATGCGCTGCCTCGCCCAAGAAGTACTCCCTGTGTTCCGCTCCACAAAAGCAATTGGGCTTGCACCGCAAATTTCTGAGTTCGGCGTGTGCTAGTCTCTCGAGTAGTTTATAGTCTCGCAATGCAGGGCTTTTTTTGGAGCTCCACCTCCGTAGCCGACATTGATTCTGATGCTGTTGGGTGCGCACCTTCACATTCCCTGAGTGTCCGATTTTATAGCATGGGCTCTGGGCCAAGGGATCATAAAAAATGTATGCATAACCTTTCTTGGATTCTTTTCCTTGAGGGCTGGTCCACCCGCAGATCACATCGCGGATGGCGAATATGATTTCCTCGGTGCTACACAGGTCTGAGATACATTCTGGTCCAGTTTGTCTGTGCTCTAATCCATCATCGGAAATGTCCGTCCTTGGTGTCTCTTTCTGACTCGCTACAGAGAATGGCGACTCTGATTCATATGTTTCTTCATCTGACGGATCGACTGAGTCGGTTTCCATGCTATCTGCAGACACCGAAATCAGGTTTTGCCCATTGATTCGGGCGTGACTGGTTGATGTTGGGACATCCCAATGGGTGGCCACTGAAGGAATCCTTTCACCCGGCTCATCATCCGGTATTTCTATTATGGGTGCATTTTCCGGAATCCATGCTGGTCGCCGTGGGGAGGTCTGACTAGTACGCAAAATGGGGCGTGAACCATTGAGTGCCTTCGATCCTCTGGAGCAATGCTCCAAGAGCGATCGCTGTGGGTTTCGGTTCAGACTTTCTTCCGTCCCTTCACGGAGGTAAGCCTCGACCGTCTGGTCTCTGGTCGAGACACATGCGCGCGATGATTGGCTCCGTCGCGACAGCTCTTTCGCTTGCCGTCGAACCGCTACGCCTCGCGTAGGACTCTCGTCCACAAGATTGGCAGCAGAGTCGCTTTCATCGCCCGGAAAATTCCCGACTGAACCTGGGGAAAGGTCAGAGAACGGTGTATCCTTATCGGAGTACAGGTAGGAGCGTAATGGGGTGGAGACGGCCATTTGTCGGCTAAGCCTTATCAAGCGACGCGGGTGAGTTAGTAACTTACGAAATATTATCACCACGACAACAGCACGTCGGGGCTTATTATATTCACGGATCGACCAGGGTCACGTATTCCTCAGAATACCCTATTTTAGAGCCAGGGCGGTGTCCTACCATGACAGAAGGCTGTGTTGCGGATCCGAGCCTTGCGTGATAGCAAGGCTACTGGCATGTTTACTGCAGGGAAATGGCTTGGAGCATGGATGTCGAGGTCACGGGGATAGTAGTTCAAACGCTGGTCGCATATCTTTGCATGCGCACTTTGCCCGTTCTGATCCCTAGCGCATATTCCTCGTTGGCTTCGCTGTGGCTGAGCTGGGGTATGTAACAAGACTAAGAACGAAGAAGCAGTACAATTGGAGATGGAAAGACGGCAGAAGGATCACAAGTCCTCTGTCGCTATGCCCGAATCGGCACGTTTGCGAGTCATGTTCTGTTTGCAACGTTTGTCTCTCAGACGAGCCTGAGGCAATGTCTCCCTCTTTTTCTGTTCTTTAGGTTGTCGTTGATTATTTTTAGTTCTTCTTGCTCTTTTTTTCTCTCCTTTTTTTTTTTTTTTCCCTTGTCTCGTCTTGTTGCTCCACCCCTACTAGTCCCGTTATGGAAGGTAACATTGTACTCCAGCAGTAACCGGTAAACGATATAGCAAAAGGATGCAAGGTACACCTATTGTTGGAGACTTCCTTGTCTCTCTCTCTTTCTTTCTTTTTTTTTTTTTTTTAACAGGTTCCACTGTATTTAATTGCCCTTCCCCGGTTTCAAACCCAGCAATATCCAACCACAGGTAACAAAGTACTAGGGCTTAGCCACTGGACCCTGGGATCTCGGTTCTCGATCCGCCAAGTGCTCTTATCTGATCCACAACCAAAAATCTACCGACGGTCATTCCTGTGGCTAGCAGCAGAAAGAAAGATCGGGACCCCCGCTCCCCATCCCGAAATACTAGATTTACACCAAAACCTCTGATACACTGTCACGCCGGGTGGGTCTCTTCAGGATCGTCTCCATTGCCAAATAAGTATTTCAAATTTTAGTTCTATTTACATCGCTCGTGGTTTCATCGTGGAACCATATCTCGTCAGAAAAAAAGGTTGGGGTCGCCGGGCAACCACGCCGCGGGATGTAACATAGCCACGGAAGGTCTCCGATATCCTGTGCGACGAGTTTGAACCGATCGCAATTGCCACAGCGCGGCGAGGATGGGTCTCCATCGTGCCGCCAAAGGGGACCCAGGACACCAAGGGAAGGTCCTCGCGAGAACTTAGTTGACCCAGGAGTAACTGAGCACGGGAACCTCAAAGGGCTCTGCAGTGCACGTCGCATTGAAGAACTCATCATGGATGCAGTTCAAAGTGAAATCGGTGCTGCCGGAGTAGGTAATCTTGCTACCATTGGCGCACTCCAGCGCATGGCCACCGCCCAGCACGTAGTCCATATGACCAGTCGAGCTCCCCTCGTTGGAGTTGCCGTAGAACGAGACGATCCGGCCCAGGCCGCGGTCTGCATATCCGCAGTTAGACTCGCCATGTGCAATGTCGTGCACCCGGTACCCGATGTAGGTATCCCCGCAGTGGAGGCCATCCTCAAAGTCGATGGCCAGCGTCTGGGGAGGGCCATAGCCCCAGGGCTGGTAATTGGGCATGCCCGTGTAGCACACGTTAACCATGGTGCCATTGCACGTATCCGGGTTAGGCTCACACCAGTCCCGGCCACAGAGACAGCCCTTCGCGTTCTTGTCGACCTCGCTGTGAATGCAGTCCAAGCTGTGGGAGCCATTGAACCAGCGGAAATTGTCGACCTTCCATGTCGGAATCGGACACCCTTCCGGAGGGGTGATGGAGCGAGGAGTGAGGGATCGGGTCTCGACAGACCGAGCGGTCACCGAGGAGGTGAGCGCCAACAGGCTAGTTAAGATGGTCGAGAACATGGTTTCAGCGAGGATTGTAGTCTAGAGTGAGATGAGTGAGAGGCTGCGCAGGATGAGGAAACTGTGATGAGCGATCAGGAACCCTGAGCAGCGATCCAGGCGCCTTTTATAGATATCCATGGTAGCATTGAATGCTTTTGTGACCAAGTCTAGAATTGGGGAAGCGAGTGGCTCCAAAGGGCGAGGGCTGACATTGGCGCGATGCAGGTCAGCCAGCGAGACCCTCTTCCGCTGAGACCGAACGAATAGACGAAAAGGGGCGCGAGACAATTGTCTTTGGGTCGCCCAAACCATTGGCGCGACCGCCGCGAATGCCGGGTCTTGGCAAATGGGGAATAACATCAGGTTCTTCAGCACGGAGCTTGGTCACAATTATCTCAGCATCACCCAACACCTTCTCGTCTGGCACCCAGACTCCAACCTGAACTGAACCCCAATACGAGGTCCAGGCCGTGACATCCGACCATCTAGCTGCAGTAGCGCAGTGACTATCGTTTGATGCAACGACCATATTCCCAAAGAGACCGGGTTCACATTCTAAATTTAGCGCCATGACCCTGACGGCTGCAGCAGGTAGCCTGTTAACTCTGCGGCGGGAAAACCTCCAGTGACGTCCCTCACTAAGAATACCTAACAGGGGAGAACTTTGCATGCTCAGCTGTTTGAGCAATAGTACTACTAGTAGTAGTAGTCGTCGGTTCGGGGTTCACCACCTATTGGTTTTCCGTGGCCCAGACTGACTAATCAGCCCTAATTTGAAGTTTTGCTCCTGAAGGCAAAGCAAAGATTTCTTCGAATGAGGGTTTGCGCTGCGCAGGAGGCAGTGACGTCATTATTCATCATTCCAGGCACGGCGCTCAACCCTAAGAGACCGAGAACAAGAACGAGGATGTTCTTCCTTCTCTTCTTCTTCTCTTTTCCTTCTCTCGCCTTCCCCCTTTTGGCTTTTCTTCCCTGATGTACGGTCGGTGTAAATTAGTACAGTATCACCCTCGCCATTCACTCGCGGGCAATCCTGCCCTAAGGACATCCCCGGTAAGTCAGAATCTTCCACAGGCGAAACGTCCCACCGATCGCTCATCGTACGAGAAGCGTGGGCACACAGCTGGGCCAGAGACTATGCAGGCATCCGAGTGTCACGCTTTAGATCAGGGGCGAGATACTGACACGGAGATCCAATGAAGTAGTGGTCGACCAAAGCATCTATCTAGTCAAGGAGCCCTTGTGTGTCCCGGAGGAGTCGGAGAAGCACCTCTTTCTCTGGACTCAGAACCGACACGCCAGATGGAGCATCCGAGTTACCATCGTGATCTGCTCCATGATTTATTAAAAGTGATGCGATCGCTGGACGAGTCGCATGCCCAAGGCCTATTCGATCTGCTGCGGGCGGATTCGTCCGTAGAACAACTTCGGTCTTACATTGACAAGACCTTGAGTGAAGTCCAAGTCTCCGATCACGATGGCGAGGCCATCAGTAGGCTCGAACGCCTCCGGGAAACGGTGGATGTGTCCAGTGGAGCACCGCCATCTCGGCCCACGGTGATGGATCTTAACTACTTATGTGACATTACACCCTTCCGCGTTCCAGCCAAACCGTGGACGACGGTGACGAACGATGACAATCTGGTGTCTCATCTAGTGTCCTTGTATTTTACGTGGGACTATCCCTTCTATGCGTTCGTTGACCAGAAAGCATTCATTCGCCATATGACCCTCGGAAACGTCGACTCCGACCTTTGTAGCCCGTTCCTCGTCAACGCTGTTCTTGCAAACGCATGCGTAGGGACTCTCCTGCTCCCCCTGGCTCGTTCCGGGTGATACTGACGTCACGGCATGGGACAGTATTATTCGCAATACTCCGAAGCGTATGTCGTGCCGGGAGATGTCGCCAGCCAAGGACGCAATTTCCTGGCCGAGGCGGAACGATATCTCCCAAGCCATCAGCTAGAAAAGAATGGCGGGGTCCGGCTAGCGTCATTGCAAGGGGCGTTACTCTTATATGAAAGGTAGGTGGCCATTTCCCTTGTGAGAATCATCTGGAGGGTAAACGTAACCGTCCATCGGATGGGCACTAGATACGCCATGTCGGGAGAGGATGATCTCGGCTATACCATGCTCAATTTGGCGATCGAGATGGCGGAGGCACTTGGCATCATCAACCGGGAGCCGCTCGATCTCCGCAAATTGCAACTGTCCGACGAAATGATCGCCTCCGTGAAGCGAACGGCGTGGGGTGTCTTCCAGGTCGACACGTAGGTCTCTCCCCCTTCATGTCTGTCGGTAATTCTCAATCCTTCTGAATCCGCGACACTGATGTCGCCGCGACGACAGGGTGGTCCATACCAACTTTTTGAAGCCCAGCCGGGTCTCCAGCGTCAGTCTCGACCGGATCGACCCGAACGAGACCGGTGCCGGCGACCTCTGGGTCCCGTATCCGACCGACAAAAGACCCCGACAGTCATGGCTCAGTCAATATTTCGATGAAGCCTGCAAGCTCTCGTATCTCGCCCGTGATATCTCCCGTCACCTCTACCATGAGACCACCACCCGGGCGGACCAATATCGACAGAAACAAGAGTTCTACAATAAGCTCCGCCAGTGGGAGCATGCCCTCCCAGACAAGTTCCGGACGGGCAAGAGATCACCGCCGCATATCCTCCTGCTAAGGTTCGTTGCTCGTCTGGTCATCACTGCACCGACCGTTTACTGACCAGGGGGGACTGCTGGATTTAGAATGCGGTATCATGTACTCCTTATTGGCCTGGCGCGGGATGGCTTCGGCGTCCAATCATTTTTTCTCGGGTCCGAGGAGCAACGACGGACCGTGGACGAATCTGCCCACGCGATCAGCCTCACATCCGCTCGCGAGATTTCGGCCCTCGCACGGATTCATCGTGAGGAATACGGGATGGAGCGCGCTCATCAGTTCGCTACCTATGCCATGATGCTTGCGCTCTTCACCATGCTCGATGACCCTTCCTTTGACGTCCTCGGCCACGACTTCCTCTCGCTCACGAGTGCCTTCTCCATCACGGCCAATCGGTCCCAAGTGGGCCGCCATCTGTTCCACATGTTCCGCCAGTCCGTCCGATCGCGACACCAAGAGGAGCGGATCCTGCAGTCGGACGCGGTCTCCGACGAGGTGAAGGAGCTGTTTCGACGCCACTCGTCGTCCCAGTTGCCGGATGGGTGGGGCAACTATGCCGACGGGCTCGAACGATATCGGGGAAGCTTCTCGAGCGAGTCATGGAACTACACGGCCTCGGGGGTCCGTGACATGCTCGAAAAGTATGAGCGTCTGAGTCTGGGGCACGGCGACCTTGTCCACTCGCGTCGGCCGTCCTCGCCGAACGCCGGGTGGGAGTCGTGATCGACTTATCTCATGCCACTGGCGTCGTCCCCCTCTCCTTGGTCCGTTCTTCATCCGTAGTTGATGTATCAGCCCTCCATGATCTGTCTTCCCTGGGCAACCTGCATTTCGCCTGTATAGACCGGTATCCTCACATGCATCAGTTGTCTAGCGATCGTTGCTTCTCCCTGTATGTGTCCTGCCGTTTGTATATTAGCCCTTTCTCGCATTGTACGATCTCCAATGAGACGACGTGGTGTCGCGGTCATTATTGGACTTAATGGTGTGTGCGTGCTTCGTAGTTGGTCCAGCTCACTAGTACATTCTCGCGATTATGCGATCACGGCCACTCCATGTGACCTGCAGAAGGAATGATGGACCACGTGACACTGTCCAAATAAGCAAGAGCCAGAGGGGACTCTAGGATCATGGGCCATTGTAGTACCATGATCAGCCTAATGATACGCATTCCATAAGGTGACTGTGGAGTATCAACTCGAGCCCCTGTTCAATCGACGTATAAATCTCCATGTAGTGTGTGTTGTTGAATGCCAAGTATCATATGTGATGTAGTGTTCACGGACATCAGATGTAGGTATCTATATATATCTAGATATATATATATATATTCGTGTCTACTCCAGGTGGAAGTAAATTAGAGGCTTCTAGAAATCTACGAATACATAGAGAACTTACTCCCGGAGTAAGATTATAAGATCAGACACTTCCGATAACCATTGATGATTGATCAAGTTGTCTTATCACATCCCCATCGGACCCTCCGCTAAGCAATGATGGTCCCGTGGGTGTTGCAGGAGGATTTTGATTATCTCGGAGATCCCGTCGGGAAGATCATCAGCCACGGGAACGGAAAATCTTCCGACTGCCGAAGCCAAATGGATGACGTCAGGAACATCCACCGTCGTCCCCCGCAAACAGTCGAAGATCCAAACGTTAACCCGTCCAAAAAGCAACCGGAGGACATACGTGTGCCTGATCTCCTCCACGAGAGGGGTAAGGTTCACGCACGACCTGCTTTGCGATCTGTGAAAAGAAAAAGGGGGTATTCAAAAGAAAATCCTCCCCCTAAAAAAGGGTCGGTCGTTGGGAGGCAAAAAAAGATCACGTACCTTCGACCAGAAATGCTTCCCTGGGTGGGTCTGGAACGGATAAGTCGGCAGGCACACAGAAACGAGGAAAAGCTTCGTTACGGTTCCCTCATTTCGAATTATTTCTAAGCCACAGGCAGTAACGTTTCGTCATAATCGGCAGAAGAAAAAGAAAAATTTCTTTTTCTCTTTTTTTGTTCGTGTTATTTATTGATCTTCTAGTCGCCTGTGTTGTTGTTGTACATCAAGCGTGCAATAACATAAACGCCTCCCACTTTCTCTCTGCGGCGGTCAAGATGGTCCATGATCGGAATGGGGACGAGGCCATGGCCCAGAGCAAAGAACGACTGGAGTCTTCCGACTACGCCGACAGACCCCCAACTTCCGATACAACCGATTCGTCCTCCATCACCAGCTCCGTGGATTATGACCCTCAGTTGCATACCCTTCGCTCGCGCGCTACCGAGGTTGATCTCGAACGCCATACGACGAGGGCCTCAGATGCCCTGAGTCGCATCCACACCCAGCGCCTCCAACATGCCCTCACCGTCGGTGAAAGCGTCAAGTCACACCCCTCCAAGGCCCCATTGCCCCCATTTGGTGCCGGAAAGCCGTATCCGCCGCCGTTACCAGCGCGGGAGGACTACGTGGTGGAGTTTGACGGGAAAGAAGATCCCTTATACCCCCAGAACTGGCCATTGAAGAGAAAGTAGGTGCTTGATTCCCCAGGTTCATGGGGCGGTTCATTGGTTGTTAACGGTCCGGTGGTGGTTATTAGAGTCTGTATCAGTGCCATCCTCGCCTTCACGAGTATTTGCTCCACCTTCGACTCCGCCATCTTCAGCGCCTCCAGCAAAAATGTCGCGCATGCATTCGGCGTCGGTCTCGAAGTCTCCACGCTGTCGAGTTCCCTGTACATCATCGGGTATGCGTCGGGACCCTTGATCTGGGCCCCCATGTCGGAACTGCAAGGCCGTCGCTTACCCATCGTCATTGCGATGATGGGGTTTGGCATCTTTAATATCGCCGTCGCCGCCGCCAAGGACCTCCAAACCCTGATGATCTCGCGTTTCTTCTGTGGGATTTTTGGCAGTTGTCCCCTGGCGGTCGTCGCGGCCGTCTTCTCCGATATTTACGACAATCGCACCCGTGGTGTCGCGATCGCCATCTTCTCGAGCACCGTGTTCTTAGGCCCGCTCCTCGCGCCGTTCATTGGTGGTTTTATCAACATGTCCTATCTGGGCTGGCGGTACACCGCGTATATTCCGGCATTCATGGGGTTCTTTGCGTTCGCCCTGAACGTCCTCTTCCTGAGGGAATCATATCCGCCCGTCATTCTGATCAGCAAGGCCTCGGAACTGCGTCGTCGCACCAAGAACTGGGGCATCCATGCCAAGCAGGAGGAGATTGAGGTGGACTTCAAAGACCTGATCATCAACAATTTCTCCCGGCCGCTGCGCTTGCTCATCCACGAGCCCCTGATCCTCGCCGTGACGGTCTACCTCAGCTTCATCTATGGCTTGCTGTACTGTTTCCTGACGGCCTATACGCTGGTATTCCAAGGGGTCCATGGCATGAACGCCGGCGTGGGTGGCCTTCCCCTGTTTGGGATGGTCGTGGGCTTGTTCATCGCGGCGGGCTACATCATTCTGACCAGCGGAGCGTACAACAAGAAGCTCGACGCCAACGGGGGGATCCCCGTGCCCGAGTGGCGTCTTCCGCCGGTGATCATCGCGGGAGCGCTCTTCGCCGCGGGATTGTTCTGGTTCGGGTGGACGGGCTTCACCGACCGCATCCACTGGATTGTCCCGACCCTGAGCGGTCTCTTCACTGGATTCGGACTCCTGATCATCTTCATCCAGCTGTTCAACTACCTCATTGATACGTACCTCATGTTTGCCGCCTCGGCCATCGCCGCCAACACCTTCGTTCGTTCCTTGGTCGCCTCCAGCTTCCCGCTCTTCTCCCGGCAAATGTTCAACAACATGGGGATCCAGTGGGCGTCCACGCTCCTCGGCTGTCTGGCGGCCATCCTGGTGCCCATTCCCGTCATCTTCTTTTTCTTCGGCAAGCGACTGCGCATGAAGAGCAAGTTTGCGCCCATCTACGAGAAAGCCGAGGAGCCGATGAGTGACGAGAATGAAATTGCCGCCGAGACCAATGGACCCATGAGGGAATAAGAATCATCGGATCTCCCCCACATATCACAACTCTGCCTCATCGTCCCCGGTTGACACCCGGGGACATAGATGGTGTCTTAATGATCGTCCCTTCGATAAAAGCAATATACCCCGAATTTGTATACAATAATCTTAGTTTAGCATCTAATCTAATCATATCATTGCATCCTGGTCTCACAATTGTCACAAATAGACACCTCATCGGACTTCGAGAAAGTTGATTCAATACACGTAACCATCGAAACTACGCAGTCCGTACTTACCACTGATCTATTGGCTCCCTACATCAACATATGATGCTCTATATAGAAGGGACACTGTGTGAATCCGAATGGTTAACTGCCTTGTATGTATTCTTTTGCTTCCGCGACAACATAACACCGCCAACTCTTAACGCCCTGACAAGGAGTTGATGTGATCCTCCAATCCTTGCGAAAGCTGGTTAAGATACATTCATGCTTCAGGACCTTACAATGACCCCGAACGAAAGAAATATAAAGACGAAGCAAAATCACTTGGTCCATAAGGCCGATCCCCATTCCGCCGGTGGCCCCTGACGGTCAACGGGCCACCGGGGCGTCCTCTCTTCACTCACTTAGCAGTTGTTGGAACACTCGCAGGCGCTGGATGTACAGCGAAAACATCGGAAGCCAAGTCGACCACAAAGATTCCTGCATTGAGCCGGGGTCAGGCCTCCGCACGCTTGCACTGCGGAAGATTCGGAGGCTATCGTAGCGTGTTAGTACATGCTCAGGACCGCAGTGGTAATGCTTGAGCACCTACAAGAACTGATGAAGACATCTTGGGGGAAGGACAGATTTTCCGTGGCTGCAAAGGACGTGGTGGACTCCGTCGCAGCGGCAGCGGCGAGAGTGGCACAAGCGGCAAGGAGAAGTGCAACCTTCATGGTAAGAAGTCGGCAGTAGAAAGCAATGGGTTGTGATGCTCGTCGTCAAATGAATATCTCCGTTGAGCAGTACGGAGAGGAAAGGTTGCTTGTAGGTGGGGCAGCCATTGGCTTTTATATCTCAAGGCAGGTATCCGGCGGGTGCATGTGCCAGATATAGCTATCGATATCACACCATCCCATTATCAAGTGACAGATCCTCAAAAGCCAGCACTTGGTAATCTTCTTGTGACACATCGAAACGTTCTCAAGGCTTGAACTGCGGGGTTGGAGACTTTGAGCCAGTCCATCTGGTCAGACTTCTAGCTGGCTCGGAACTGTTGAAACGAATTCAATGCAAGCCCATATCACAATTATCCCGCGGTGAATTCGCCACTGTTGCATCCATATCCAGGTTATGGTTGCATTGCTCCTCGTATTCGACAGATAGGCAATCCCAGAACTCACTGCATGCATCAGATGTGTCGGAGAAAGGTTGTCTGGCCGAGCCTCTGAATCAGCTCGACCCCTTCTTGCCCGCACTCCGTATCAGGATGGGAATGCACATCATGCGTCAGTGGTGCAGTTCAATAACAGATAGTAGGCAAGCCTAGTACACAACGTCGTGTAAACATACTCTTTGAAACCCTGAGACGGTCTCGTGATACTCCTTGGTTCGGACATGCCACACGGCATGAGGTTCCCTCTAAAGGCTTTTCAATCCGCACAATATTGACGTTGGACATATTGGCCATATTGGTATCTGTATCCAGATGCCCACCTGTTGACCGGATGCGAATCAAAATTCCACTGTCATACCATGAAGAGGTACTATCGTCCTGAAGGCCATTGCTTTATGGGTGCTCTTGTGTCTCCCTAACGTATCACAGTGACTTACTTGTTGGATTATCATATCTGACCTCTGCCGTAAGACTAATGGGTGACTGTCTTACCAGTTTCGGTTCGATTCGGCATGAGTACTTTCCCCTGCTCACCGTCACCTGCTAGTTGACTGTCAAGCATTTGTTTCTTAAATGATTTGGGGGCTGTGCTGGCTCGATCACGCTGAGCATGCTTTGCTTTCTGGTTGTAATCGATTATCATCTGAGGCACTTTTACCGTCGTACATTTGATCGCCCGGTCCTCGTCAGCCCCGCCGGTGATAACCTTGTGCCTTCTTTGTACTCCCAAAACAACTCTTGGGTAGTAAATCTTTCGAAAGAGGACCGACTGGTATGCATCTTGGATTTTGGGGAGAGATGGATGTGCGGCACGGCGAATTCTCTGTCACAAGCAGGTGCAAAGCAAGAACTTTGGGATCATCGATGGTGGGTTATGGACCACCGGACTTTTTTTTGCAAGCCTCATCTGGTAGACGGTCACTTATCGAGTCCGTGTCCCAGAAAGGAATGATCATCGCGGCGCAACGTTGAACTCAGCATACTGACAGACTATGAAGCCGGACAGAGGAATATGCACTGCAACGGTGACACCAATTGTCCTGGCCCTAGATGTCCAGAGGCCTCTTGGCTATGACATATACTGGATACCACAATGTCGGACAGTATTCCCACGCAAGGGGGATGGTGGATGTAAAGAATCAATTTATTCGTTTAAAATAACTTAGAGCCATGGGTTGCACAACATCTTCAACCGCCGTGGGGCTAGTCCTACCCTCCTTTATTCCAATGATGGTGGGACGAATACGGCACGGCACACGAGACTGTCTCCAAAGAAAAGGAGGGGATAGACGACACTTGGGCCTCAGGGTTACATGCCTATCCCCCTGACTGACTAGGATGGCGTCGACCTACGACGCACTAGGCCAATACATGTGCTTTCCAGCTTACCACTAAGCAGCTCATAAGAGACCAGCACCAGCCACAAATCCGTGCGCATATTCCGCCAGATATCTGTTTCTCCTATTGATTATCCATGGGGAATACGTTTCGAAATGTGTTGGTGCCATACTCATACCCCAGTTCCTTCCTTGATTGCGCGACGGGAGTTATATACCGCTGTTCAACTCGAAAAGCCGCGATCATCACTGTAACCAACGTATATTCATATCATGACCGGATGAAGTGACACATATGCCATGGTCTTGGAGATCGAGAAATACCTGCTCTACCATGTTCAAGATGGGGATATATAGCTCTATCTCGTCGTTGACTACTGTCTTATTTAAGACGATGCCATAAAACCCCGCGGAATTTGATCAAGGGGAAATTCACCTACATTTACATCTCCACCATTTCGGTACATAATGTTCCTCGTTAAGACCGGCGTGATGGGCTTTGCCATACTTGGGATATGCTCCCGGATTGCTCTCGTGGCATCCATGTCGAAACCCGTTTTCCCTCCTGTGGTTTCGGATAATGTCAGTTCTGCCGACCAGATGAACCCTCTCGCGGATGCATCGGCCAAGGCAAGTGTGCAGCTCTACCACCTGGGTACTGATAACATGCCATCCAGATGCTGAATGGATTTACTGCAGAGAACCTGCGTGGGACGCTGCCGTGACGGACATTGCATTCGTGTTCCTTTCCATGTGTGCAATTGTCGAGTGAATGGAGGGCACTGTGTCTGTCAATTATAGGCGTGGGAGGAATGTAGGCTTCAAAATGCTAAGGAATTGCGAATATCCTTTCATGGTGCTTGTGGCTTGTCAATCTGGCTTTCCCCTCCATTCAACATCGACGTTTGCCCTTTCTACCTGAATCATGATGGTTGAATAATAGAAGCCCTAAAACCTATATACATTAGGCGTAGCAACGCCGCTGATGTCCAATTCGCAAGTCCGCCACCAGTAGTCATACATTTCTGTGCAAGTACTGTGTGAGTGAGTGGGTTTTGAACATAGGCGTTCATCGCCCTATCATTGATTCCTATGTATTTCTAACAAGTAATTATGGTGACAGAGTCAATGCTAAAGTGCCGAGGCTAATTTATATAATAAATTTAGACGCTGGACTTGGAGCGGGGCAGACAAGAATTGCGTGATTCGACCCCGTTTTCTTTTCTGATTACTTCCGTTGGAGCTCTTAAATCTTCCACCTTCGACACACAACATACTATCATTAACCATGGTCACTAATGTTGAGCCTCAAGAAGATGTTGAAAGGCCCCTACTCGCCGATTCCCCAGACCCAAGCTATGAAACCGTAGCCGCGCCATCAACGGACACGTCGGATGCAGCGCCTCGCGCCACGTTTAGGCGAAATCTCGGGGCCGTAGAAGCATTTGGCATCGTCATCAGTATTGTGATTGGCAGTGGCGTCTTCACATCCCCCGGTGCGATCGATACGAATGTTCCATCCCCCGGCGCGGCTCTCATTGTGTGGCTCGTGGGAGGGCTGCTGGCTTGGACGGGGGCGACCACCATGGCCGAACTGGGCACAGCAATTTCCGGTGAAGGTCTACATTTCTGACCCCAAGAGAGTGACTAGGGTCATGGGAAGCTTACGCAACTTACAGGGGGTGTCCAGCCGTATCTGCAGTATATTTTTGGCGATATTCTGGGCTTCCTCGCCGCATGGACCTGGATCATCGCGGTGATGCCCGCCACGCTCGCTATCCTCAGCATTGTTTTCATTGAAAGTATTTACTCCGCTGCTGGGATAACTAACCAGGCGTCTTCGATCCAACACAAGCTTCTCTCGATTCTGGTGTTGATCGCGATCGGGGTGGCCAACTCGATCAGTACAAAAGTGAGCACCCGGTTGAGCAGTTTCTTCGTGACGACAAAGTTTGTTACGATCACTGGCATCGTAGTTGCAGGCCTTCTCGTAGTGATTGTTCACTTGTCAAGCACACACTGGGATGGACCAGCAACGGATTGGTACACCAAGTCATGGTTTGGGTACCGCGACACCGTGAGTCCGGATGGAAAGGAGATCCATTGGAGCGACCTGGCTGGATGGGAAATGCTCGGTCACTATTCAGCGGCCTTATATGGTGCGCTGTGGGCTTACTCGGGCTGGGACAAAGCAGGTATCCCCGATCTGCTAAGAGAATGAAAACAGTCAGACTAACAGCCAGACCAAGGCGATCTATATTACAGCAGAGCTGTCCGCACCGGCCACCCAGCTTCCCCTCGCCATTAATGCTGCGGTGCCCATTGTCATTCTTTCCTTCATCGCAGCTAATACAGCATATTACATTCTTCTTCCGTGGAGTGTCGTGTCGACAACAGACAGTGTTGCCGTGGTATGTCCCCGTCCTATGCCTTGTATGTTCCAGTCTAACTCTAGATCAGACTGCAATCACCCATCTCTTAGGTCCTATCGCGGGCATTATCGCAGCGGTCCTGATCTGCCTGGTGGTAGCTGGGTCCTTACTGGGAAATTCGTTCGTCGCCGGCCGCATGATCGTCGCAGCATCCAATTCGAACTGGCTGCCCAGGTTTCTAGGAATTCTCGGACGATTCGGGGTTCCATCGACTGAGAATCGTGCGTCTGCGCATCCGTCCGATATAGATCCCCCGAGCAATAAATCAGACGCACCGATCAATGCGACCGTCTTGTCTACCGCGCTTCCTATCTTCTACATTCTGTTCGGAGACTTTCGGGCCCTCCTAACCTTTAATGGTTTGGGGGAGTACACCTTCTTCTTGTTGACTGTCCTCGGAGCGATTATCTTGCGATTTCGGGAACCAGATCTGCGCCGCCCTTACAAACCCTCTATTATTATTCCCATCACCTTCGCCATCGTTAGTGGATTCGTGGTGGTCCGAGGGGCGATTTTTGCCCCTGTACAAGCTTTAGTTCTGCTCTCACTGTGGATCATTGGAGTAGGATATTATGAGCTCCGGAGGAGATGGGCAGTGAGTCGAAATGCATGAAACGCGACAGCTGGAGATGTGTGTACAGCCAGGATGCACCGCGATTAGGTTTCATTGCCATTTAGGATATATACATGCTAAGCTACAACACAGCTAGGCGTTTCCTATGTAAACCTACAGAACCTTACGGTTAAGAACTTTACGTGATAGGCCATCTTCAAGGGCTCAATTGCCTAGTAGTACAGAAACAACCCCATCGGCTATTGGGATTCTAGCCACGTTGGAAAGTAACAACCCTATCAAGAACAAACAGGGCTGGAATTCGGCGGAGACACCGAGTTGGTAGGATTCGTCTGCGAGCAGCCAGCGACAAGTCCTCCCGCGGTATCGTCAACGGCTGCATTGTAAGCATCGCCGCAGTTTGGATCACTGCCAGTGTTGCATGGTTAGCGTCAGGCGCAAGCTTAGCTAAAACGTCAACATGGGTTAAACTTGCCTGGCGCCTCCGCTAGCATTTTCGAAATATGAGCAGATGTCATGGGAGAAGCAGTCCTGTGTGTATACGTTCCCTAGCGCGGTGCCGGTGCAACCTGCACCACAGCGGCCGTTGCAAGAGTAGCTATAAGATGACCACGTTCGTTAGACAGTTGGCCCTGAGCTTGATGCAGAAAATACGTACTCCCCATTGCCTGCGCTGTTGGCACCGTAGTTGCTCCCAACCACTCCGACAAAAGTACAAGTTTGCCCAGCGCTATTGGTCCAGGTCGCCGTTGCTGATTCCCCGACTTTAAGGCAGGTAATAGACCGTTTGTCTAGGTTACTGGAAGGACCGGAGGGTACGGCCATGCTGGCCAGTGGGAATATGAAGAATACCGTGTGGAGCAGATTCATTTTCGGGATTGAGACGCTTCTCGGTGCAGGAGCTAAAAATCCGTGCAAGCTATGGTAGCGCGGCGTTAAACGTGTATTTAACTCTGCCGAGAGAAGAAATATTGCTGCAGGCTTCGATCCCCCTCAACGTCTTTTTCTTCTTTCAAAGCTAGGCGCGTTCCTGAACTAGCCCGGTGTTGCACTCTAACTGTACACTAGAGGAGTAGCTGATAGGACCCGGGGATATTCTCGGAGCCCTTATTCTTCAGACTTAACCTTTCTCAGGCTCTTGGCCGGTCGATACGCGGGGATTGCAGAATTAGGGCATGGCATCATCTTTAGCGGAATGGCGATCCCCCGAGCCCTAGCTTTCAATGGCTTGCCTTATAGCTGTTCCGACCACCTTAGCGCATTGTCCGCCCATTAGTAACATGCAGCTGCCTCCCCACCGGCGCATTTGCCATATCAGGAACGGCAATTGCCTGGCTTGCTTTGCAGTTGTTTCTCGCAATCAGTGTCCCATTCGCGCCTCATAATTCCTCGTTAGTAAACTCTTTAACCAGCCCATGCAGATCAGGGGGAATTAGAAAAAAGCTGAATTGGACCTACCTACATTTATACTCTATTATTGTGTATAAGGAAAGGGGAGAGAGGAAGGGGGAGAGAGGAAGGGGGAGAGAGGAAGGGGGAGAGAGAAAGATGTGTGGATTTTTTTAACGACCTGTCTGCCGTAAAGTCTATGGAGCCGGGCCGTGATGTGACAGTGGTCGGAAATCCACTGCAGAGATGAGACAGTTGCAGGAGATAGACGATGGCAAACAGGCACAGTCAGACCCACGGCATAACAAGTGCACGATAGTGGAAGTCGGTAGGGGATTGCATGAGGCGGGGCATAGGACACGGATACAGAGTCTTGGAACAGCAGAGACCACGCGCTTAATTACAAACTTTGCGCTGTTCAGCCCTTGAGAGTAGAGGGGAAGTCCTATATTCTTCTGGAAATACGCTTGTCACTCCTTGTGGATTTGTTTGGGATGTTGTTGGCTGAAATACGAGGGAAGATGTCCTGTACAGCAGCTTGACAGGGTCTGCTGCGAAAATTCTCTCTTCGTGATGACGGGTTGCACGTTAAGATTTTCAATGATCATTATAAAGCTCTGCCGTCCGTACCAATAGACGAACCATGCGATTCGAGCTGCCTCCCTGGTTAACAGTTCCAGAAGACGAGGATACGCCCTTGATCGACGGCGGTTCCTGTCATAAACACCCATGGTCAGGAACATAACCAGGCTGATATCGTAGATTCTGGTATGAACACGAGAGTGACCGTGGAAATACATACTGAAACGTTGATTGACATGAACATTGCTCCTCATCACTGAGATCAGCAGGGAGATGGCATAGATTCATGCTGTGCCCTCCCCCCGTCACTAGCAAATACCTGTTTCACTCATGTAGATAGAGGGGCTTTACAGATGAATATGAGCCTATTCAATAACTGCTCACCCCATACCGCGTTTCTTATCTCTCGGATCTTAACCGTTGTGGGAAGTTCTAATGTCTAGCAATATGAAAATATGAAACATCTGGGATCCCTTCGCGTTGCGGGATCAAACATATGTGCAATCCCCAAGTTCCAGGACTGTTGAACCAGGCTCACGGAATCTACTTACACATACATACTGCTAACGGACCTTGGCCTCAGTCACTTTACACTATGAGTATTATGATTTATAGACAGCCGAATACTCGGAATAAACACTTACTCGATCATGCAATGGGGGACAAAAGTTTTCACAATTCTGTTATTCTCATTCATTTTTATGCCGAGTCCTGGTTGCAAAGATATCCAGTGGCGGCGCCAGAGTAATTATACCCTGCTATTGCCGAGGAATGCATGAAACGATATCGCTACGTAGTAATACTATACTGGACAACGATGATCAACAGGTAGGTATACGCGTATCGTCGTATTTTGGGAATCATTAGCCCCCGGGTATTATTGCCGGCATGCGAAACGCTATAACTGTCTCCACTGCCGGGGCTCTCTAGGCATTTTCTAGAAGCACCAGCCGATCTCAAATTTGGGTCCACTGTCGGATGATCTTCGGATGCCCTTTTCCCTGGCATATTGTGGCTGAAATTTTGGCCCTATGGTGGTGAAACAGGATCATCTCGGATAGATGAGTGATCGACAAGCGACTTGGATATACCACAGTCCACGTCTGCGAATATCATGGGAGTCCCGTATGCTCACCTTGATTCAGTATGAAACACTTCTTCCGGACGATCATTCATTCATTACCTCAGATCACTGGGATACACGATTGCCCGCTATGCCGAGTATACCGTGGCTCAAAGGTATATAAACCTCCCAACTGCCACCCATCATAAGCATCATCAAGATCATCAGTCTCAACGAACAAACATCTCATCACTTCGCTTTCCAATCTGTCTATCATTTTCCGAGGTTATAAACCAGACCTTACTTTCAAAATGAAGTTCTCTGTTCCATCTGCGTTGCTGGTCACCGCCACTCTTTCCTCTGTTGGCAATGCCGCTTTCCCAAACGTCCCGGAGACGTGTTTGGAGATTCCTCAAGTCCTCGGCCAAAAGCCCCTCAAGCTGATGCAATACTTCCATACGCAGGTCTGTGAGAAGGCCAATTGTACTGCCACAATCAACCAACACAATCAATACCTCCACAACAACGTCCTCCCGCAACTTATCCAGGACGTAAACACCAAGCTGGGCGTATCCGCCAGTGAGCAGATGTTGTATAATCAGACAAGTACCCAGCTCATTGCGGCAGTGCAGAAGAGCTGCGCAGCTGAAGGAAACAAGCCTCTGTGCAACAACCCAGAAGGGTTGTTTAACTATGGTGCCTGTGCTTTCAAAGCCTCCCAGCCGGTTCTGGAGAAGCAAGTCAAGCAGCTGTCCAGCTCGGTTCAGCTTACCGAGGAGAAGTGCCAGAAGATTAAGCAGCTCGACTCCGATGAGACTGCGTGGTCCAAGACTCTTCCTGGATACATTGACCGATTCGCTGCGTTGTGTGAGAAGGACAACTAGAGGTAGGTATATTGCTCAAACACAAAGCTTCTAACCTGAATGTTGCTAATTGGTGTAGAGACTGTCTTGTTATCGACCCTCCAGTATGAGGACAGCCTCTGAACCCGCAGGGACGCTACGTCATATGTTCAAATGTTATGTTTACATGATGGTTCCCGTGGGGTGTTAGCCAGGAATTTGGATCATCATTTATATTTACCGTGTCACTCCTTAAGATTATAGTTAGGTCAGTATTGTGAGCATCGAATGAAACTGAAGATAGTGCCAAATAGTCTATTTATATGCATGGATGTCTCACGTATCGTTAAGTTGTAGCACCCTATTCCATACTACCTGCGGTCTCTAGAGAATGTATTCAGTGATCCTCGAAATAATATGGATCTTTCACATGCAGAAGACAATTGGAACGTGGAAATTAAAATCTACTTTCACGAGTAAATTTAATGATAGCATGTGTATTTTCAAGATTTTATGGAATGCGATGGCTGCCGGGAAGAACAACTAAACTAAGCAGTACAAATGAGCATTAACAGTTGAGCAACAACAATTTAGTTAGTGATCTGCGTAGCCTTCCATTGTGCCTGATATATGCGCCACATACCCCGGAAAAAGTAAAGAGACCTATGATTTTAATGAGGGCGGATTCATCTCCCACCATGTCATTCCTGCCCTATCACTAACTGCAGTCCAGGTAATCGATGGTGCAAATACAGGACCGCCAGGGAAAGTGACCATTATCTGGATCACAATGCATGATCTTTCCTTTGTACTCCATATCTATAATTCCATCAGCAATCCTTCCTCTGTTCAACGGGCCCGGATATTTAGAAATTGAACGGCTCAGCATACCATATCCGTTTTTCATTGCATTTACGCATTTTAGTTCCACCCCTGTTGCAGCACAGCCGAACTGGCTGCATTCAAATTGTGCACAAGTGTACTCGCCCCGGTGTCCTTTTTGAACCGGTCTCTTACGAAGGTCAAGGCCTGCCACCAGGCCTAGTAAAGATGTGAGGCTTGCGAGTAGAAGCATTTTAGGTTTCGCTATACTCGACCCTGAGTTCCAGGTAAAGATGGTGGAAAGGTGAGACACCAGAGTTAAAAGCCTGTTCAATATAGTGAACCGATAGCAGAAATTTCTGTGTTAAAATGTATCATGAAAAGAATATTACAGACGAATGTGGGAAGTTCAATGTGGGGTTTATATAGATACGCCTCATAGCCCTTGATGTTTAAAGCGCCCACTGTTGGGAAACACTTGCTTGGATCTCGATAGTATTTGAGTTCGGGTTGAATATAAAACAGCCTGCTCTGTTTTCTTTTCAATCTAAGACGTCACCATGCCTTGTTATGGCCTTCAGGCAATCATGTTGAGTAGATTTGGTCTTCTTTGCTTTTTCTTTGCTATGGTATCTACCATAGTTCCCGGCTTACTGTACCCAGCCCTTGACTAGGTCAGGTTCTCTCCTAACTATACTTTAAAGAAGCTTTATTTTCCTACAGGCTAAGCTTTTTCATCCAGCGCTAATATTACTATTCATTATCTATTTGAGTTATGACTATCCTCAAACCCCCTCACGCAATTAATGTCTGGGTAGAATCTTTACTGCTATGTCCTTAGATCCATATAGAAGGATATCGTATTATCAACCATGTATCACCTAGCTTTGAACACGTAATGTTAGTGGCATGACAGTTTACGTATGATCTAGCCAACTCTAGAGCAGGCCGAGAGGTTGCTCATGCGGAAACGAGGCGCCGCAGTTTATGGGATTGACTTTTCGCCGAGAGTCTAGATTAAATTCAACCATGGGTTTGTCCCAGCGCACTACATTCCCTATTTCCATATATTTCGCAAATAGTTGTTGCCTAGATCATTGTCGAAGTAGTTTTGATCGGTTTCAAGATAGATGGTATATGTAAAAGTCGAACAGAAAACAGACCTAGTAATGTGCACGTTTCGTTCGCGGCATTGTCGCAAATAGTGTACTTGAACGTTATTTTATCATAAAGGCTTAGTAACTCGCTGACACGCTAACTAGTTAAGTATATGTAGGCTTCATTTTACGTCCACAATACATAGGCTTGACTGCAAAACAAACGATCATGGTTTGGCGAGAACGTGGGCAACCATACTGCCTTCTGTTGATTTTACTGTTTCTTTCGAAAGAATATTACTTATTTAGGGTAATAGCTGGTAAGTGCAGACAGGAGAATATCGGCTGTCAGGTTACTTTCAATTATTTTGCACCGAATGATTAATTACCTGGCGTAGTCATGTAGTCACCAATCCCTATATGCATACTGTTGGCCAGATTGTTCGGCTGGAGGCACGACCAAATGCCTAAGGTATTTTGGTCGAGTGGCAGCACGCTCAACACATACTTTCAAATGTAATTGATCCTTTTGAGAGCTAGATTTCCCATCCTCAATAGTAGGAAGTACGCAGGGAATTTGTATGAAATCTGAATTTGTAAAACGCGGGCGGTAAATAAAGTACTATACTATACTAACTAATAATACTATAACTTTTGCACATACTTCAGATTTCAGGGATCATCACACTTCTCATAACACACAATGAAGCTCAATGTTATCACGGCCGGTGAACCTTTAGATCTCAGATAACTGTTGTAAAGCCAGTCGCCTCTGTGGATGCAGTGACGGGGGTAGAAAAGCCCGAAGTTACGGATCCGCTGGCACTGGCTGGGACAGACCCTCCTGTACTTATAGGTCCAGGGGCGGTCTGACTCACGGAAATATTGGGCGCAGAGCTCCATCCAGCAGGGAGGCTACTGCTTGGTATAATTTCCGTGATGTTGGAGGTTGTGCTGTTGAAATTAGTAGGGGCCATCCCGATCCACTTTTCATCCAGATTATAGACAACATATGCCGCACGTAGCATGGTGTCACCAAGCAGTAGCGGTCGCTTGTTTTGTGCCTCCATGCCAAATATACAAACATCGTTACCGTTCTCATCGGTCATCCGCGTACCGTTGGGGAAAATCACAGGTAAAACAAACTCATATAAAGGAACCGGGAGAGCCACTCCAGTCGGACCCCCAAAGCCGAAGGTGAATGTCTCAGTCACAGACTTCGCCAACTCACAATCGACCTGCCCATTATCCTGAACCCCGGCTGCGCTGGCTATGTTGTTATATATGTCATCCGGGATTAGAACACGCGTGGTGCCGGAATCTAGAATGGCATACTCCCTGAAGTCCTGACCAGAAAGTGTGGTTTCTGTACCATTCGCATCTGTGAATGAGAAGGAGGTCCAGGTCACGGCGAAATCAGTGAAAATTCCACTCGCATTCGGTTCCATTGGCAAGGCTACTAAGTCATTGTGATATTTATCGGAGTCGTATCCACCAAAAAGCACACTCCCTGTGCTGTTTTCTAACTTTCCATTTAGCAGGCTTATAGCAGTATGTCATGGTTCAGGGGGCATACCAAGATCATCTAGCCACAGGCTATATGAACGACTCTTCGTCAGACCTTGCTGTACCATTTGATCCACGAAATTGGGGTATTGTGTTGTGTTCGATTCATCTGCCGGAAACCCAATGCCCATGATGCCAGTAGGAACACCTGCCGCCTGCGTTGCGACTGCCAGACTGAGGCCTCTAATGGTTATATTACCAACAGAAAAGTCATCTTTAACCCAGTCACCCTTCACCCCTGAACCTTCGGTAACGTAAGATATTTCAAAGCCCCCTTTAGATGTAATAGTCGCTGTGCTTGACTGGTTGGGATTATCTGGAAGAGGTTGGACATTAGCGCCCGTCCAGGCGAAAGAAAAGGTAAACAGAGGTGACAGTGAGCAGTTATAAGCATAGGTCCAGTTCTAAACTTACATGTACCGCCCAGACAGTATGAAGTTGTGCGGTCACAGGCAGGAGGCACACCAAAAGCCCAGATATCACTGCTACCAGTATCCAATTGCAGATTCACATTTTGCTTCGGGGTGCCAATAGAGGCATTGACATAATATATACCCACTGGGATATAGTTTCCTAATGGGACACCGAAGGTGTCATTATTCGAAGCGCTCTGCTTCTGCCGTGAAAAGCTCATCTTAACAACATTTGGAGAGCTTAGGACACATGTTGCTAGAGATATTGACAAAATGAGATAATTATAAGACAATATAAACCTCATCCTAAAGTTTTGGCGAGCCTTTATAAACACGTTGTACATAAGGGGTTTCTCAATAACCTCAGAGCATAAAGGTGAAACTAGCTACTTCAATAGATGATATATATATATGGGTTTCCCGTCGATATAATATAAAGCAATATCATGTCAATATGTCAATATGTCATAAAATAGGATTATGCTTTTAGTATCCTGACTTACATCTTTTAAGTGTATGAACCATCTGCTGCTGCAATCGGATATGGTTCCCGCTGATGTAAGAAGCAATACAGGCTTCGGCCCCGGATCCGCCTCCAATTACTCACTATATTGGCGTAATGGCATGACACAACTCAAGGCTACGCGGTCTTAATCCAACAAGGTTTTCATATTTACGAGTCTTATGCTTATGGCATTGGTTCATATTCACTATAGACTGTAAAAGCTATTTATTTAAATTGATTCTAGGCATCCACGAGAATTCCTAGCACTTCAAAAGTATGGTTACAGATTTACATTTGAGGGTGGCAAGACATAGCTAGACCCATGGCTTCGTGTCGGGCCAGATCACAATTATTTCAATAAATTGGAAAAGAAGAAAAAAATTAACCAGGGGCATATTGTGTCAGGCGTTCTCAGCAATACCGTGATTAGAACAGTGGATCCAAAATCCTGGCCAATCTCAGTCTAAATCGTACTTTTGGTGAAGAATTCCATGGTAGTAGCAATTACCAGTAAAGTTCAGAAGGCCTAGGTTTCGTCCTTTTATAACAAGATCGCAAAACGAACACAGGAATGTAAATGGTAATTTAGCTATGAGGATCTACACGAGAGTCGATGGCAAAGCGGATTTCTTTTGTCTTCACTTTAATAGCTTGAAGCTATATAGGTAAAGTTCATCCCATTTACCGGTTCCTCAACATATGGTGCAAAACAATCTCCAGATGGCCAATCAAAAGATTCCTAAGAATACGGAAGTAGGCTGCTTGTCATTGTCTTCTTAGGCGAGAAGACATTACACAACTTTATAGGGAAGGGCCTATTACAAAGACATTATAAGAGGCTAAACCGTTATTAGCCTCTTACATCTTCTATTCATTTCCAACAGATTATGAGAGTAAGTAGATGTAAAGGAGGAACCCTTTTTATTTGAACGTAAACGTTGCACCGCTCTACTTTCATAATGCGCATATACCATGACCAGCAGCTATATTCCGAGTTGTTTACTTGTTAACACCGACTAGAAAGAGACAATCACATAGCCTAGGGCCCAACAATCAATTCAGTCCGAGTTCCCGTTCGTGCATGACAATATGGGCCATCAAGGGCGATTGGACGATTGAAGAGCACCGTTACAGGTATCTTTTTCGGAGCTTCCCCTAGTGAGACAGGGACTGGTGACACGGGCTTCTCGGACATTGTGGAATGCTAGTCAAATGGTCTTCGTATCGCAATGTCTCTTTTTTCAGCGTGTCGATAGTGCATGTTTGTTGGACGTAGAGCCCCTAATGCTAACTCCATTTTCCTCACCATCCCTCTCTTGCAGGAAGGAACGGCAGTCAGCAGCAAATTCGACTTGTTTGTGGCCTTAAAAGCAGGAGCACTGAGGGTTCTGGACGTGGCTATGGGTCTTAATGCGACTAGTTGCATAATGTGATGAACACCCGAGCTGAGTTTCAACAACCGAAGTCATGTCATGGATGGCTGACTTTACCTTCGCCCAAGTCAATGCATTCAGGAGCAGATTGCCCCTTGAGGCGATAGGAAATTAATATACCGTGAATATAGGAGCCAACAATGTGCTGGGCTAATATCCATGCTACTTTTTGGGGGGCCATGTTTTCCTAATAATATACTGTTGTACAATATACACGAAACCTTTGTAGACGATATATGGATTTAATATACAGGAGAGTAAACATACAGGATGCCGTACCTTTCACTATTCAGAGTCATCTGACTGAAGAGTGCGTCCATTGATGGCCAAAAGTTCCACATTACTATCATTGTCGTAAGTGCCTGCTCAGATCCGGATGCAAGAGAGTCGATACTTACAAGACAAGAGTTGAATTACCGGGGATAAATGGAGGTGCACCCCTTCATTCATTGTGAGCATGACGTGTAGGAACAATTCATGTAAGGAGGACTTACCTTGCACCATATCCGTAGTGACTGCGCTCATGTCAAGTAAAACTGGTTAGCAGAAGCTCAAGGGGGTAGTCGCGCATAAAGAGACGCTTACGGCCCAAAAGTAAGAAGAGCCTTTTCCCCAAGGCTCATGCCAAGAATTCCGACCTCCCATCCTGATTTATGGTTAGTGGAACTGTACATGACAGCGTCACGAAGCTGATATAGATGACTCTGTACATACCTTTGATGACGGTACCCATACCAATCTGGAACGTAAAGGGCATTCCTCGCTTGATACTACTATCGAACCTGGGGGAAAAAGGGCAAGGTAAGGAAAAGCATACCACAATCTTCTTACGAGACCTACCGACGCCCCCGGTTCCATGATCGGGTCGGATCATAAAGATAGCCATGGTAGTGGACCGTGACCATATCGCCGGCTTTGGGATAATCCACCCCATTACCGGGACGAATAATATCCTTGATAAAGTCGATTATACCCATTTTTCACTTAGAAATTGTAGAACGAGGTGTACGACAGGTATTTAATCCCCACGAGTTTTGTTCTAGCAAATATTGTCGGAGGACCGGGAAATCACCCCCGGCTGGTCACGTGGGAGGCACATATCTCCCGACGCGTCTTGAATGGTCTCCTTTTGACCAAAACCGTGGAACAGTCTCGTCTTGTATTTTATGAAACAGAGGCATCTGTCCGCCTATGGTATTTGTATTTTGTGGTGAAAGTTACATTTATTGCATTTGTCGTCGGTGACTGTATATGCTCTAATATGGAGGGAGGGGACGCGCCAGAGTTTCGTTGAGTACTCAGAAGGAGCCTTACCGCTCTTTATCCCGAGCTCGTTCAGTGTGCATATTTGATTGGACCTCTTTCTGGAAGTGGGCCCTTGGGCCTGGAGGTACGGAAGAGGTACCTTCAGCTTAACAACGAGCATTCCAAGTGCCCACTGACAGAAGCCGAATCAAGGAATGATATGTCACATTAGTTCGTATCGCAGAGTCACCGATATGGAGAAGTTAGGGTTCACCAGCCAACCACCTTGTTGTACTACATCCTTTGGTGTGTTCACCGCCCGCCGCATGCGACTGAACTCCGACGTCCATGATTATATCTTGATGTCATGACCCCCTGATGCTTGAAGCTGATATGATAGTATATAAATCAAGACCAGTCAATCGTTTTAAGTATGCTCGTCCGTGTTGACTTCGATTCTGTGCAATTCCAATCATGAAGTCGTGTATTTACTACGCCAGTCTCCTACTGGTAGCCCCCTTGGTTACCGCAAAGAAAACCAACCTGCAATGGGCGATATGTGATCCAGACCCTCAAACTGTCCTCCGAAAGCTGGGACTGGGAACACCCGACCCTTACAAAGAAAATCCGATTACCTACTATGATACAAACCCCCCGGTATACATTTCCGATGGCGTCATGTTCCGCACCAAGACCTCGAAAGGCGAAAATATCTCCACGGTGAAAGTACGACTCCAGCAGGAAACCTCCGATGTGCCGGACTCGGCAGAGTGTGTTTGGGATCGCTACGGTGAAAGTCCTACATACACTTGCGAGAAGCGATGTCCCTTGCAGGGATCCAGCATTTGGTGCGACCAACAAATCGAGCTCGCGGAGCATTACGAGAACGTCAACTGGGAGGAGCTTATAAATTATGGTCCGTATCAGAATGCCAAGTGGAAGATACGGATTGAAGGTCACAAAGCCAAGTTCGATGACGTCGCCGCCGGCTCGCTACACCTGATGGAAATCGAAGCCAAAGTACCGAAAAAGAAGGCAGATAAGGCTTATAACGCAGTGACTGAATACCTGAAAAGCCATGGGATTGTATTGTGTGATCCACAAGAAGGGAAAACTGCTAGACTCTTCCGTGCTATGGGTTATACCGAGTATGAGCGAGGCGATCTTTAGTGGTGGGTAGCCGGTTTCGTACTTTGTCTTGGCCTTAGCGGTCCTCTGGGATGGTGTGCTGGTGGTATAGTATACAATATAGCGCCAGAATCCTCCTGTATGATCACGTTATATCCGAATTGCAATAACTTGTCTTGATTATATCCCATTCATCGGTATTGCCGTGGAGTTTATGTTTACGCTAGCTTTGCTGCAGTGACTGTTTTAAGATGCACTCTCAGCTGTCGCAGTTTGTGCAGAGTAGCCATCCGACTTTCTACATCATCCGATAGTAGGGTTAGTTTTCCAGTATTTGCTACTAAGCTCTAGCATCCCTGCCCCAGTGGATTCACCAGTAACGTCCATCACCGCGCAAATCGGACCCACACCGAAAGCAGTTAGTGAATGGCCTCGGCCTCCTGACGGATACAGCAGTTTAGACTCCTTTCGACTATCTTCCACATGTCTCATTCTTCCAACGTTTCCCCCCACAAGTTCGTTCCTATACCCACAGCTTGACAGCTGAGTCCGTCAGATCATCGGAACCATAATTTTCTCGAAGGCAACAATGGTACCAACAACACCGGTTGTGTTTTCACAGCGTTATTTCAGTTGGCGCTTAGGTCTTCTCTTAGTCTCGGCTGGTCTCCGCTTATAGTTCACAACCCTGTACATATATTGAGCCCTGCGTGCTCCATCGCACTAGGTGTTGGTGGAACCCTGTACGTATTAGCAGTAGTGATACAATATGCAGTGTTGACGCTCGAGAGTATTAAAGAAAGTGGCATGACCGTGACACCATACAGAATTAGCGCCGGTTTATCCTAACTGTAGCCAGGTTGCCTTCAGGCTATCACTTTGCCCTTCCATGCCATCTCATTCTTAAGCAGATAGGGAGTTACTTCGCTATGACGAGCTTTTCAGTAGCTTCTGACCTTCCCTCGACATCGAGCAATATCGGGCGGTGGGACTTTTTGCACAGCTGCACATATATTCAAAGCAACACAGGCATGCATTAGGGTGGTTCTATCGAATTGGACTATAATGGTTAGCGATGGGAAGCAGGAACATGTCTCAGTATTCGGGGAGGTAGAAATAGGAAGCCAGCTCTGCAGGTTGTTAATGCGCAATGTGTGGATCACTCACGAAATCTCCATTATGGACATTTTCACACCACTAAAAAGCCAGCATTAGGCGATTTCTTTAGCTTTACAGTGAATAGCAAGTTTATTATATGAGCAAATTATGGCCTACGGAAGCGATATATATTTGGATCTTCTTTGTAGTATTGTTCCCTCTTCAACTGGAAGCAAATATATTGAAATATGAAAAAATACATAACTAAAGGCATAAGTAGAATACTGGGAAAGGATTGCACTGATACCAGTTCTTTTTGGTAAACTTATCTTGCCCTGTCATATTGACCAAAGCCAGCAACGATGTATTAGTCTTCGGTCCAAATCTATCGAGAGGCCTAGTACCTCTCTATCTTGCAATTACTGAACATCAAAGTCCCACCAAGCAACACATTTTCCCTCGGCCCGTAGGAGATCAGGCGATCTGGCCTTTGAAGGATGTTTCTTGGCAATATATTTCACTCCTATATAGCTCACTGCGCTATAGCCAAGACAGAGCTCAATGCTTGGCAATAAAAAACAACGCGACATCTCAGCGCCTTGACCGGTGGTTAGCAGGAGAGAGTGACACGGAAATGCAGAAGTGTGGGGCGTAATGAGTCTGGTTTGCAGCTGTTATGGGGTAAAATGTGGTTCTTAGCTAGGGCTTCTCTTGTTGATACGAGTTATTCAGAAATTACACGACCAGCCAAGCCTCTGATTTGGGAAAGTCAAGATTGTGAGGTTCTAAGACATGATGCTATGCAGCCCACTCTTCCTCATACTTACATGGGTTTGACCAATATAAATATGGGAAGCTTTCGCCTACTCCTGCTTTTTCCAGCGGGACAAACTGTCACCTGCACTACAACACCACGATCTAAGACGACTCAGCTTCACCATGTACCATCTCTTGGTCGGTCTCCTCGGCCTGGTGGCAGGAACTGCCTATGCGGCTCCAGTTCCGGAGGTCTCCAGCATGAACACTGTCCGCAACGGCCCTCCTCCTGGCTGTCTTACCGTTGGCCCTGCTGGACAACATCATACCGTGGGAGCTGCGCTGAGCGCCCTCGGAACTTCATCCTCACCCGCCTGTGTCTACATCGCTCAGGGAACGTACAAAGAACAAGTTGTCATTGACTACAAGGGCGCTTTGACTCTGTATGGTGAGACCTCAGACACCTCATCGTACAAAGGAAATGCGGTCACGATCACCCATACTATCTCCTCTGATGACGCTGGCACCCTGGATGACAGCGCTACATTGCGAGTAAGGTCGAGTGACTTCAAAATGTACAACATCAACGTGGTGAACGGTTATGGACCAGGCAAACAGGCACTCGCGTAAGTGCATCCAACCTATGCTGATCCAATTTTGCCATAAAGTGCCTAACCAGAGCAACGCGTGATAGACTATCCGCAGATGCCAACCACCTGGGCTTTTACGGCTGTCAATTCCGTGGCTACCAAGATACCGTCTTTACTAAGACGGGAACCCAATTCTTCTCCAAATGCTTGATCCAGGGTCAGTCGAATAACCTCCCGGTGTGATGCCTTTTTAACCACGGACACAGGATCGGTGGATTACATCTTCGGAGGTGGATCTGCTTGGTTCGATCAATGTGATATCCGCTCCACGGCCCCTGGTTATATCACCGCTAGCGGACGTGAAAAAGCCGACAATTCCTGGCTCGCTTTCGACCACTGTACCATTACCGGAGCTAGCGGTGTGGACCTTAAGGAGAAGGTTTTTCTTGGAAGGCCTTGGCGGCCTCTTGCACGGGTCATCTATCAAAATTCGGATTTGAGTGATGTTGTTTCACCGAAGGGATGGAGTCCCATGGCCAAGGGCGCGACTCCACTGTTTTACGAATTCAAAAACACCGGAGCGGGATCCAACACATCGAAGCGAGAGTTTTTGTCGCCCATTGCTACTGCTGTCACGCGAGAGAGTGTTTTGGGCAACGATGCTGCTAAATGGCTTGATGCGCGATACTAGAAGGCCGCAGGGTTAGAAACACAGTCCACAGCAAAAGTCAGGGGGGTTGTTATATTAGCTCACTTTTGAGGATCCACAGCTCTTGGCCGGTGTTGGGACTCTCAAGCCGTGCCTTGTTTATTGTTATGAGATGACGATGTATTGAAAGAACATTCCCATTTGATTGACACCGGAGAATTACTTGCTCCGGGTCCCGCAGGCTAGGCTATTATTAGATAGGAATTGAAAAAAAAAATCCACTTTACACCTTCCATGCGTTGCCTCCATACTAATACGTATACTAACCCGTGCATCATGGAGCCCTATGACTGCGTGTCCGCGATAGCTGCACTCGTCCCACTTGCTGACTATGTGATAGAAATTCTCAAAATCTATGTAACACGGAAAGCCAGCAATGGTACTCGAGATATCTTGAATCTGCTGTATGAGATTTCCAATCTCGACGAGGAACTCAAACAGCTCAAGAAACCTCTTCAAGCACCAGAAGGAACAGCTATTGTATATTCGCAGGTACATTCAACGGCACAATGGCATTGTACACGGCCTTGGAGAACTTGAGGAGGAAGATAGACCCCAGAAGCTCCCAATCCCTATTGAGTCGATGGGGACTTCAGGTACTTCAATGGCTCTTGCGGCCTATAGAGACGGAGGAGATTATTAGTCATGTCGAGAAATACCAGTACTTCCTTAGTCTCCAATTCACAAAGTGTAGGTAAAGAGACCGATTATCAACTTTATTATAGGATCACCTTCTACTCATTCGTACTCCATGTATCACGGAAAATAAACTACTCACCTCTCTGAACGGAAACAAGTCAGTACCTGACTTAGAAAATCCCCGATTGCTAGCCTCGTAAGGGCCACTCACCACATGGCAAACCGGTCATCGAGGCCAGAATGGCAACTAAACTCCGGCAGATGGGGTTATCTTTAGGGGGAACTGAAAAAAAAAAACCTTCAAGTGGAGACATCGAGCCTTTTGGTCCAATTACTTTCCGCCAAAGACCGATGAAGGAGCGCTAATCGAGTACGGAGGAGGAGATCCACCACGATTCAGCCCGGCATTTGCGAAACGAACCCAGAAGATCGGGGCTGGCTGGACTTGCTGAACTCAACCCCTCTTTGATCCTGGATCGTGTATTCCCTGGGCTGGTCTAAGACGGAAAGGCTTTCCATGCTCCTCAACAAGAATTTCCATGTCCAGGGTAGTGCTTTCTCCGGAGTGCATATGGCTTGATAGCCTTGGCTTCGGCTAACGTTAGGATGATGTGTGCGGCGCTATCATGATTGAACTGCGCGAGGAAAGGCCTTAGAATTATTCTGTATACAATCTTTAATCTGCTGTCGTGCCTGGGAAGGCATGTTACGAAGTAATCGTTCCCAACCAGGTAAAATGGTGGGCCACGAGTTCACTATGCTTGCATGTAAGCGAAATGAACCATGGCGGGAGTGCCCCATATAGTTAGAAGGTATGGCTTAATGGCCTAATGACTCGCGTAGGTTGCTGGAACCACGGATCAAGGCCTCGTGGTTGAACTCCACTCGAGTCAGATAAGCGAGTTCCCGGTCTCTTAACCTGCCGGCAAATACAAGAAGATCACCATCCGAGCTTTTCAAAATAACTCTAGGTTCTTATCTGGTTTTTGCTCTTCTTCATTCTAACGTCATTCTTTCTGTTACACGCTCGTTGCCTTTCTTTTGTTCTTCTGCTATGGTTTATCCCCCAAAAAGCATGTTGTGTCGCATCAAGTCATGAGGGAACTCCCGGTTTAGTAGTGCTATTTCTTTTACAGGTATTTAATTATCCTTGGTCCAACAAGTCGAAACTTTTTGCCGAGAGAGGTCACTGTCCTTTGAAAAATGAGTCTCTAACAGACACAGTTCAAGTGCCCACTCTCGTTGAGCGTCAAGCCTAGCCCTTGGTAGGGTGACATACCCTCATCGAAATGGATACCTCGATGCCCCTAGTAGGGAGAAGCCGGGCGATTTTCACCGTCTGCGTAGTAATGATGTGCCTCTCGATTGTGGCTGTCCTACTGCGAGTCTTTGTTCGATCATATCTAGTGCGAGCCTTCGGATGGGATGATACATTGATGGTGGCAGCGCTGGTCGGTATCCTATTAACCGCATATGAAGACCACGGATTATACTGACTGTGAGCAGGCACTGTTTACGTTCCTGAATATCTGCTGCATTATTGGAACTCAAAATGGTGTTGGCCATAAACTTGCGGACTTTACGAGCCTGGACACACTCCAAAAGGCCATGCTGGTATGATACAGCCACACCCATCCGCCCTGTGAGAGGCTTCTTAATATAAAGCATCGCTAAGGGTCCTACGCCTACACTAGTGGTGGTGGCTAGGTCAAATGCTCTACATCTGGTCATCGGCAGTCGCCAAGGTTTCAATCGCCCTGGCCCTTATTCGTTTGACAGTACGGAAGATACACATGGTTATCCTTTGGACCGTTATTGCTGTCGTCATTGCGATCGGTCTTATGTTCTGGCTCGTCCTGCTCTTTGACTGCAATCCAGTCTCCTACTTTTGGGAGCGCCTTAATCCAACCAACTCGGGGACATGCTTATCGACCGATATCCTTCTCGCCATCGCATACCTTTATAGCGCACTTACCATTTTCTGCGACTTTACCTTGGGAATATTCCCTGTCTTCTTGGTTTGGAAATTGCAGATGAACCGGAGGACAAAGGCTGCTTTGGGTGGAATCCTGAGCATGGGCGCTATGTTCGTCTCCGCCGCCGCGCATATACTATTATCCTATAGTACGTCTATGCTAATATCATTTTTAGTGCCAGCGTCGCTGTTGTGATTCGACTCCCTTTTCTACAGAACTATAAGGACACTGATTTTCTTTGTGAGTTGCCACATACCCTCCAGTATCGATCCATCCGTCCCCACCTTCGCTGCTTTCTTCGTGGCTTCTTGGTTTTGGAAAAAAGCTGACGTCTTGATTAGATTCAACGTATCAGATTGCGATTTGGTCAGTGATGGAGACCGGTCTTGCTATCATCGCGGGAAGTCTCATTACACTACGCCCCTTATTCCGTTGGTTCCTGGATGGAACCGTTTCATACCCTCAAAACGAACGTAGGGGGAAGTATCCCCTGTCGAGCCTGACCGGAAATACCTCCAAGACCGCCCCCTCTCGCGACCCCAGATACTGGCGTCCAGATATTGCTTCGGATGATACGTCTACTTTTGTTGTAACTTCGGTATCATCGCCGGACCGTCTTCACGGCAATGATAATAGCAGTCAAGAGGTTCTGTACCCTGTGCCGGACCCCTGGACGCCCCCAAACAGTGTCAATGTCCATAAAACGTTCCGCGTTGGAGAAGAGGAGGTCTGAATATAATAATACCTTACTCTTCTTTCGGTATATGTTCAATTACCGCCTCGGGCAGATAATGCGAAGTACGATTCTACACCTGGGGTATATAGTTATATCTAATGAAACTACTGCGTATGAACAACGATATCCCTTGCTCGTGGTAACTTGGCCTGTCATATGTCAGGCCACTGAGTCTACCAGGAATGCTGGGCTGTTTCTACTTTCAGACATGTTGCGATTCTCTATCTTAGAGTCCAAAGACATAGGCCTTTTAAGCGTAACCATGACAAATGCACATGACGTGTATACAGCTCCAGCTGTAAAACAGGCGTTAGTCCCACGCTGAATATAAGGCAAGGCCAGAGCTTTGTATTGAACTATCAGCTGCATCTAGTTTGACCATGCACTATCAGACCCCTAGCCTATCGGAAAACGTCAAGGGTTCAGGCGCTAGTTTGGGGTGCCGTCCGTCAGATTCCCAGTATTGTCCAAGCCATATAATTTCTGTTAAATCTAGCCAGCCTTAATTTCCTATGGGCCCTTTCAATGGCACCTCGCGTTCCAGATCGTATTGCCGTTGAGATGGTTTCTAAATTTGCGAATTTTGCAGGCATTCTTGCTTTCTCGGCACTTCTGAAGTCAGTAACCCATAAATTCGACACGACAGCGCTTTTCTTACGGGCCATGCAGCGTCACATCCCCATCGTAAGTCAATTTTGTTGTTTTTAGGTTTAGCCGGACTAGCTGGTAGGCTTTTACCCTGAGCCACGCATATCCCGTACGTCGAGGTTTTCTGGTCTGCCATCAAGCATTCCTTCGTACAGTCAGGAAGAGCTTTTAGCTGGCGCGAGGATTGGTTGACTTACACCGTCGTAAACTTGTAGTTCTTCCGTTACAGCATCGGCGAGTGGTGGTAAGACGGGCTTAGCACCACCACCGGCTGGAGGTACTGCGGCATGACTGACAGAAAGAATAGTAAAGACCAAGACAGTGAAAGTGGTTACCTTCATGGTGAGATCACTTGTCTACTACAGCTCAGTGCTTTACGGTGTCGGCAACGAGGAGCTTTATGTATGTCAATTCCGATGCGGACATTATGTTCCTTGTTCTCCAGTGTTTATACTTTCTTTGACTGTGCCCGCCGGTATAAACTTTGAACCCTCCATCCTTTCCCCCTTTCTTTTCATGGCCCAGGATATGATCCAGACCCTGAAAGCCTGTAATACTCCCTTTTTGCTGAACCAATGACCAACAGCTAGGTTAGAGACTGAGTGTCCACTCTCTAGGTTCGAGAATCAAGCTATTGAATCCACCCCTCGAGACAAAGATCATTCCAGACCTCCACCGGTTGTATAAAGTTTGACAAAGGTTGCAAGAAAACGCGAAGGCTAACACCCATGAGGCCATGGCGTAACTAAATCTGATTAAGACCTACTATCGAAAGGTCACTAGTGCGATGCATATCGTTACACCTATATAATGTGAACGCGACACGGCAACCGTACTGATCTTTAATCGTAAAGTGACCGTCCAAGAGTTTGAAATCTGCTCTTGAGGTCAATCGAGTACGATTACGATGTGCCACTAAATCGCAAGGAGAAAGCGGATACTTTTGTATTACCAGAGTATTGGGTTCACTGTGGGACCCTTCTTCCTGCCTAACCAATACAGTTAACCTACTCTCAATGTTGGGAATTGCGAAGCCTTGTCTAACTTTTTATTTGTTGAAGATAATATAATAGATTCTGGCCATTACATCTGATTCCTGCTGTCTAGCATTCAGTCTTCGCGAGGCCCGATCGCGCCCGCTCTAAAGCCGCGCCGGGCTATAAGCTCAACGATCCGGCCAACTGGATATCCAGCACGCTCTTTCCAACATAGAGGTTGTAGCTTCCTGTCTGTAGTCCCCAATTCTGCTCCTCTGTATCCCAGGAGCTCAGGTCGCGACGAGTAAGATTGAATCTCACCTGTACCTGTGCTCCCGGTTCAATGAGTTGCTTCTCGAATCCTCTCAAAACCTTGGCTGGCCCCCCCGGAATGGCAACGTAGAGCTGGGCTACCTCTGCCGCTGCAACAGACCCAGTATTGGAAACTGTACAAGTCACAGTGGCGATGATATCCCATAGTGAAGCGAGACCACCCTCAGCCACAGTAGTACCTGGAGCTAGGTAGCCAGTGCTCACGTTCGAGGAAGTGGAAACCTTCAGGTCAGAGTAGGCAAACGTGGAGTAAGTCAATCCATACCCGAACTCGTACCGCGGTGTGATGTTGGCAGCCACGAAAGCCTTGTAGTCGATGTAGACTCCCTCGGTGAAGTTATCCTGGGGGTAGTAAATGTCGTCGGTACCGGATTGAATTGTTGGGCTCAGGAGGCTGCCGTAGTCGGATTCATTCTTGGCCACAGTGTAAGGCAGGCGACCAGATGGGGATTGATTGCCGTACATGATCTCCACGAGGGCTCGGCCGCTATCCTGTCCAGGGAGATGAGCGTAGATGACCGCCGTGATGTTATCGTTGTCAATCCAGCGGTCCACAAGACGGACACCAGCATTGTGAATGACGACCATGGTGTTGCTGCATTGTGCCGCGACGTTCTGTACTAATTCGTCAGAGCCGGGATCTGCCAAATATGGTCGATCCCATCCCTCTGAAGACTGCTCGTTGATAAACACGACACAGGCATCACTCGCCGGGTTCACTAGGGGGCTCTGAGATGCAAAGTCCCAGGCAAGGAACGTATCATCTTCATAGGCTTGGCGCTGGAACGCATTAAAGGGTGCGTCAATATAAGATGGCGTACTGGCACCTGAGCCACCGCCAGTGATCGTCGTACCATTGAGCGCCACCCCGGGGGCAGAGGACGTGGGGTTTGCACTCGAGAGAAACATATAATGAACCATATTTGCGTCCACAGCTGAGCCATTCGGGTATGTTAGGGTGTTATCATAGCCCATGGACCACATGTCCCACGGAAGGTTGTCCATAGTGTTGCGAGCAACAGCGACGGCGTCATACCCAAACAGTGAGAGAAACTGAGGTTTCTTAAGGGGCAGGGCATTGTTCGTATTCTTGACCAAAACATGTCCCTCTACGGCGCCTTGGAGGATGGTGGGCTTAGACTTCGGATCCCGGGCGTCGGTTAGGTTGTGGGGAGCGAGAAGGCTGTATGGGAGGCCATGACCAGGGTTTGCAATTTCCGCATATTTGTACCAAGTAGCGACGATGCGAGTGGCCATATCATCCAGGCGTGTGGAAGACAGCGACTCGTTTTTGACAGCCAGAGCAAGAGTGCCATTCTCCCAGTACGAAGATGAAGGCATTACCATGTCTAGCCCGGCCTCTGCACTAGCAATCCCACCCTGCTGAGCACCCCAATCGGTGACGACAAATCCTTGGAAGCCCAGTTCCCCTTTTAGCAGGCCATTCATAACCTTGCTATTCTGGCAACCGTAGCTATTGTTGATCCGGTTGTAACTGCACATCACGGAACCAGCACCCGCTTTGACTGCATCTTGGAAGGGCCAGAGATAGAGCTCATGCATGGTTTTATCGTCCAGATTGGAGGAGAGCGATTGGTTTCGACTATTCTTCAATAGTGATGGCGGCTTCCGATGCGCTTCCTGTTCGTTTCCGACAAGATGCTTCACGCAGGCAATAACAGATTCTTGCAAACCACGAACGGTGTCGCCAGTCAAGGCACCGGACAGATAGGGATCATTGCTGAAGCCTTCCCAGTTGCGCCCGCCTCGAGCTATGCGGCCAATGGGCCCAGCCACTGGACCAAGCGCAACATTGGCGCCCTTTCGCTTAAACTCAGCGCCCATATACTGGGCACGGCTATATGTGAGGTCGCGGTTCCATGATGCTCCCACATGAACACCTGATGCGTAAGCGTTGACCATATCCGTTCCTCTCACACCATTCCCGGCATCTTGGAGGCAGATCCCAGGGAATCCTAATCGTGGGACACCCCCGCTAGTCCCAGAACAACCGTTGGCCGTAGAACTATAACCATATGTGATGTTGTTCTTCTCTTTGTCAGTCATCTGAGCGACGAGCGATCGGGCCTTGGTGAAGGCCTCTTCCCAATCCCCAAGGCCCTTTGTCTCAGCTGTACATGTAATATTAGTTATCCCGACTGTATATATCGCTATGGCCTGAACAGTGACGGCTTACGGGTTGGATAGACAGGCTCTGAATGGCCATACGACCAGTAGTGTTCCAGATCGGCGACATCGGACGCACGATTCTGCACTGCAGCACCGACTGCTGGCTGCAGCGCAACAATCGTAGAAAGTGCCACTGACAGCTTCATCTCTGTGGCGCCCCCACAAAAAAAGCGACAGTAACAGAAGATAAAAGGAAAATTAGACGAGTGCTGCTTGCTCGGATTCAAGAACTACGGACATTGCGTGCTTCCCGCGCTTTTATAGGCCTCCATAGAGACAACCACTCCAGGCCCACGCGTCGCCGATGCTTCCAGCCTTTAACACGGACTCCATAAGCTATTCCTTCGCGATGTCGGCTTGATATCTCTCATAGTAGGCCGCTCTTCAGCAAGAAATTCTCTAGGCCAACAAACTCCCCAATGCCTAGGCCTAATCCAGGAATTTTCTGATATCATATGTGGAGTTGCAGAAATTCCTTCGGTTCTGCTTGCCTTTAACTTGCATACAGACGCGGACATTATGTAGGAAAAGCTGCGGGGACCCCACATTCCACTCTCCACATGGTTTTAAGCGGCTTAGAACCACGCGTCGGCAGAACCCCGGTGAAAAGCTGGACAGGATAGAGTTTTTGGTATGCTGAGATTCTTTCTGACTGGCCCTATCACGTAACGGTCCCCGCCTTGTTGGTCCACAACCCCAGTTTGACTTGACCCTATCTGGTAGCCAAGCCAGTTCTCACGACGTCGACGTCGGAGACAGTCCGGGGAGTAGGCTATGAATGACACTTGCAACGAAGAAATTGTCTGGGGAATCCTGACAGACTGAAGATCGGCCCAAGTCTTCCCCGTCCGGCATTGAACTTCGGCAATGCAGCATGCGACGTCGCAAGTTGGCCGACTATTTCCCCGTCGATATCGATTTGAGCCCGTAACCACGTTGAGGAAGTGGAACCGAGATAAGTGCAGCCCGGTTCTATTATGTTCTTCTAGGATACCCCATTCTTAGCTTTGCTTTTTACCCCCGGCATGGGGGAGTCCATAGTGTTCAATCGAGATCTCCAAGGTGCCTCGGCATGCCTAGGTATACTATGTACTAACTCCGTTTTGGCAGCGTATTCTAGCTTCTAATTCATCTCTAATAATAGCATCTGAGTCTTAGCTCGGGTGAAAAGGTCTCCTTCAATTGCTAAATTCCGATAGACGCACACCCCGATCTGGGTTAGCGATATCCCAGCCGATCACATTTTGGTAATTGTCATGGTTATTGTAAATCTTGTTTTATCTATTTTATTTTATTTTTGCTTCTTTCGTTTCTCTTTACTGTCTCGTTCTGCCAGCTGTCCGTCTATATTAGAATCATATATCTCGGAGAAATAAAAGGTAGTCCCGTCGGAGTTGATGGATGCGGGTCGGAGATGAAGTCGGACATATTCTGGATGGGCGGATATCGGCTCGAGGATGTTCTAGCTTTATGTAATTTTTATTGTCCACATCAAAGATGCTTGTTCTTCCAATCCGTTAGCCCCTCCGTAAGCTTGTTCTATCGCGAGGCTATGATTGACTCGATACTTGACCTTACATAATTCTGATCTTTGCCCGTCTTCTAGCAAGTCCTATGTATCCTCCCTTTTCTCTTTCTGTAAGATCTTATAGCAATCGGGACTAATGTAACTGCTAGGGTGATTCTACTACGTAACCACGTTCGACCAGCTCGTCAGATGGAAATAAAGTGCATTCAGTAGAAGATGTTGAAATCTCCTGGTACTGAACTACCTAGGTACGGTACCTAACACATTCATAGTCTACCCAATCCTACACTAGACCATTCCCCGAGCCAACCCTGTTCTTAGATGGCAGTGACATCGACCCAGAAGCGAGTGTCGTCTGATTCGTATTTCTTGTTGCTTTCAATTTGTGATTTGATCCATTGCACAGCATCGCGGTACCCTATGTCCATTTAGCATCTATCAATGCATCGCGACGGAAAGCCGCAGTATGAGAATACGCACTCTTGATGTCGTCGGTGTTAGGGTTCTGGACACCCGATTCGCCATTGCGATGTCCAGCGAACCAGACGTCAAACCCGAATTTAGCCTCTCCATCGTGGCGAGCCTTGATATCCTTACCGAGATCACTGCTGTAGGAGACGTCAGTATTTGTTAAGATTGTGAAACTACAAGAGACACAGCCACGACGACGTACTTCAGAATTGCGCCGTTGCTAACATCGCCAACACTCTGCCCCAGAAACTCGGATGCTGAGTGGCGGAGCATGTACCAATTCTGCTTGAAGATTCCAAAGTTCGTGGCATCTCCAGACTTGCCGTCACCTAGAAATACATGATCGCGTCAGCCGACTTGATTTGTTCTACTGTCAGGGGATGAAACTTACCGTACGGATAGTCGGTGCCCATATTCTTCGTCTCAAGCATGGCAATTGCCAGGTCCATGGTAGTGCCCCCAGCACCGGTGACCTGTTGCTTGCGAGATCCGAGGCCAGCAATCTGCTCAGAGCCTCGCTTGTCATCACGCGCAGCCACACTGGCACCTTCGGGCAAGGCTGACGAGAGGCCAGTTTGAAGAAGGGCCAGGGTGACCGCGATGAAAGCTTGGAACTTCATGGCTACTAATAAAAGAGTAGGTAATGCTGTTGTTCGAGAATTGCTGTTGCTAATGAGACTGCGTTCTGGAAATGAAGAAACATGCCAGATAAGTCCATCCATTTATACTAGAGATCCGGATGGCTCGCATTTGTGCTCTATACTCTGATCAGGATCTATTCTTGATCCGGATCAGGAAGGTTTCAAACACTTCCGTTCCAAAACTGGAAGAGATCTTCACACTTAACCAACAGTATGGCAGACTCTCATTGCAGAAACCATGAGCCAAGAGGCCCTTGGCATATACCAGACGTGCCTAGCGTCTTGTTCCGAATTAGCTTTGCGGAGGATTCCGTCGACCCCAGACAATTTCATGCCACGCCTCCGCGTATCAATGCGGAGGAATAGCCCGTTACCAAAGCGTACTAGTCGTCGATCTAAAGTTTATGTCCTTGCTGAACGAGTAATTGGTATAGGCTTACAGTAGAGCAGTTACAATCACCTACGATGGCGCAGATGGCATGGCCCAGGTTTGCATTCGTCGCAAGTGAGAATCAGGACTGACAGTCTCCAACTTGATTAAACACGGACACAACTCCATGACCTTTGTATCTTTCATTGACTATCTGACGTCGGCATCCAGCCACCGAGACACGGCACGCGGCAGTTTTCGGTGGATCTCATCAGCCGTTATGTCCTTGAAGTCGGAAACTCCCGACTATTTGTAGCATCACTCCACATGCTTGTCTGTAAATAGTATCCATTCATCAGCATTTCCAGCGGAACCTGGCGGCTTCATTGAAATACGGAGCAGTCTCGATGTCATGCAATATGCACCCCGTTCCAAGGTTATAGAGACATTGAACACGGAAAGGTCTTTCCAGGCCTGCGCAGAATAATAACAGGTTTAACAAACACGGCCCACATTCGACTTCTTGTTTCAGAGACGTCTCTTCTCGTTGAACAACCGCTTCTAGCCACGTCGAGCGGGAAGTCGACTCACTCTATGAATACCCGCAGCCGTAAAAGGCCTTGTGCTTTGGGGGCTACCCAATCGGACACGGTCGCATAGAAGGCAAACAAGTCTACAGAGTCCAACATTGTAGATAGACCAAATAGAGTGAAGCAATTTGCCTCAAACTAACCAATGTGAAGCCATGTGGGCGTCATCAAAAGGGTCCCGGGCGGGTTGGGCCACAACAGGGATCTGTATATACCTATGATCAATGTTCAAAAGAGCAATAGTTCTACCAAGGGTAATTCATGAATGTGAATAAATCAGCTTATGGAAGATAAGCGCAGCATATGAAAGACACAGCTGAGATATGACCCAAAAGATCAAATGGAACCTTACACTGTCTCAGCGTCCCTGCGCTTTGTCTGGTAACTCATAGAGTCATGGGGCGTTTGTTTTCGGTATGGCTATGACCTATACATCGGTATCACAGAGTCAGGACTACTTCTCACTGCACTATAGCTATCTCCGAGGTTTGTGTGAAGCCTGTAATGCAGCTTCACGTCAGTAGATCTCATAAAATCCATAACTATGTACTTGCTAATCGCCAATATATTTCTAACACCGACCGTATCAAACTTCGTACACTGTACCCCCTTTGCCAGTTCGTATCCCTATAGTATCGGGAGATATATCGGCGGCCTCTGTACCCGAAACGCCACCTATCGGCCATGGGTCGTAGGGTAGAACCGTGCAAAAGCTCAAGCCGAGCATGTGAACTTTACCTTAGTATTTAACACAAATGCGATATCAATGTCAGTATCGTGGCTATATCTATACAGCCTACAGCTTAATCACAAATACTTCTGTGCGAAGAGACAGAAATGTGGAGCGCATAAAATTCACTGGTCTAGGGATAATGGAGGTTGCAGCTCCCGAAAGCAAGTTTTATTAATAAACTGTCCTGTAATAGAATGCTAAACCGAGATAGGATATGGTTTTCTTCGGGCGTTATCATTTAAAGGGTCTAACCCGACATAGAATTGATTCGAGAACCCGCTAGTCGTACATACACTTCTGGTTCATGCCGGGCCAACACGGTTGTAGACCGTATTCTATTACCTTCTGCAATAATTATCTTTGAACCTTTAGCTAGCACCTCGGTAAGAAGACTCCTAAAGCTTTTTACTGTCGTGTATATGTGTACTCATTTCGCACTGTCGTGAAGGTATCTGCTTCATTGATACAGGAACAGGTGCGAAGGTTAAGCATACGGCTCTTTCCGACTATCGAAGGTCAGTAACGACTGGGGATCTAACAGGTTCGTCATAGCTCAACGATGATCGGCGAAAGGAAAATCATTCGAGGCGTGCACGATTGTCTCCTCAAGAGCTTCAACAATGTTCTAGGACCACATATCACGATAGAGTTCCGTGTCATACATTTCTTCTACTTGCAAGTTAAATTATACGACGAGATCAGCCCTTTGACACCATGCTCACGGGAGAGTCCGGCAATTCTATACAGATTTTCTGGAAGTTACATCTAGAAGGCAAGCATTTCCTTCTACAAAATAGTTATATGTGGAATGCAAGATTCACATTTCAAATGTGGAGCCTATAATCCCCCCGATCTCCCCAGTAGTAGTTCCTGCTAAGATTCCCGTGCCTATTAGTCCTCCATCATTCACATCTCGAAGAAAAATACTTTTGCCCTCTTGCTGTGGACCAGCACGAATCAGAAGCTGGTCTATGTATCTTTGTGTCTTTTCTTTGTAGTGTGGATAATGCTGCATGACCCCGCCAGAAACGGCTACAGCCAGTTCTTCCGGGCCATTTATCCACCTTGTTGTGGACTCATCAGTCCGTTTTTTTCGGTTCGAAGTATTCGATGCTATGGATTCTTCTAGATCTTGAGGAGGCTGTAAAGCAATCTCTCGTGCGCATACAAGAAGACCAACGATAACTGCTGCGACTAGGGAAGCCGCTCTGTCCTGGACATAATTTGCAATGACACGAAGATCCCGAGAGGAATCCGGTGTCCAACACCAGTCACTCGTGGAAGGCTGCGGCAACTCCTGAGATAACTCCATTGCCAATCGCTCATCACACTGGTTGCAAGCTACCTTGAGAGAAAGGAAATCTGTCGAAAGCGAGTACTCTGTAACCAGTTTTGCAGGCAATGCTGAGCGTGGAATACCTAGCACACCATGAAACCAGTCAAATGCGATGAGTCGCACGAGCTCACCAATATACCTTCCCCCGACCATCAACTCCAAAGGTTGGAAGCCTGGCCTTTGACAATGCTTGTCAAGCTCCGTATCCCATTTAGTTCGAAGATTCAACTCGAAGATTGGCGCAGAGGCGCTAGATAAAGTCCACTCCGTTGACACCAGAGCCTCCAGTGCATCTGGATCCTTCTCGCGAATATGCTGGACTTTTCGTTCATCCAGGTCGGCTATCTTTATTGGGAGAGTAGCATTGGAACCAGCACCCACAATGAGGCCCATTACGGCGCGTGTATTTGGGAACGAGTGGATGGTATATGCCAGCGAGCAAAGCGTTGACGAAGTATCATTCGTCATTGCTGCAATCCTTAATCTGGGAAGGTTGAAGAGCTTTCGTCGTTTGGCAGGTATCCGCTGCTCATCTTCGCCAGGGGACCAGGTGTGACGCTCATAGCCATCTAGCAAGGCCTGGTGCAGGTTAAGATCTGTCTTCAAAGCGAAGCCTTTCCCTGTCGGCATCAGAATAGCCTCGTTCAAACATTTTTGTCTGTCGTTCTTCGTCAGCTTTATCTCGTGACATGCGTGCCTGATATGGAAATCACGATGCCTACCTGATAGGGAAACAAAAAGAGATACCTGTCGTGAGCTCGCGGGGTACATCTTCGGTTGGACTATTCAAGCTATCTCGGACAACATCTGCAATACAGTCTCCTATAAAGGTAAACAGATCTGGAGCGCGATCTCTTCGCAGATGCTCCTCGATTGGCCAAGCCTTTTCTAGTGTTCGTCGTACGCGCTGTTGATCACCTAACAAGTCGATAAATGCCACTCGAAGATATGAGAGACCAACATAAACTGCGAGATACCGGCCTCTTTCCAGGCCGGTTGGTAGTCGGGTGATGGGAGTGGGGAAAAAGTGTTCGGGAGAGGCCGCCAACTTCCTGTAGGTTAAGGAAAGGCGGTATGACAATTCATACAGGGTATCTATCCCTATCCTAAGCGGCTGGAGAAAGCTGGAGAGATCCGAGCATGAATTCGAAGAGGTGTGCGACATGCCGCCTGAAGATGTAGTGGAAGGGAGTTCAGTTTGCATCTTCAGCAACATGAAATGTTGTCGCAGTTCGGCATCCCCGTGACTTGTGGACAGGTGACTTTCGGATGTTACACTGGCCCGTTGCCCGATGTCACCTTGCATCGGGAACCCTAAATACTAGTAGCTTACGGTACATCCAACTGTACCTGGCCATAATTCCGGCATTTTGTCGGTCTTATTGGAGTTTATCGTGGGTCTCAATGTATACAGAAGTTTTATAATAACCATTGAACCGCGGGAAGTGGGGGGTAAAACAGGTCAAGATATTTACCATGGATATCCCCGTTTTATAAGTTAGTCGGGTTTAGCGGGGAACCAGATAAGCTTTAAATAGTACCAGGAACAGAAAATAGATCAAACTTGGTTGTTTAGTATACACATAACAAAAGGAAAGGAAAAAGAAAAGAGGATGATGAACCCTAACCAGAGAAAGCCCTAGAAGCCAGGACTACAGCACGACGAATACTCATTAATTGCAAACATGAAGGAAGATCATTCCCAAGGTCCTCCAGAAAGCTAACATTGCATTGTAGCAACTAGGTCATCTGATATTTAATGTAGGCCAAGTTCCAAGGTCTCTCGGTGCCTAAAATTGCTGTATAGTGGCCGTCGTGGCGGGCCAGGTTCTTCTGTACACAGTATGTGTGGCAGAGCCGACACTGCACCTATCAGAGGAGATGATACCTTCTAGCCAACTTCTCTCAACAGCTAAAGTTCAGTTTGAATTCGATGACTGTGCAGCTTTATCGTGGTGGTAAAATGCATAGCATCATCTCCAGCATCCAGGGCTCCAAAAATATACAGTACATGGCTGTGCAATATCCCCAAAGTCTTGGCAGTGACGGATGACAATTGTTGTCTTGCAAACAGGAAGTTGCAACTGCCACATAGCATTAGTGGCTTGTATCATAGTCCTCCGGTGTATAGAGCGTTAGACGGAAAAGCAAACATACTAATTGTCACTGTATCTATATATATAGAAGGCATACCCAAGTTAATATTACTAAGAGTCTGAGACTTGAAATATAAATAGCTATCTATATTTTATACAATAACTATGTACTGAGCTAGAACTGTTATATAGATAGTGTTGAATTGTATTAAAGATTTTTAAGCTTTAATAAGTTCAACTTCTACCTTTTTAATAGAGAGATGTCTATATCTATGAAATATGTTTACTAGTTATCAAAACTGCTTCTGGATTATAGGTACCTAAAGTAGCCAGAATATTCGGCGTTAAATCACTCTACACGCGCGATATCTAAATAATGATTTTGCGAGTTGATTATATTAACCTACCGCACATACTATATAACACGTCCCACGTCACACATTAATATACATTACTAAATTCCATCACCAATGCAAACACCGCACTCGCGCCTATCATGCCTTTAGGTAAATGTAGTTGGGTCACGGATCGGCATGCTCGGTGGAGCGAACGGACCTGACGCCAAAGCCTAATCGAAAGCAAGCTTCACAGTGAACATGGAGCCCTTATCGTAATTTAGTTCTTTGCAGCCGCAACAGCGAAGTCAGCCGCAGAAGCCACATCAACAGCGTAGGTCAAGTGAGCGGGCAGAATAATAACGCTGTTCTCGCAAATAGTGTCTCCGGCGTGGCACACAGTGTGGACGCGGGAAGCATCAACGTTGGGGAGAGCCTTGCCCTTGTCTATGGAATGATTAGTACATTCATGCATCCAAAATACCCCGATCCGGGAATTCGACGTACATGGGTCTCCGAAAAGGAGGACACTGCTGATCTTGCTAGCGTGTTCGGCAGGAAGCTGCTCAACAGCATTGTGCACAATCTGACAGCCCTGGGAGTAGCCACTCATGACGAGCTTGGTGTCGGGACACTTGGAGAGAATGTCACTGGCCTGGGATGCCCTGTTCGAACAAGGTCAGCTTCGGTTTTAATCGTACACCGAAATGTAGCGAGAAGGTTGCGATATATTGCAGAAAAGACATACATTGCCTTGCTACCGGCGGCTTCACCTCCAGCCAAATAGCCCTCGACAGATGCGGAATAGCCGTTGACACCTTGGAAGCTCAAGGCTGACGCACCAACGGCTCCCTCAAACGCCTCAGCAAGAGGAGGTCCAACGAGGACACCAACCTGCGCTAAATTAGAATGAAAATAAATACGCGCGACAGGCTAAACTTACGTTTCCGGGCTCACTGGTTCCGCGGGCGAAGAGAACGGTATAGTCAGTGCAGGTGCCAGTAAATCCATTTAGCGTGGTTTGAGCACCGGTGATGTCAGCCAGCAATTGATCAAAATCGGTGATCAGACCCGACACTGCAGTGATAGAGCCGTTGATGGCAGGCAAATGAGACAGAAGGACGCTGAGGAACTCGTTCAGGGGAGCGTTTCTCTCAACCAGAGCATCATTGGGAAGAGGGCGTGCGAGAACGCTGGCTCCGAGGAGAGAGACAAAGAGTGTCTTGATAGGAAGACGCATGGCGGCTGAAGTGTAAGGGCTCCGTGAAAGCTTTGTGCTGTTAGGCTGAGGCTAGTTTGCGAGGACAATCAGAACTGTGAGAATGTCTGAGCAGCTGTCCTCTCCTCGTGGGAAGACACGCATTTTATACATCTCCAAGCCGTGTTCCTTCCGCCGTCTCGATTTCCCTATACAACCAACGTGTCTCAATATTCACCTAAAGCGGTACGGCGGGCCTCCGGCGTGGAACTAGAGCTAAGGAAAACCAACCCGATATTCGGGCTGTTCCTTTAGGACAGTCGGCGAGACCACATGCTGTTCTTCAGCAAGTCCCTCGGCCAAGAGCATGGATTAATCTATCAACGTTGCATCCTTTTTGGTGGATCGCTGGAACAGAGCGAATCACTTCCTTGTAGAGCGAGTCTGGTTTGGTTGACTATACTTTTGAGAAGAACAGAGTTGGACAGTGGAACGGCTGGGGTTCTTTGTTGGCTCAGCCATGGACCAACCCCCGCAGTTAGCAAGACAGCCAAGGCGATACTGTGGCCCTCCGGCGAGCCTTTGACAAACCCTCGTATTCGGATTCCTGCGGTGTTTGCGTCATGGCAATAAAAGTCCTGCATTGCACCCACGCGGTCATGCGCGCAGTTGGCGGCCGTTAAGCTTAGATGCTGGCCAACGAGACGCCGGGACAGTCTTCGCTTTGAGTGCTGCCTTCCCCGCATTGTCACTAGTCAATGCACGACCCCCACCGTGGTGGAGACGGAGGAATCCTGACGATTGGGACTTGCTCCAATGAGTGTGGCCTTAGCGAAAAGGCGCACCAAGGGTTCCCGTTCCCTCGTGACTATTCCTCTCTCGTTCTAAGTCAGTAAATAGTTTGACTCCTGTGGCTGATCTTCTACCCGTCGCGGAGACCCGCGCATACTGAGATTCTGAACGGGCGCCATCAATCAACGGAGAGGCACCCGGATTTACCCTCCCACAGTTTCAGGATCGTCTTCTCTAAGCAATTGAGAAAAAGCTTCGAATACATCGGGAAATTCTCCGTGTCGCGGGTGCGGGACACACCCAGCCAACCCGATCGATCTACTGACTTCGGAATAAAAATCCCTCACGATTTGCTTACTCGTCGTTAGTAACCCCGGTATAACTCCGGACCTGTTCGAGTGAGGGGCTACAGGTCGATCACATTATGTGATAGAAAGATAGTAACCCCTTCTCTGCAAAGTACTAGCTAGTAACTACTATCTACACCAAGTGAACACCCCTGTCAGGTTAATGCTTAATTCAACGGACTAAGGGTGGAACACTAGGGGGTCTTGATCATGAAATACCGAGTTCGCATGTGCGTAAACGTGTTCAGGGTGGCATTGGGTGGAGGTGTAGTTGAAGAGTGTGGGTTGATGTTGGTTTTCTGAGCAAAAATTTCCAGGGCTTATTCGGACATGTGAGGAATCGCCCTCGGCCTCGGACCAATGGAAATAGGAGAAAGGAGTGACTTGATTAACAGGAGTTCATTCGGCTTCGTAATGCCAGAAACGGTCCGAGAAGATTGTTGACTCACGAGAATATTCTTCCTTTTTTTTTTTTTTTTTTTTTTTTTTTTTTTTTTTGTATCCCGCAACTTCATGTTTCCGAAGAGAAGTTAGGAGAGTCTCGCGGCCTAACTTTGCTCCCTCTTCTCCCGCAGTCACTTTCGGAGGCCAAAATGAGGACCCGGTGAGAACATTGCCGGGAAGGAATACCACTCTCTTGGCCTCGATCCAACAGCAAGATCAAACTCACCAGAACGCATCCCGTTCCTAAACATAAAATTGACAGGATCAGGTTCACGCCGGCTTGGCCAGTATGCCAAGAGACCGGTTTCAAGAAATCTCTCGAATGTCTATCCTGAGGGTAACTCAGTTGCCGAGTACTTGACAACTCGGGGCAGGCATCTGTCTGCTATCGCGCCACACACCCCAACAGCACATAATGAGTCTTTCCCTCAGAATAGCCTGTTTAGCATGGGCTGAGGTCCAGCAGATCTAGTATTGCCGTTTGATGTGCCCGTGTCTATTTCCGCTTCACTAGTACGCGCTTAATCAACGACAAAACTTTCTAGCACGACCCACACTTAATAGGCGCTCATTAAGCGTTCCAATGCTGTTCCAGAACTTAACAGCAGAGACATTGACAGGTAAGTATCCATAGGGACGGCTTTGACTCTGAGAGTCGGCTCAGGTCGACTCCTGTGCTAGCACAATACACCGGGATTCGCTGGGAAATGAGACACCGACACCACCGGAGCTCTCAGCATCGGACTGACCTGAAAGCATTACTTCCGCCACATCTATACCGGCGGTTTGAGCGGGAAAAATGGTAGCCCGAAGATCCCGGTCTGAAGACCCGTACATGCGTGCGGATTTCCACCTAATTGGCTCTAAATCGACCAAGCATTATGAAGCCCTTTTCGCTTGCGCCTACGCTGGAGACACGTGCAGATCCTTGACCCCCCCCCTTTTTTTTTTGCAGACGTGGGTGACTTTCTCCTGCAGCTGTGCCGTCATCCAGGTCCATGGAAAGCGGTTCGAATGCGCACGTTAGTGGATCATGTAGTAGATCCTCCTGCATAATGTTGACTTTTCTCTACCAATGTCCTGAGCAAACTCCATTCGAAGCGTCGGGTCTACATCGGAATAACAATTCATTCTCGATGCGAAGAAGCTACGGGAGATGGTCGCCGTTTACTAAAGATCTTCGCCGACAAGTGGAGATCACCCGCGCCGATACATCCTTGTATAGCGGGACACTTGTTTACTTCTCTAGCATGATTATCGGGCTCTTACAGTAATTTGGCTAGTTGTTGTTGCGTAAAAAGCATTTCTTGTTATCTAAAATCGAGCTTCCGATTGTTGGCGGTATTATGCAATAGCGTTGTGTAGTCTAGCAGCTGCGAACAGGATCAGGAGTAACGTTTTCTATGGACATCCTATGTGTGGACACTATACCATGAACTACTGCAACAAGAGCGGTAGTGGCGTGATGTCCTGAACAGCGGAAAGACCCTGTGTCCATATCAGACTATTTATTCGTTCACACATATGTGTCAGTGGTTGTACCAATGGGGAACACGAGGGCATAATTAGATAAAGGATACTACCATGAGATAGCGCCAGAGCGTAGAGCTGAACAGATCATGAGGTATAAGGGCCTCTGCCAAGGATAGCATCCTCCTTAGCCAGTCCAAGTACGTGTACGTGCTGTTCTAGCTTGCAAGCAGAATCGCACCCAGAGACCATACTTTGTCAGGGATCTGGTGGCAATTTGAGATCTGCCTGGTTACGGGGATTGTCATTTTGGCGCCAACCCATCGGTCTGGGGTGGCTTGAGGGCGAACTCAGCAGCTAGATTGAGCATCTGCAGCCTGTCAGTGCCCCACTATAGATATACTAGACAACCCCTTCGGGGAGTCCGATTGGATATTTGGCCGAACACGAGGAAAGGAGGAGCTTGGCATACGCTACAGCGCTGGGCTCTGCCACTTTTGTTCCTGTGTCTCAGTAACCTTAGTTATCTGGCTTGATAAGTGACGACAGGATACTCATGATTCCCACCGTCTCCGTCTCAAAGTCGAGCACATTGTTTCTTTTTGCTAAAGGGTCTGATGTCGCTCGTCGTTAGAGCTTTTGTGGCCAGATTGCCGGACGCGATCATGCCATAGTGGCGGGCGTTAAGCATTATCTTCGGTCTTGCTTGGACTTTTGAGACGTCGCATGTATCACATGTTTCCCTTTTTTCTGAGTTTGTATAGTGCGATGCGTATGGGATACCGGGTCCTTCTCCAATATAGCAGCATATCTCATTCAACTCCGTGATTTGTTGAGGAACATTAGCAAGCCAAGGATCGGACTTCACGCCGCTCGATACGGAATCACGGATGCTATGGCCCGCGGAGAAGGCTGTAAGTATCCAGCCTTTCTTAGAGCAGTGTTGTTATGGCAGGACACTTGAGCCAGTGCCCAATAGTTCACTCACTAAACATCCTCTAATTCAATATTATTGTGCACCGTTATGACCCCACCCCAAATCTCAACTAGCAAGCGAATGCGAGGATGACCAAGAATTTGCTCCATTTCAGAGGCAATGCCAGCAATAAAATTGGCACCATACTTACTATCTGGAAGACCCGTATCGGCACCGTTTGTTTATGTTCATCTCGTCTGTCTTGCTCCGTATGCCATCATTAGTGTGACCGTCTTTAAGCCTCCTACTTTCGGACCTTGGCTTTTGCACCCCATCCATACAAGCGAGATGCTGATAGGTTTGGCCCATTCAATACTGGTGCAACTAAAATAACACAGATCGAATTGCCCCGGACTTGTAATATTGCACTTTCGCGTTGTTTCCAGGAGTGCGGGTGCCCGAACGATCCGACAGATACGATTAACAAAGGACCACCTCATAATGGCCTAATACAATAAGTCGGAAAGCCTTTCGACAAAAACGCGTACCATCTATTCAACCTCTGCCGGAAGTATCATCACGGGTGACAGAAATATTCTGTATGTGCGCGGTGCCTTGGGAATAACAACTCACCCTAGCGGGACCTGGTTACTCTGTTCAGGTTGTTGTACATGGTACTCCACTGCTGCAACTTTCTGGTTAGCTAGAGTTGGGTGGTTGACTGACATATACAGTTCTCATAGCAGAGATTGGGTTTTCAAGTGTAAGAAGCCTGGAGTGGATCTGACTGTGCGCTTGAAATTCAGGTTCAGTTCTCCAAGCTGCGAAAGTTTGATGACAGTTTTTGGTCCTTAGGTATCTTTGCGAGATTCAATCAGGTCAGTTCCGCCACCGTGAACGAGATAATACTTCCCCGAGGATAAGCTTTCTCTAACGAAGTCAGGATGGTTGATCTTATGGTCCATTTCTTATATCTCTTGGTTCAAGATACCAGTCCCAAGGAGCTCAATGAACGGTAGCTCAAGTCCCAGACATAACTAGGGATATGGGCATTAAGCCCGTCTGAAGCAGTAAGATAGGTATGTAGGAGAGAGGTTCAATCAAGTCATAATCATATAGATCGTCGGCTTCTCCATCATGTCGTAGCTTATATTACACATATAGCAGCAGAATAGGTATGACACAAGGTATCCCAGAGTTCGCTTATATGCCTGCTGTGTTTTTCGATCTGACATATGGCGAAAGGCAATGTATGGGACACACAGGATGAATGCGAACAGAATGCAGACTTTCATGAAACAGTGCACACTGACCCTCCGGCTACCAGGCATATCTGAATTGAGTCCGCTCCCAATCAGTCAGATCTAATAGATCCGTCTCGACAATACGATGCTCGTTGGTATCCTGGGGCACCCCTGACTCAAGCGCACATTTATCCCGACGCTTGTTTTCATTAAGCAGATAGAACATTAGGGCCGCTTCAACTACGATCATCATGGACGATGTAACGAAATATGCACGGAACCCAGTAGGATAGGTTGGTGCTTCCTTCGATAGAAAAAATTGCGGTGTGATAATCTGACCCACACAGTAGCCGACAAAAATCATAACCTGTAGTGAGGTGGCATTGAGTCAGACACTTATCAAGGGTACCGAAGGCTGCCACGGGTCTCATGTACTTACACTGACGGTCATTTTCTTGGTGAATCCCGCGATGTTGGACGATATCATGGACATGCACATTATATAGGACACCGTACAAGTCAACAGTGAATATACAGCTCCCAGGCGAGACATTTTCCGATCGGTCGGCAGAGCTGCTCTCTTGTGAGTGACCTGTCAGTATACAAGTGATCGAAACTTACTGTATAATAGAACACTGCCCACAAGCACACATACGTTGCTGAGGATCATGGCAATGCATCTACCCTTACCGATCCACGAGCATACAATACCCCTGAAACTGTCAGCGGGTCATCAATGACACTGAGCATCTTAGGACTCACGCAAGTAACACGCTGACAAGTTGAACGGCATGTTCTGGCATAGCGACAACAGTGGATTCGACACTTGAGAAACCAAGGCCCGTGAGAATAATCTTGTTAAACGCGTTCAACCCGCCTCCGGGTATACACTGTAAGAATACAATGGAGAACAGCATCCACGCCTGAGGATCGCGAAGGGCTTCCTTGACTTGATAAACTTTGTATTGTCGGTTCTGAAGGCCCGCGTGATTGTGGAGCACCTGTAATGGCCACTGTTAATAGCCATGGTTTTGAACGGATCCAGCTGAAGAAGAAATGTTCTCACCCGAACCACAGCAATCTTCCTCTCCCGAGGCGTCAAGAACCACGCCGACATGGGTGAGGAGGGCATGGCGAAAAAGACTATAATTCCCCACAGCATAGTGATAGGACCAAAGATAAGATATAGATACTAACAGAGTCTCAGCAAAACACCTTGCACGACAGACAAAGGGAGGTTCTAGTCATACCTGCCATTGGGACAGTTTCCCATGCACATGGCCGATACCATTCGAGACACCATCACCGATAAAGGCACCAATTGGTCCACCAGCCCACCAAATGCATGATCGTAGGGCATGCTCATTCTTCGTGAAGTATTGACTGACCAATAGCGTAAATGCAGGGTTGTTGGAAGCCTCGAAGAGGCCCAAGAAGAACCGATTCACAGCGAGTGTTGCGAAATTAGTCGACGCGGCAGTTGTTGCGACACAAAGTCCCCACATAAAGATCATGGATCCTATCCACTTGCCGATAGGAAGCTTTTGCATGAAGATCGAATTTGGGTATTGCCAGAAAAGATACCTACAATTCTGGTCAGACAAAAACACTTGAAGTCTCAAACGGTTTATCCATACCCAAAATAGAAGATCGACGATGTCCAGCTATACTGTTGGCCCTTCAAGTTCTATTTGGGAATTGTAAGCTTTCCCGGTTACTCCCCGCAAGAGGATATTTCCATTGCTCACCAGATCTGTCCTCAGTCCATAAACGGCAGCAGTAGATAGAATACCTTTGTCGATGAACGAAAGGATGTAGCTCACGGTCATCTATCAATAGGGTCCGGTCAGCAGAGAACCACAGGCCAGATGTTCCATCGCAGTTACCATCGGGACAATGATTAAGTCAATCTTCCAGCGAACGACAGAGGCTTCCTTGTCCGTAAACTCGACATCTATCTCTCCTGACTCCCCGTTGAATATGTTGATGGCGTCATCGTATCCGTGGGGTTGTTTGGGTTGTTCAACATCCGCTCCTGGACAGGTGGCGACAGCGACATCCACGTCCTTGGAACTCATGGTTGCATGAATTTCGCCCAAAGGTTCCAAAAAGCAGGATTTATTGACATGGCAGTTAAATATATATGGGACGATGAAGGTAAGGGGGTGTCAAAAGTCGGAGTTTTATGAAACTCCGACAAGCTTTTGATCAGTCTCCCAGGATTGTTTCATGCCCCAGACAAGGGCCAAGGCATTCCCCGCAGCGTTTCCACATAATCCTCACATCTCAGAATGAACCTAGTTATCCCATGTGGAGAATGGCGGGATCGGCGCGGCCCTTCCTGGGAGGCAAATCATTCTTCTTCTGTGGTGGCTACTGACTGTGGGCTGAATAGCAGGGGTTTTGCAGATAGAACATGATAAAGAGGCTCGGCTCTTCCCGATGGCTCGGCAAGCTCCCGATTGTCTTTTAAGCCGTCGGGAGCCTGCCGATGGTGCTCTATCATCAAACAATTTACAAACCATTTTTATAAAGCACTTATATTCGCTGTGCGTACAACATCCACTGGCTGAAAAAACATACAATCCCAGGTCAAGATAAGAACAGAAAACCGACGTGGAAGCTCTCCCATTTCTCATATCTGCCTATGCCAAGCCCTAATCTTTAACGCCAATATGCCAAGCGAAGAAAGCGGCGACCATTATCAGCATGTCGTGGTGCACGGGTTGCCCTATGATCGCGGTTTCTCGCATGGACAGCAAGTCAAGGATAAAATTCTGCGAAATATTACTCATTATAAACAGCCAGGGAATCTTATCGCATGGTGAGAGACAACGTCCAACCATCTCGCCTTGATATGCTCATACTACGGCAGGCCCACTGCGCTGCGAATTATTCGGGAATGCTATATTCCAGGGCTGGAAAACTATTGGTTATCGGGCCTCACAGAGATGCGTGGCGTCGCCGATGGTGCAGGAGTGGACCTGGAAGATATAATCTTATTGAACGCTCGATATGACCTTTCACATATTAGCAATCCTTCGACAACGGAAAACGATCCAACTCGAAGTCTTCCTAAGCTGGCCTCGGAGACTGAAGATGAACGTTATTATCCGTCGTACCCGCGAGCGTCTTCTGAATGTACTAGCGCGATTATCCTATCTGAAGCGACCGGCGATGGAGAAGTATACACGGCTCAAAATTGGGATATGTCAGATCGGCTCCTCAAGGAGGATGGGATCATCTATCTAGAGGTCCATCCACACCCTTCGGAGAATCTACCGTCGTTGTTCCTCGTAACTGAGGCGGGTCAATTATGCCGATCAGGAATGAATTCGGATGGGCTGGGGTTATGTGCAAATTCACTGTGCAGCTCAATTGATGCACTGCCATTCTCGATGGACGACGCTGTGGGGAAAGGGAAAATGCCGGCTATTCCTCCGTCCTCGGCTCTACGACGACTATTCCTAGAAAGCCCTAGCTATGCCGACGGCCTCAAATGAGTCGCCAGAACACCTCGCCACGTTTCATGCAATTTGATGCTGACAACTGCAGACAATATGGGAATCTGTCTAGAAATAACCCCCAAAATCATTTTCAGAATATCCGGATCAGCTGGCTCTGACACTCCGTATATTCTGCATAGCAACCATTTTCAAACGCAGTCATTTTTGTGTCAGTCCGAGATCCAGGATACTTTAGTGGGGGGCAGTACGTGGTATCGTGCCGACCGGTTGGAAGTGGGCATCCGGAGAAAAGCGCTCATCGGTTTTCTGACGGAGGCCGACATTATGAACGCTTTCAAGGACCATGCTGGGTATCCTCACAGTCTCTGTGAGCATTCGGCCAGGAAGGCAACCAAGGGCCCGTTTATACAGCCAGGTCATCCGAATCCGTATTCTGGTTCGACATGCACGGTCAGCTGTGTCATCTATAACCTCACCAAAAGGTCGATCAAAGTATGTAAGGGGCCTCCATGCAGGGGGACCTTCCAAGAGTTTGCCCTAAAGCGAGCATTTGAGTCGAGGCGATAAATCAGATGCAAAACGTGCATACAGTGAACGGTGGAAAACTATTCCGCCTTCCTATTCAATCAGGGGAAGCAATCACGTGGACCTCATTTGCATGTCGATCGACCATTTAGGAAATTGGTATGGAGAGACTTCACGAAGATCATTCCTTAGACGAGCGTTGGATTACTCAATAAGGTCGTATTGGAGAGTGAAGAATGGTGGAGACGCCCCGTTTAGGGTGTGAGCTGATTTGTCTATGGCCTGGACCCCTTTTAATACTAAAATAGTCCCCCCAAAACCAACCATTTCTTCCCCTTCTCCACTCGATCCTGTCATTCACCGCAATCCAACATTTTTCTTGCTCACGGCCAACTATCTACTATCTGATTGTTATCAATGAATGATCCGGGGAATCTCTCATCTTCCAAGCGGACCCGGGCGCCCATCGCGTGCCTGCGCTGCAAACGACGGAAAACCAAAGTACACTCGAAACCCCTGGTTGTAATACTATTATGTCGTAGTACTAACCTCACGTAGTGCAATGGGACGCGTCCAGTATGCACGCCATGTCAAAAGGCGAGAGCTTGTATATATATGCACCTTTGAAATGAACCATGTTTGTCCAACTGACGACTGAAGCTTGCACCTGGGCAGGACTAAGCCGCATGGGGGGTGATATGAGTGAAGAGTACGCCAGCCTGCTGGAATATACCCGAGGTTTGGAGAGCAAAGTCGCGGAGTTGGAAGGTCGTGCCCAGCACAACATCGCCCCAGCGTCGGAGCACCAAGTGACATCGGTAACAGCCGAACTATCAACCAATGTGGCCCTTCTAAGCATGAATGCCACGGCCGAACCTTTCTTTGTCGGCGCGACCGCAGGCTTTTCTCTATCGAAAATGGTGGAAGGGATACTATCTCAATCACCAATTCCACCGCCAGCGCTTGAATCAACCGCGTCCTCAAATACACAGGCTGACAATGATATTTGTGTGTCCATGAACAACCTCAGTAGACCCGATCCCCAGGTCGAGCGGAAGTTGGTGGACATTTTCTTTAGCCGCGTTCATCCCCGGTACCCATTTCTGGACAAGCTCGGTTTTGACGAGTTTTACCGTTCTTATCAAGGGTCTAGAGATACGAGGAGTGTCGGCCCATCCAAGCTGTTCCAGCTTCATATGGTGCTGGCAATCAGTGCCCGCATTATGCAGCTTCATCCAGAAATGGGCGGGAACATCAACCCGGAATTTTACTATTCGAACGCTACTCGGTACGCTGACGAGGCGCTCCAAGTTCCGGGGCTCGAGAGAGTTCAATCTTTACTTCTACTAGCATTGTACATTCTTCGTACTCCAGGTAGTATTTCTAACTTAGGCGGCTGGCATATCATTGGATTCGCGGTTCGGTATGCCGTGGAATTGGGAATGCACCGTAACATCAAATGTGGCGGCCCACGAGCACAGGACCCATATCGCATTCAGATCCGGCGACGAGTCTTTTGGAGCGCTTATGTGCTTGACCGTGCTGTATCCTTGACTCTAGGGCGTCCGTTCGCCCTGTCGGAAAATGATATTGATGTTGATGTATGTGAATCACTCAGATGGAGATATGATACCTACTGGCTAAACCATAATCTACGTGTCAGTTACCTTGTGCGCTGGAACAAAGCCCTGTCAACGGCATGAAAATTCAATACAACCAGTCCTCTGCGATACTTACCGAAACAAAACCTTTGAATCTATCCTCCTTCGTTCACTTATGTCGGCTTAGGCGGCTGGAGAGCAGGATCAAGCAGGAACTTTACAGTGCTAGTACCCCAGAGACCATGCAGGATTACTCTTATGATGAGACAATCGACTCTTATCGACAGGAACTCCTCGAGTGGCTGAATAACACACCCTTTAAATTTACATCAGATGGCCAGCTACAGGAAGGTTACTCTCTGTATGACACCCCGGAATTCTTCCGCATACAACACAGCAAGGCTTTGCGCATGCTCCTGCAACACCGAATAACCCATGTTTCCTCCGAGACAAACTCGCCCAAGGATAAAGAGTATCTAGCATTAAGTGCTAGAGCAGCGGGAGATATTTGCCAGTACTACAGAACTTTACACCAAAGAAGGCCCTTAGGGTGGAACTTCCTCGCTCTGCATTCTATCTTCACAGCTGGTCTGACATTGCTCTACTGTATCTGGGCAGAGAGGGAGCATGCAGACCTAGCTCGATTCGAAGACATTCGCTCGTGTTCTAACGTTCTCTTTGCGATATCCGAACGATGGCCGACAGCCACCAAGTTCCGTGACATATTTGAGGTCCTTGCTAAACGGATGATAGATCTAGTATCTTTGTCATCTATCCCTCACGGTGGCTTGGACGATACATCCTTTCTGCCGGAGGCCGGTATTTCACCTGCTGGGGCTCTACAAGAATCGGCAGGGTTTCCGGCAATGAATCAGGACACCTTCTGGGCCATGCTTGATGAGCTGGTGGATGATGACTATATCCGCAGTCAATTCCCATTGAACAGCGTGGAGAGCTCATGGGGCCTTTTCGATAGTTGACACATCACGCGTCAGCTTTATAATCCGCGAAGCTTTTCAACATGTATAAAAGCATACGTACGGCACTGTATTATAGAACGGCAAAGTATGTATATGAAGTCCTTGTACGAAAGTCGCAGCTTACAATTGAACTCATTTGTACTGGATATTAAATTTCCCATTTTATCATCGTAGACGTTTCTTTGGAATGCCTTAACTGACAGGTCCCTCTATGCTATGAACCATAAATGACTAGATAATTAAACAGAGAGCCGCCCATCTATCAGACCATTACCTCAGTCGCGCTGTAACCACTCAACCTTCTTTGCAGGAAGAGGCGGATCGAGGGGAACGGGCAATATAAAGTAAAAAAAATAAAAAAAAAATAAAAAAAAAAAAAAGCAGATAAACCAAAACTCCAATACGACATGCTAGTTCTTGCCACCATACCTGAACGCCGCACCATGAAAAGCTTCAGATCAATGCTGCAACACTTTCTTCTTCATGGAGGATAGGAAAGAGGAGCGGATAGGAATATCTTCAGTGAGCCATTCCTGGTCCCTCTTAGGCTCAACCCTCTTAGGCTCAATCCACTGGAAGGTTATCATGTGCTCCTTAAAACGCTCTTGCTCACACTGTGACTGTGATACTTGACGTGAGTCAGTCACGCTCCCAGCCTCGTGAAGCTAGCCGTCAATCTCAAGAAGGAGATCATTGCCACTCTGGCTGCCACTCCGGTTGCTGCCATTCCGGATCGGGCTCAGGGTTAACCCAGGCTGTTTGGTCTTGAACCGGGTTTGCTTCACCATCTAAAGCTCTTTTGAGAGCGATCTGATGTTCTTGTTCCTCTGGGGAAAGCGCAGCAAATGCGGCGGTATTTGAATCCCATTGCGCTACGCAATCCTTGTTCCAATTGCATCGCTCAACTTCGCCGTATACCGGGTGGTTATACCGTGGATGCTTGGAGGGCCATCCCGAGGCGTGGTAATGGTGCTTGATCAAGGCACTGCGGGAGTTATGGTTCCCACTGTCGGAGTGGCCTTGACCCGCTGCGAATGCCTCTACGGTGAGGACGAGAAAGCCTCCAACAAGCTTGGACTCGGGAATATTATGGAAGGTCTTCCATGTCACCTCGTGCCCCGCGTTGATGCTCATCTCGGCCAACACCGCTGATGTGAACGCAGATGGTCCTGTCCCACTTATGATATCATCAAAGTCCAACTCCAATTCCGCGATGGGCTTGCCTTGTTTGACGGAAAGCTCATTTAGCCACTCCAGGATGTGATTGACCAACCGCATCATCACAGGCTGCCGTGGTTTGGCCATGAAGGTCCACTGGCAAAACGACTGCGACTTCTGCCCAAGGATGGGATGATCATTAAAATCTGGTTCATCGATTTCGACTCCAATAACGACATCGATATCGTGCTCATCGTAGCGTTCTGGAATAAATCGGTCAATTGGGCGGAGAGCCTCGACGTCAATATCGGCCCAAACTCCGCCGTCAACGTACATGATCAAATATCGAAGTAGGTCTGCTTTGATGATTTGTGCCGTAAGAGAGCGATAAGTGTCCACAATGTCCGGGCGATTAAACCCGTCAGGTCCAAAGTGGGTCTCAACGTAGTAAAGATCATTTTGATCAGTCAGTACTTCGTAGCGATAGCTGGGGTTCTTGGACGTCCAGCTGCGAGCCACGGCCAGGTCACGCTCCTCGAATTCGAATGGAGCAACCTTCCATGATTGCCAGATCTTCTTAGGGAAAAATCGGTGGGTTTCACAGGATCGGTAAGATAGACCATCACTTAGCTCGCCAAACGTGTCCGTGATAGAAAGATAAGACACAAACAAGATGGCCGCCAGGCATCCGGGGATAATCCTGCGGATCTGTCTCGGCAGGCACACTCCGGACATTGAGGATGTCATTAGTTTTTCCGGAGACGCATAACCCAAGAATGTCAATGGACGGGGACCCAGGAGAAAAGGATACCCTCCGACGTTTATGAGCTTCGCGTCACGGACCATGCGGAGATTGCTATCTCGTGTCCCCGCCGCTCAACAAGATTTTTGTTGGATCATCCTTACAGCTTCGTCTTAATTTCGCTAGTTTTAGTTATCCCCGTTAGCGTCCATGGTCTCATTGGTGCTGAGTGGCTGTGTTTTAGCGTGTACTTGACCGTGCTGCATCCATGGACAACATTAAGCTCATTCGGGGTAAAGTCCAGATCCATTTAGTGCGCCACTGGAGCCGCTGCTTAAGACGCTATTGGTAGCGTGCCTCTTTCACTGGGTCGACGCGATTCCCACAGTGCCGGGGGGTCTGGGGTAAGCCTCGGCTCCAGGGTTACATTGAGAGCCAAGTATGGACCCCGACGCATGTGTCTTGGTCGCTGGGGGACGATAAGACTCTACGAACAGATCACCAAGCTGACGACTGCTCTATTTAGTTCCCAGTTGGTTGGGTGTTATTGGCCAAAGGATTTCCTCGGAATTTTCGACTCATCACCGCATGTGATGTGTGATGCCCTACTCCAGCATTACGTCTCTTATCTGGGTCTAAATTGGTCATTGCCTCTTCTCATTCTCCATTCCCCAGTCTCCGCACGAGCCGGGTCAGATCTCCCGTCTCTGAAACCGCGCGGACCAGGATTATCTCCGCCCTCAAATACCAGTTTTCGTCATCCTTCCGTGAGGGCAATTGCGCTGGTCCAGCTACCCAGGGCCATTGAATCGCCATAATGGCCAGTTACCACGAAGAGAGCGGTCTTGGTGACATTCCCAAAATGCGTACAGTAGATCTGGAGGGCACATTAGAGAAGGGATATTGGAAATCGCGCCCAACGTCCCGGATCCGATCTTTTCCTACGCGGGCCGCTCAATGGTGTGTTGATCACCTCCGGCCGGCATTCCTGACCGGAATTGGTGGCCACAGCAGCCACCAGGGCAGGCGTACCGCTTACCTGGACGGACTTCGAGGCTTTGCAGCCTTTCTCGTATACTGGGGTCATCATGAGCTGTGGGCTCACGATGGCATCGGGGCCGAGATGATTTTTGAGAATGCCTACGGCTACCAGAAGAAACACTACTTCGTTGCCTTCCCTGGCGTGCGCATCTTCTTTTCGGGTGGCCACTTCGCCGTCAGCGTCTTTTTCGTGCTGTCGGGCTATGTGCTTTCCGCCAAACCACTCTCTTTGATCAGAGCCGGCGACTATCTTCAACTGGGGGATAACCTAGCCTCTGCCTTATTCCGGCGCTGGCTACGACTGCACATTCCCGTTATTTGCACCACCTTTGTGTACATGACATATCTACATTTGTTTCGCATCCACGCAACTCCCGAGATCAAATCAAGCTACGGAGAGGAGCTCTGGAACTGGTATGTCGAGTTGAAGAACTTCAGCTTCGTCTTCCGCACCGGTGGTGAACCCTGGTTTACCTATAATTTCCACTCGTGGTCTATTCCCGTCGAGTTTCGCGGTTCCATCGTCATCTACACAGCTCTCCAGGCATTTTCGAAATGCCGACCCAACGCGCGACTGTTGTGTGAACTCGGATTGATCTTCTACTTCATGTACATCGCCGACGGCTGGTTCTGCGCACTCTTCATGTCCGGTATGCTGCTCTGTGATTTGGATCTACGTGCCGCCAGGGACGAGCTTCCCGACGTCTTCATGATGCTAGAGCCGTTCAAGGAGGGCATATTTTACGCCATGTTGTGTATCAGCATGTACTTGGGTGGTGTTCCGTCCCGGACATGGGAGGAACAGTTCTTAAGAGAATCTCCGGGGTGGCACTACTTGTCCTACCTGAAGCCCCAGGCGGTCTTTGATTTCAAATGGTTCTATCTCTTCTGGGCGGCAACCTTTTTGGTGGCATCAATTTCGCGGATCCACTGGCTGAAAAGCTTCTTTGAAACTCCATTCAACCAATATCTTGGCCGCATCTCCTTCGCATTCTATTTGGTCCACGGACCCGTCCTTTGGGTATTGGGGGATCGCCTCTATGCCGCGGTGGGTTGGGTTCGGGACTCGCATGCGACAACCTGTCCAGGGTGGATTAATCGCTTCCCTCTGCCCAAAGTTGGCCCACTTGGATTGGAATTGAACTTCTTCGCTCCCCACCTCATTTTGCTGCCGGTGACGCTTTGGCTCGCGGAGATAGTGACCAAATTCGTCGACGAGCCCAGTGTTCGGTTTGCACAGTGGTTTTATCGGAAGACGCTGGCTCCCGCAAACCAATCATAGTATTTTTTTTTACACATATATAGAAACAAAGTTTGTTATTTTCTTTGCAATTCACGAGCTTTCTTCGTAGTTTCAGCGATCGGTATTTTCTTTTTTTTTTTTTTCTTCCTTGGCTTCCCTTGTGACCAAAGGTATTATCAGTCGCTCGTAAGATAATGAGTTGAAGGATCCACCACGGACCAATTTCCGCTTCCGATACAAGTGGGAGAGAGAAAATAAAATTAACAATAAAAATAAAAATAAAATAACCACGCCAACAGGAGATAGATTAATTAAAAAGGTCTTGCGTATACCCACAGCTATCACATGTATTCTCCTCATGGTAAGGTGGTAGAGGTGGATCCTCCAATACCCCAGACGGAGATGTTCAGTGGTTGCAACCCCGGGGAAAAGAAGCTCGACCAAATCTTAAAAGACGCCACTAAGTCGAGCTAACAACCAGGGTTACGTGACGAATTGCTGCTGGTCCCTGGATACATGAGAGGGGAAAACACGGCTGAGCTTAGAAAAATAATAACAAAAAATGGCGCACGCGGGACAAAAAGTATCCAAACCTGCACCGTGCCCTAATTTGCCTCCCAACGCGGTTGATTTCTCCTGTTAGCTCCAAGAAACCCCCCCGTACAATAGGCTGATGTCTGCTCGACTATCGGAGTTGATTTCCCTGCTACCCCTCTTTCGTTAGTCATGCTGGCGAAAGGGTTGAAGCGCATCGTCCCCGTTGTTGGCGTGGTGCTGGTCCTCGTCGTGCTAGGGCTTCAGTTGTACCATCGCAACTATCTCCATCGCAATAGTAGTCTTCCTTTCAGTCATTCCTTTCCAAAACCTGATCAGAGCCCAAGTCCGGATCCTAGCGGAAATCGCTGGGCTCAGCAATATGAACAACAACAATATGAGAACCAACACACGGGTCTCGAAGCGTCCTCGGACCCCAAGATAGACATGTCCGCCACTCATACGGAGTTGTACTCTGTATCAAACCCAGACAAGAAGTTGTTTAAAATCGACTTCGGTGGCCGGCAGGCCATTAATCCTAGTATTATTCCCCATCCCGAGCAGCCGAATACATGGATTATCACCGCACAACTGCACAAGCCTCCCGACAAGCAAAAGAGCTCGGTCTGGTTCGCCGAACTAGTTTGCGACGCTGTCTTTCGGGATGGCGGACGAACCCTAGGCTGTATTGAGCCTCCCTTGATTCTTCCGATCGCCGCGACGGTCGGCGATAGTAAGAACTGCTTGGGCGAGCTGTCCTACTTCACCCTCAACATCGGACCCCATGATGCGCGTGTCTTCTATGGGCCCGAGGCACCGTATGCCGTCTACGGGTCCAACTCTCAATTTACCTGCTTCGGACAGTGGATCCATGACTTCCGGCCACTGGTCGACTGGAAGGGAGACATGGATATCTTGTCCGATCATGGGTTCCGCCAGGCCACCGAGTTGCAACGTCCGCTTCCCTACGGGGCCGTCGAGAAGAACTGGTTTCTCTTCTGGGACGCTACAGGACAAGCGTATGTCCATTACGATGTGGCTCCCAACCGAGTCTTCGCCCGACTGGAACTTGACGGCTCGGTCGGTCCAGACTTGGCACCCCTTGCGGCTGCGACCGACCTGCAGTGTTTACAACGACACCTTCCGGCATTAAAGGACGCGGAGTTGGAGTCAATTCACCAGGCGACCAACTCGTTGACCATCACTCTATGCCAACGATCGGATCCGCTGTGCCAGGCGACCGATCTCAATACATTCATCCTCACTATCTTCCAACACAAGAGTTTCTATGCATTCCATAGTGTATACGAGCCATACGTCATGCTATTCCGCCGGTCAGCTCCATTCGATGTCCATGGCATATCGACCAAGCCCCTCTGGATCTCAGGTCGTGGCACTCCTGGTCACGGAAAGAAACCGAAGGCGCTGACCGCAGGAGAGTCAGAGGCGTGGGATCACACGGAGATGTTATACGTGACTTCCATCAGCTGGAAAGCACCGGGCAACAAGTATCATGGGTACTTGGATGATGTGATGTTCATCGCCTTTGGTCAGGAGGATGAGGATACAGCTGGTATTGATATTGTCGCGGGTGATTTAATGAAGGATATGGGGCTTTGCGGGATGTTGTGATTTTTTATTTTCTTTTCTATTCCCCTTCCAGTTTTACCTTTCTGTCTTTCCCCTTCCATGATCCGCTTGTATGGTCACTAATGTTTTTACCTCTTTCTTTTCCTCTTTCTCTATTTTTTCTTACTTTGACAACAATCTCAGTGATTGTGGTGGGTTTTTATGTCTAGCAGCTACCCCAGCACCATGGAGTTTACACCCTTACACATTACCCTTCACATATTACCCTCAAGTCACTATACCATTTCCGCCAGCAAGAACAAGAGATTGTCCGACATCAAGATAAACTTAGGTTCGATCAGCATACCCACATAATAGAGTCACGATCGTCAGATTGAGATGAAGATCACTGTCGGATGAGAACCTTAGTAGACGGATGAACAGCCGAACCCTGAAATGAGCTTATCTAGCTAGTATGGCTACGCATTAGTGGGAAAGTCTACGGCATTGCAATCCTTGTCGTGTGTAGGTGTGATGTTTTGCCGCGGGCCGAGAGTGAAGCTTTTTTATATATATCTCGGCTAGTGTGTACATGGGTAGTAGGAC